TACTACTAGCAGCAGGGGACTCAATCTCCCCCGCCCGCTGCGATCTGTCGTGTCCCGGTGCCGTGCAGTACAACTACACCTTGCACACCACCCTCTTTGACAACGAATCCACCGTGGTTTCATAGAGATATTCTTACCGGTCCGGAGTACTCGGGACAGAGTCAGTTCACTACTCCTCGCCCAGACCGTCGCAGATGCGTACGGTAAGGCTGATCGAGTCTGATATTCCAGTCCCGACGCCCCGCGCTAGACCCCTCAAGTCTGCTACTTAGTGCTGCGATCATGCCATGTATGGATGGACCAGACTGTCGGGCGATTTTTCAGCTCGCCAGTTTATACTGTGTAGTGTGTCGTGTGTCGTGTGTAATGTTACTGGCTGGGGTTGGTCTTTTGGGACTTAAGGTAGAGGCTTGTGTGTAAGGTTGTATACTTCGTAGGGAAGAGCACACTAACTTTCACTGAATAGGTAGATAGTAATAGTAGTATTCTGTCTTCACACTTGTTAAGTATGGTAGGTATGAAATAACTAGTAGTTTGAAGCTTCGAGATACTATGTTACACAGTGCATAAGGTACTGACTAAGGTATAGTATACATCATTCAGTCAAACCCCATCTCGATGAGAGTACATTCAGGTAACGTAGGTATAGTGGTTGTGGTTGCAGATCAACTTCGTTACCCAATGACTAATACGAATTCTGCCTCAGGTATCCTACTCAGTCCAGAACACTGATGGGTCAAATTAGGGGGGATCCACCCAGTGCCGACGTCAAACTGAAAGATAAATCAGGAACAACCGGGACGCGTAAGTGCTTTGCCATCATCCAAGAACATCCACCTCAGACTCGGCTGTGTTAGCTTGCAACGAATTGAAGTGACGACAGCCGGGCCTGCGATGGCGACAGATTGAGACCGATTGGTTTGACTGATTTTTTGTTGACTCCGGACTGGTTGTTGTTGAGCGCAAAATTCGATTCATCTACTGATTACTCTTTATATGAGGGAGGGAGGCTTGCTGTCGTGGCCTCTGAGTCGAGGGCGGCTGGTACACTCAAACACTAGTCCGGGCAAGGTCGTTTACTGTTACCAAATCATGAATGCTACGGAGTACCAAAGATAGATTTGGACAAACATTTTTTTTTTTTGCATCGGATCATCAGATCCATCATAAGACAATGCATTGAGGTTGAACATTAAGTCAAGGATGCAATTTGTTCATAAGTAAAAGAGTCCATGCCAAGGATCTGCACAAACCAGTATTCGGCACAATTCTCCCCGTCCGCTGAGGTGATGCCTTTTTCATCCTCCCCCAACCGAGTGCATGACAGGAGCTGCACCTTGAAAGATGACCTGCCTCTCCTCTGTCCACCCGTTCCATACTCGACAAAACCGCAGGACTGCTCCCGACTGGTCAGTCACGAGCTTGATTCTACGAGGCTCCGCTCTTCCGAAGGGAAAGACATGTCCTACTCTCCGAGAGTTTCGAGATCCTCGAGATCCTCGAACTCCTCTGCCCGTGAGGTTGACAGCATCCGCAACATCATTGCGTTGACGCACTTCTGGAACTCCCTCGCCTCCACATCAATCGAGTGAAGGGCCGCTCCTAGGTTCTGTCCAATGGAGAAATCATCAGAAACTGCTTCAGCGAAAGCAACGTGCGAGCGTACGTACCTCTCTGTGAATCTCTTGAGGGCGGCGCTGTCTGGCTGGAGCTCCCGTGCTCATACTGAGACGTTGCCCGGTTGACACCGTGGATACGTGAGGCTTCTCACCGCCACCAGGAGCCGATGACTGAGCCAGTGCTGTAGGCACCACTAAGTCAAGCCCGGGTGGCTGGTTTTCCTGCCGGGCCTAGTAGAAACAGATGGATCAGCCCTGCGGCTTTTCTCCTTGGCTGTGCCCAAGAATAGAATGTGCGCGTACCTGATGATTGTCGACAGTGGTTCTAGGTGGATCCCCGCTGCCCTGACAGGAAGTGAACCCGCTGCTTGGACCTGGCACTCGGGGCTTTGGATCAGTGCCTCTCTGAGCTTCCGGAGACGGCTGCCGATCAAGAGCAAGGTTGGATCCGTTGAGCTTAACCAGCTTCGTGGGACGCTGGCTATGCTTAGGGCCTCCAATATCAGCGATGCGACCGAGATTGCGTGCATCTGTGCCTGAGTGAACGCCACGCTGTGCCCCAGTCATGGAATCACTTGATTGATCAGTATCGTGATTACCGACTACGCGACTGCCACGGCTCAGAACAGCATTGTTCAAAGAAAGCATACCCCGCGGGCCGCGTGTCGGAAATCTTGAGGAGTGCCACTTGGCCTTGAGACGATCGATCATGGCGTCTAACAGCAGTATGCGCTGGTCTTGCTCGGCGTCTGTCGAACCAGGTGGAACACGCTTCGTACTTCTTACTGGTGGCATGATGATCAACGGACGAGGGTGGATTCTGATCTCCGAGCTTGTGCCACGTTCGTTTTCCGCTGGCTCCAGTGCTGTATGGGTCCGACTCAAGTTCTCTGGTTCTTAGTGGTACATTAGCCTCTCTCTCTCTCCACTCAGACACGAATCGTGGTCTACTTTTATCATACCTGGCTGCTGTGTTGATTCAATAGTAAGCACAGAATCGGTGAGACACACAGTACTGGTATCCGGCCGTGTTGGAAACGAGACAAGTGATAATGAGTCTGACTGACGGGGAGGGGAGCGAGAATTAGCCGGGTCCAAGGAGTGGAGGTCAGTTCGTGAAGACTGAGGTCCATCGATATCCTCACCGAAATCATCGCGCCTTAAACCCTCGAACACAGTGGTCAGCTGTGTTAGACAATCAAACAAAGAAATCTCAGGAATGACGTAACTACCCAGTGAGGGCAGTGATTCCACGTCAATTTCGCTGTGCAGATGGGTGCCATGCTCTGCTATCAAAAGGTGGCCTTCACTGCGGACAGTCACACCCTGGCCGGCTGATGCTGCAAGGCCCAATGACAAAGAGCATGGACGAATAATGCCAATGACCGGCGGCGGGCCCGGCTCTATTGTGGGCGCAGACGAAGAGGAGGCCTCTACTGGTAGGAACTCACGCTCGATAATCCGGCCATCTTCTCTTCCCCGCGGCGTTGAGCTATCCTGAGGAGACTCATCTGGGGGTGAATAGCAAATAGAGTCCGATGGAGACATAGACGGGCCAGAGAAGAGGTCTGAGTCCGATTCCAGAAAAGCATCGTCCTCGTCGTCTTCGTCCCAGCTGCTATCATTCTGATATTGGTCGTGTTGGTGCCATTCCGCCAGGCGACGATGGCGAGCGAGAAGCCGCTGGAGGTGATAACGGAGGTCGCCATCTCCGAGAGTGATTCGGGTCAGCTTATACCTGATCATGGTTCTACTTTGTAGAAATTCGGTGTAATGTAATTCTGACTTCCCTGTCGGGGGAGCCTCGGATTCAACTTCCGATGTACAGAGTGCATAGTAGTCTTGAGTAATGCCCGGGTGGTATTCTTGTCCTTCCCTCCCTCCCACTACGTCCGAGGTATTTTGAATAGGCATTGAGGAAACTACATGTTATAACGCTGAGAAAGAGCGAGGGGTGGTGAACAGGTGGCTGCTACTCCGGGTGTGTGGAAGTAGTGATGGTCTTATGTCTCTCGCCTTCCCATACTAACCCAATGCTTGGTTCTCTAGGCACCAGTCCGATGATGACTGATGATCAATCAAGCGGGATAGGGATGCAATTCTATTTATAAATCCCACCTCAAGGACGGGTACGAGCTTGGTTTGCAGGGGCGCTGGTAAATTGCATTGACTTGTGGACTGAAGGGAATTGAATAAATGTAGGTATGTGCCGGACTGGTGGGGGGAAGTCCCTGCGTGAGTTACCCTGAAACACCTAAATGTATATATTATCATAGGGCAGGGCAGAGCAGAAAGCGACGTCACGAGGAATTGTGGTCTGGTTTGGAGTTGCAATCGACCAGAATCTGCAAACGATCATCTCGCAAGTCCTTTGAGATGGTTATTAGGGTTGGAAGTGGCATATCAGCTTGGTAATGGAGATGGTCGTTGTCTTCCCTGTAGTATTATTGATAGTATGGAGTGACTGGAGATCGGGATAGTGAACGGGGAACTTGAAAGTTAGATGTACTGAACAGGGAATAAAGAAGAATAAGAAAAATCAGTAGTAAATAGAATGATGTCCTGAATAGTGGAGTTTAAAGAGGTTGAAGTGAGGTAAAGTGAGCTGTAGTAGTGGTGGAAGTTGTTGTTGGTGGTGGTGGTTGAAGAAGACGGGGATGTTCCTGAGGCTGCCAACCATCAGCCTCACTCATCATCTTTCCATCCATCAACTTGCCATCTTCCTCCTCCTCCTCCTCTTCCTCACTCTCTCTCTCTCTCTTTCTGCCTCTCCTTTCCCTCTCCTTCTCTTTCCTCGTTCCTCAACCTCCACCAACTTCTCCTCCTTCTCCTCCTCTCCTCCAATACCCCCATCATCATTTGAACTCCTTCTCTCGTTATTCTTTCCCTCCTCTTTGGGCGCAGTTCCCTCGCTTGTTGTGCCTCGATGCTTCTCCGACCGCCGCCGCCATAGTTCACATCCCCTTCCCTCGGCCGCCCCTCTCGCTATCGCTTCTTGTCCGCTCTTTTATTTTTCTAATAATCCATCCTCCTGCTGCTTCCTTTCCCCTCTTCCCCCTCCTGTTTTATCCTTTTCTTTCCCACTTCATTCCTCGTTTCATCTTATGAGCGGTGGGTGCCACGGTGGTGCATGATCCAGGATATAGTGAACTGTTCCCCTCTCCATCTTCCGACCTCCATCTTCGTTTTCCCCCCTCCCTCTCCAAACTTCACCTTCCCCAATTCTCTCTTCCCGCCCGCAAACCCCCTTTCATTCCGCACACCTCCCAATTCTCTCCCCCCCCCCTCCTCCCCTCCTCCCCCTCCTCCTCCTCCTTTCGATTCTCTACAAACAAAAGGTCGGTTTGTCGATTTCAAACCGCCTCCTTTTTAGTCCTTATCATGGATGGGGACCTCAGTCTTTCCCAGTCTCTGGGAGGCCTACGCATCGCCAACCCCGATAATGCTTCGATACATTCGTCTGAAGATGCATCAACGCCCGCTGCAGGCGCTGCTTCAGTAGCGGATTCCGACTTGGTACGCGATCCCGCAACCTCCGAGCATCCAGGAAATGCCTCCTCTACCCATCTTCCTCGACCGCCCGCACCTCCCTCGAGCTCCGAAGTCCAAGAAGCCCTCGCCTCTGTACCGGTCGAGTCCTTGAGGACCTCCGAGAGCCGGAGTTCGATTTACAGCCCATACTCAGACCCTCCACAACAGCCATCCACGCAACCCTCTCAAGCGACCCCTCAATACTCTCCGTATGTATCCCAGCAGCAACCAAACCCTGGTCCGCAGTCCTCCCGCCCTCTCTCTCAATTCTACGCGAATGGGTCAACCTCTACACTGGCAGTTCGAGAAGGCTCCTATCGGATCCGTACCGATTCCGCCGCGTCGTCCGCCTCTGAAAGTCTAGCCCGCGCGGAGTCTCGCGGAGGCTCCGCAGCCTACCAAGCAGGAGTCCCCGTCCGCGATAATAATCACAATGACCGAGCATATCGGACGGCACAACTGCCTCCTGGGAATGGGCCGATGGTGATGCGTCAGTCCTCTCGCGCTCACAGAGGGGGGGGCCCGTCGACGGGCTCCCCGTATGCTATGGAAAATGGCCCGAGCTCGAGTAGTGAGGACTGGCAAGATCGGGGTGCAGCCGTTGCTGTACGGCAGGAGATCGACGCGAACGGTAAGCCGGTCGCGCGATACATCAAAAAGGGGGTCCGCGACTTTTCGTTCGCGCATACGCTCGGAGAGGGCTCGTACAGTACCGTCGTACTAGGTACGGACCGGCAGACACTCAAAGAATATGCGATCAAGATCCTGGACAAGCGGCACATCATCAAGGAGAAGAAGGTCAAGTATGTCAACATCGAGAAGGACACCCTCAATCGGCTAACAGAGCACCCTGGCATTGTTCGGCTGTATTACACATTCCAGGACGAACGGTCTTTATACTTCGTGTTGGATCTTTGCAAGGGAGGCGAGCTGCTTGGGGTGTTGAAGCGTATGACCACCTTTGACGAGGAGTGCACAAGATTCTACGGCGCCCAGATTCTAGACAGCATCGACTATATGCACAAACGTGGCGTGATCCACCGAGACTTAAAACCAGAGAACGTTCTGCTCGACGGGCAGATGCACATTAAGATCACCGATTTCGGGACGGCCAAAATCCTCAAGACCCAGCGGAAACCGGGCCCGACCTCCAGCGGGATGCCGCCGCTCGATGCGACCGAGATCCCCGAGGACGAACGCGCTAGCTCTTTTGTTGGCACCGCCGAGTATGTCAGTCCGGAGCTTCTGACAGACAAGAATGCCTGCAAGGCAAGTGACCTGTGGGCCTTTGGCTGCATCATCTTCCAGCTTTTAGCCGGCCGACCGCCTTTCAAGGCCGGGAACGAATACCAAACCTTCCAGAAGATCGTCGCGCTCGATTACGAGTTTCCTCCGGGCTTCCCTGCCGTGGCGCGCGATCTAGTCGAACGACTACTGGTCTTGGACCCGGCGCGCCGTTTGCCCATTGAACACATCAAGAACCACGAATTCTTCCAGGGGATCACCTGGGGCCCAGATTTGTGGAAGCGAAAAGCGCCTCGCCTCAAGGCATATGTTCCGCCCCCGCGCGAGCCCATCAAGCTCAACAACGGCGGCAACGGCGAGAAATATCCCGCCAGCATCAACGCCGCCTCCGTCAGCAACAACGCTAGTCAGAGGGTCGTTCCGCGATTAGTGACCGAACTCCCACCGCCGAGTCAGCTTGATATCGAATGGTCGCCCGTGCTAACCAAGACAAATGAACGGATCCTCAAACTCGGCAACTTGGTCGTTTTGTCTTCGCCCGCCGCTCACAGTCCGGTCTCCAAGAATGGAGGCGAATACGAAGCGCCTCGCAAGTTTTCGCGGTTCTTCGGTGGTAGCACAACGAAAAAGCGGCAGCGCTTGGTCATGGTGACGTCGTCCGGCCGGATCATCATGGCAGCGTCCGGCGGCGATGAAAAGAAGGCGAAGCTGGAACTGTCACTCCTTACTCCAGGCACGACATATCGGACATCAACAGACGCGAAGGGTGTCTCTTGTTGGGTAGTGGATACGGTCAGTGCAACCCCCCCGCCCATTAAGATCAAACTCATTGCTAATGCACATTCAGCGTGACAAACACTACGTGTTCGAGGATCCCAAACCATCATCGGGTAGTGTAGGAACGACCGCCATATCCTCTCAGGAATGGTTGGATACTCTGGACCGAGCCAAGGAGATGGCTCTGTCACAATCGGGCAATGGCTCTTATTCTGATGATGCCTTCCGTGATCTGTCATCCGGGTTGTCTAGTCATGCGAACACGCTGGACCGGAGCTCAGAGCTTCAGCAAGAAAGCGTACCCACGGGACGTGCCACCTTGGTCAAACAACAGCCGACTGACACGGACTCGATCAAAGGGAAGAAGCGATTTAGCCGACGTCATTCGAAGAATGGTCTTGCGGCGGTCTTCTAGGCCCTTCTCATCGAGCTTCAACTCTCTCCAAAACCTTTTCTGATCTTCTCTCTTTCCGCCTCTCTTCGATCCTTGAAAAGTCGAGATGCTGTCCGCTGCGCAGGATCGCACACACAAAACTCTCCTCTTCGTCTTTGGAACATATCGCGTGCGTGTGTTTTGCTTGATATCCCCCGAGTGTTTCCTGCGGCTGTGATTGGCAATCTTGTTTTCTTTGCTACTACTAGCAGGGCTTTGCTTTGGGCTATTGTTTATCGCGGGAGACTCACTCATACAATCTAGCCAGCGACTTGTCGATTTCCTTTGTTTGCATCTTGTGTAAGAATCTCCCAGTGATGTGGTTTCATTTGTGTGGTTTTGCCTTGCATCTTTGCCATGATGAGCGTTTCCGATATCTTTCTCTGTTGAGATTGTTGCATTTAGATGGGAAGGAGTATGCATATATATATCCCTCATCTGGCCGTTTACCACTCCAATCGCATCAATCAATTTTTGCGCGATATGTCTTTTTCTGTTGTTGATATATATATTTTTTTGTCTGGGGCGAGATCCAGGATCTTGTGATATAGATCGTCTCGATGTCGATGGACGAGAATGCCATAGAGTGCATCTCACTGGGAGTTACAATCCAAACCCCTAATCCTTTTTGAAAGATGGTGTTGATCGGCAGCAGGATGCGGTTTGGCTGGGGAACTTTTCACTTCAAGTTTTGTGGTTCCATCCCCTGGGTTTAGGGATGGATGACCACATCTTTATCAAATTAATAGGACTTGAAAATGCAAATACATTCGAAGAATTCGAGCAATGCAGGAATGCTGAAAAAGCAGACAGAAATAACGTAGTATGTAGTAAGTGGATGGGGTAGGATCTTTGTTTTTTCTTGTTTTTTTTTTTCAAAAAGCGTACTAGTATCAAGAGGGACTAAGAGAGAACTGGGGAAAAAAACACCTAACTACGGGGGATTGCTGGGTTAAATAAAGAGAGGTTCAGATAACTTAACTTAGTATAACTACTACTAACTTGGTAGCATAAAACTTGGGTATTCACCGGGACTATCAACAACCCATGTTGAAGAGTTCAGCCTGCCTCTAACTTTACCCCCCCACCCCCCCCCAGGCACTTGTTACTACTACTACTACTACTACTACTACTACTACTACTACTACTACTACTACTACTACTACTACTACTACTACTACTACTACTACTACTACTACGTCGTCAAGAGTACGCAATCCTCATCTCCCCTTCAAACAAGGAAACCCTTTGAACCAAGACCCCACCGAATCCTTTATCCCCAATCGCCCCCGCCAAAAGCGCCCAGGGGGTGCGGACGAAAAACCCCCATCCCATAACGGTGGTGATGATGATGATGATGGTGTGGGCGGTGCAGAGGGCGAGGACGGGGAGGGCGGACGGGTCTCCAGAGGTGAAGCCCAGGGTTGCTACAATCACGAGGGCTGTTTTTAAAGGCGGAAGTAGGTTTGAGCCATGTCGTCGTGGTGGTTGATTTCCGAGCGAATCCTGAGACTCTGTCCATCATCGAGGAACTTGCTTTGATGCAGTCTACAAAGTAGCAGCAAAGCTATACCTCTCTCATCTCGTAGGGGATCAGGTAGAGTAGGTAGGGCTAGGGTGTATTGTGAGTATGGTAAGTATGGTCCTGTATTGTATAGTTCATACGTGTAACTTATCGAATTCTCCGGGGTCGTTCTCAATGGAGGAGGCATCGAACAGGGGATTCAACTAACTTGTCCTACTGATGCAGACATCAGACACTAAGATAAAGACAACATAGCCAGCTGTTCCACCTCTTAATCACCGTACCAGCCCTGCAATTGACCAACGTCGCTATTCCAGAGTCTAACCTTGATGAAGCTATCGACTTTCTAGTACTTGTGTCTACAGGATATAAACTATTTGCTAACGATTAAGAACTTATGACTACGATGAAAAACAACTCGAGCCCCACTGTCAATACACCACCCCTTCATCTCATCGCTCGAATCCATTTCTCAACCAGCTCCCTGCTTCCACCTTCTCCCATCGATACAGTCTCTCCAATCAACGACACTTCTCCCTCCACCTCGCCGCAACTCCACCACAACTCCACCGCACAACACCTCAAAAACGAACGTCCACTCACAGGCGTATCTCCGTAACCTCCGTGCATGTCACAGACCCCTTTGTAGTCTGACCCGATTCTTCAGACTGGTATGCCTTCTTTTCCATGAAGAGCTGGTCGATGTTTTCCAGACTCATATTGGCCGTCTCAGGGTAGTAAAAGTAGATGATCTAACCCACCCAATCACATTAGACTTGTTCTCAGGCAGAAGCCATCCTGCCACGAATGAGACGCAGTCAAACTCACCGGCACAAAGAGAAGATTGAAACACATGAAGATAAGGTACCCCTTCCATTCCAGGTCCTGGATGAGGACGGGGGCGATCATTGCGACGAAGAAATTCCACAGCCAATTTGCTGAGATACCGATGGCGGACCTAGAACCCGCGAGCAGTTCAAAAATAGCTTTTGGTTAGTCTTTCCCTCTGTTTCGCTTCCTGGGTATAGTTGGGGTTGGCAGGGTGCCACCAGCTGGAATGTGGTGGATCGGAGGCGGGGAATTTCGTACCCTTTGTTGCGGACATGCAGGGGAAGGATCTCCGGTCCGTACACCCACGGTATGCAGTTGATAGACGCTCCGAAGATGAGCATGAAGAGGAAGAAAAACGGCACTGACGCCGTGGCGGTTGGTCGCTCGAGATCGGTTCCTGGAAGGAGGAAAGTTAGCATCCCTGTTTGCTTCACCATTTCCCGAATCGGGCAGGACACGAGGAAACGCCGAGCTTCTTATTACCCTTAAATGATAGAAGAATGGAAATCAGTAGCATGCATAGGAATTGCCCGAACGATCCCCACATCATCGGGCCTCGACGTCCCAGGCGATCGGCGTAAAAAGTGGGATAAAAGGACCCTGGGGCGGATGATCAGCAATCTGTTCTGGTGGCGCAATGGTGAACTCGAGAAGAAAGACATACCTATGACAAACATGAGCTCAATGACTCCACCCAGCAATAAACTCAACTTGGCATCCAGGCCCACGTTGTATTGCAGGACTAAGGCGACAATGATTAGTAACATGTCACACCAACAGAAGATTCGTGTCCAGCATCCTACCAATTGTCGAGTAGGTCTAACAAAGTTAGCATTGATTTTGCTGCTTCTCAACTCGACCCACTCACAACAATCACATTGACACCTCCCATCTGGTTGATGAACTGCAGTCCATAGGCCAGCAAGACCCGGCGCCCGGTGTTGAGCTCATCCTTCTTGAAGATCTGAGACCACCTGTACTCCCCTCGGGCATTGTCAGCCTCGATGGCGCGGCGAATGCCTTCTGCCTCTTGAATGACCTTTGGGTCATCTGCCTGTCGATCATAGAAGTCGCAGAGCACGCGTAATGCAGCTTCCTCCTTTTTGTGGCGATACAACCATCGGGGGCTTTCTGGGAGTCTGGATCTAGTCAGGTTGACTGTGACAATAACCAAAAGACGTATGATCAACGAAAAGCTTACCCGAGAATAAGGACAGCCACTCCAACTGCGAGGAGTATCTGACAAGCAACTGGGAGTCTCCAACTGATGGAGCCGTCGACATAGCTCAAACCGTAGTCAAACCAATAAGCCACGCAGATGCCGATACTGACTGCAAGAGGCTGGCTACAGACGTACATTCCTCGTTTCCGTGCGTCGCACAATTCCGATTGATACACCGGCACAGCTGCTGTCATCACTCCAGTCCCAATGCCCGTGAAGAATCGGGTCACGAGTGTCTGAGTCCTGGAAAATGAACATGTCTGAGCCGCGCCGCCAATCTGCACCAGAAAAACGTGTCCATGTTAGCAGATCCCCGGTCACTGTATATGGAAACTTACACACCAGGATCACAGCCATCGAGAACCACATCGACCTTCGAAACCCGAGCTGGTCACTTTGCAGGAACGAAATCACCGTCCCAAGCAGGCATCCTAGGTTGTATATACCCACTATGAATCCGACCATGGCCGAGCCAGGATGATCCACAACCTCAAGAAAATTCTCGTTAGAAACGATTCCCGAGTAAAGTCCCTGGTTATAACCTGCAAACCCCAAGTAACCAGTAAGCATACCGCGCCTGAAACGACTCACAGTCACACCTACCAAAGAGGACAAATGCTAGCTGGCAGGTGAACAAGATAGCCATGCGAAGGCCGAATCCTCGGCCATATATGTTAAGCTTAGCCATGATCCCCGTCAGATAGGAACGTGCAAGCTTGAGCAAACGCAGATGATCAGCACCACCGTCAATATCTCAGGCAGTATTTATACGTATGCAGCTTTGAAGTGGATTGCCATTGACGACAATAGTAAGGGGTGGCTCAACGCGGAGTCGACGGTGGATCCGGGACACATGGACTTGGTGCACAAGAGCTAGCGTAGCATGACGACTTGCTAGTCAACTTTCTTGGAGCAGGCCGCTAATCGGGTACTGATAGCTGAAGCCATACTAACCTATTGGGGGTCAATCGACCACCCTCCATACCAGAAGCTCGGCTCTCAACCGGGATTGCCACAAAAGTACGGCAGACAAGAGCTATAGATCGAGGACTCTAGAGTCAGACGACGACTATGGTGACATCCAGTAATTCTATCGGGTTGTCTCGTGCATTCTGTATCGGGGAGAAACCCTGCCTCACACATTCCTCATGGCTCACGGAAGGTTGATTTCCGCCTGGGAACCAGGTTATATGGGGACATACTCGCGTCCCCAGGGAGTGTAGAGTGTAACCAAAGATCACCAGCATAGTACCGTGATCGTAAGGCCAGCGTTGACGTTGTCCTTGCCGCGTTCTATCTTCGAACGATCAGGTGTAGAGCGAAGTTATACTCTGTTACTCGAGCAGGGTTTGTTTGCGCAGAGCAGCTGCCTATCCTCGGACCTTGGCAGCATCTTCCAAAGCCCAACGATAAGGTCAGAAATGCCCCTTGCCTGAATCACGCCTAGCGCTTGTACAGTTCGAGGGGCTTCTTCAGCTGTTAAACCTGGCAGTGTCAGGAGGTTAGCTTTTAGAGTCCCGGGGAGCGCTTTGGTAATAGCCAGGGGGTGATGTGCTGCTCTTGTATTACGTTGCGCGTTCAGGTTTGACGGCCTCGACAAGCTCGAAGCCTCGGATTCCTCCGAATTGATAGTATTAGTGCTGGGTTCAGACTCCAGAGGGGGGCCGAAGGAAGATCGAACTGGTTGAGGCGTTGTTTGAGACTCGTCTGCCCTCACGTGATGTTACCCCGAATTGGAAGGAGGTCCAAGTTGGGCAACAGCAGGGGCTTTCAATCCAACTTGATTACGATTACTATGAATTCCCCCTGTCTTACTATATATAGCGCGGTTTCCTTGGCCTGGAATGAGTCTTATTAGTTTCTTCGCCAAGTTAGGAGGAAGCTGAGGCCTCGGCTATATGTACAGTACATGTCCCGGACATCATATCCTTGTCCAAATGATCCCCAACTAACTCCCAACTAGTCACTATCATAGTAGTCACTTCCTTCGTCGTAGTAGTCACCGTATTGTCCGGCGAAAGCCGCTTCAACCCCATCGTCATCCTCGTCATCTTCATAGTCGTCCTCCTCCTGTTCCTCATCTGAATAGCCGGTTTTCTGCTCGGCAGCAGGATCCGAGACTTTCTCGGCTGGTTGTTCGGTTGTGGTAATGATGGGGACTGATGTGGAGGGCTGCACTGCTTGCTCTGCGGGTGCAGGCAATGAGGATGACATGACAGGCACAGGAGTAGAATTAGTGGCGAGTCCAGCTCGCCGAGTGGCCGCCTCGGGTTCGACACTAGCGCTGCGCCTAGACACCACACTCTGACTGCGGCTTTGGCTTCGACTAAGACTCTCGGCTTTGGCTTTCGAAGCCTCATCGTTGCCTCCTTCGTCGAAGAGAGAATCCAAGAGTCGATAATTGATCTTTTTACTGAACCCTCTGCGTTCCAACATGCGACGGGTCGCTTCGGCGGGGGTCGAAGCACGGGTGCTCCGTCCATCTCCATCTTCTGCGTCGCCTTCGAGGTAGGTGACATCTCCCAGTCGGCCTTTGCGGCGTTTTCTAGGCTTGGTGACTCGGCCGTCGGCACCCGGCTGAGATTCAGCCTCCGCCAAGGCGCGTTTCAGGGCTTTGGCCTGCTGTGCGCGCAGATAGTCTTTGTTTTCGTGGACCCAGATTCGCTCTTTGATCTCCACTTCAGCAGGAGAAAGTAAGCAATGGGCCACCTCGGGATCCGATTCGAACTCAGCAGCATCGATCTCTGCGCTATCGGACACGGTGGGCTTGGGCGGCATGAGGGTGCTCTCCACCATGTTGGAGCCCTGTGTTAGATAAGAAGCCATTTCGTTCTCGAGCGCCTCCTCAGACGCGATTTGTTCCGCCGATGGCGGAGGCAACTGGGGTCTCTTCCCTTTCGGGCGAACCGTGGCGGTGTCTTCTCCAAGCTCCGATGTCGCGTCACTTGCCACGGAGGCAGTCGACTGCCTTCTCTGATTTTGATCGGTAGCCATCAACGCCGGGTCGATGGGCAGATTAGGAATGGCGAAGCCATCGGAATCCACCCGCCTTGGCTGCTGGACTTCTGGTACATCACCCTCAATTTCTGCGGCGGTCTCAGCGGGTTTCCTCTTGAAGGACCGCGATGGTTTTCGTCCCTCTCGAGAGCGAGCAAAAGAGGGCGGGTCGTGCGCATTCTCCAATTGAACTGATCGAAACTGGTCCACGGTGAGCTCACCGCTCTCGGTCGAGCTAAACTCGTTGAGTCTTTGATTGATGGTGATCTCGGTCACCTTCACCACGTATACCACTTCTCGACACGTACGGCGGAAGTTGTTCATGCGGGCAGCAAGAATCAGTGCTGCACCACAAATACCAGCAGGGCGACGACCTGTAGTCATCCAATCTCTGTTCATGCGCTGCACAATGCGGACCGCCTCACTAGCAACCTGCATTGTGCTAGGCCCAAATTCCAGTTGTTTGGCAAATCTATATATCAAGCTCTCAGGATCAATGGGATTCATGAGGAAGATGGTGCCACCGAGACGTAGCTCCTCCAACAAAGCCTTGTATGTTCGGCCCAACTTGAAAACGTTCAGCATCAGCACATCGGCGAAATCGATGAGCATGACCGTGTTGCCGTCCTGTCGACGGCAGGCGATGTACAAACTGACAGCCGCAACCGTCTTGGTCCTGCGACCTTGGATGAAGTTCAGTCCGACCGCCAGCTTGAACACCTGCGTAGCAGCTTTTGAGGCACTCTCCGGAATCATCAAGGCGCGGGACAGCTGCGTAATATAACGGTTACCATTGGCTTCGGTAAGCTCACGGCTTTCAGAGGCGCCATGAAATCGACCAGGACCCGTGCTGCGGACGTGGGATTGGTCTTCGCCGACGAACGTTCCCTGCACGACGGCAGCACCCGAGGAGGTTTCACCGAAAGTGACTTCAGAGACAATGTTTGCCTCACTAATGACAGTACCACACCCGGAACAAACCTTCTGTCCGTCATCCTCTACGATCTGAGGGGCAGGGCAGCCCGGGTTGGGACAGGTAGTGGTCTTGGGATGGGTTGTCGGCCTGACAGGTTGAGGCCGGGAGATAGGCTGGGGACGCCTGATGGGAGTCGAGCTTGGTGGCTTGAGACTGGCCAGACGTCCCATTGAAGGCGCCCTCGGGCCACTTCGGGGCGGCATAGGCCGCATTCCAGGTCTTGGAACGGACATGACGGGTTAATGTATTCTTTGCAGGATTAGGCCTAATCGCGAAATGAGGCGTTTGGATTTGTGCAGTCGGAAATTGCGCCGGACGTTATACCATATGCATGTCTGAAGGCAGATAGATGTATGGCCCAGATGATCTGCGTGGGTTCCGAGCGGAAGCCGGGGTTCGGGAACCGACAGTATATGACGGGCAGCAAAGAAGAAATAAAAAAAAATTAATAAAGAACACTGGAGAGGATAAAGGGGTGAACGCGGGGTAAGTCAGCGCAGATCTCGCAGGGCACCAATTTCTGTGTCAGCCAGTTGCGATAATCCGAGGTGAGGAACAATCCTGCTGAAGATGATCCAAAGATCGCGACAAGAATCGACGTGTCGCTACGCGTCGCCAATAATTGAAGTCGCGATAAGTGGTTGTCTTATTGTAGGGATGAAGAAAAGGAGAGAGGAGGATGGACGGGGAAGAGAAGTGAGGTGAAATTTGCGACCGAGAGGACGCGGTGGCCCAGCGGAATGGTCACGTGCTATACTCACGCGTCGAGATCTCGAATGACACCCGTTCGATCCTCCCTCAACGCTTTCCGACACCCGCGGTTCTTTTCCACCGCAGACTACGGAGTCACCATTCTGGATCAGCATGTTCGCAATAGTATCAGCATGGCCTCAATGCGCTGAGCACACCGGAAAAAGAGCTTCTACTGAAGTAACGAGTTGAGGTACATAATCACTCAGTAGTTAGACTAGTGGGTTGGAGATCCGATCTTATCAGATCTCTACCCAATTCAAGCTTTTCGCCACTCAATCTGCCGCACCAGCTATCACTATTACTATTACTATTACTATGACTCTGGAGTAGACATTTACTCTTCTTTGAGAATGCGCAAGATATCATCTGACTTCTCTACTCGTCTTCATCGGCGATAGAGTTAGCTCGTGTGAGGAAGAGTCAATGGCAACAGCATGGACACTGACTTACATCATCTCCGGGTATCCGAGTGGAATGCGCGATTTGTGCGTTCTTGAGAGCTTCAGAATCTTCCGCGCACAAAACGCGCAAGGTTGCCTCTTTTCCCCACAGATGATTATAAATGATATCACTCGCCGTATTGAAGCTTCTCATATTAATAGGCATCTGTGTCTTCCCGGAATCCTTTCTCCATTTCAAATGCTCAGCTCCCCCTTACCTCACTTTTGTCCCCATTCATATCCACGACTAAGGGGCCAGGAACAATCAGAAAGTATCACGAATGGACTGACTCATTTCCTCACACCCCCTTGACCAGCCACAGAACATTCCTGGTCAACATTTTCCAAACCCTCAAGGGAGTTTAATCTCATCCCTTCAGCCACCTCGTGGTTGAATCATGTCGCAGCCCACTACCAACGGAGCCATCGCGCCCCGTGCGACCACCCCCGGACTCAGCGCCAGATCCCTGAGAAGCACATTCTTCGTCAGCAATATTCACTGTTCCTCCTGTGTCGCCTACATTGATGAAGTCCTGTCCGAGATCGACGGCGTGATCAAGGTCGATGTGTCCGTACTCACGCACGAAGTCCGCGTCATGCACACGGCAGGCGCGGAGCCACCCGACCTGGCCAGAGCGCTGATTGACGCTTCGTTTAATGTGCATCATTTTACGAGCTACGAGCCGAAGGGCTCCGTGGTAGCGGACTTTGATACGACCGCCTGGCTGCCCCGCGACTCGATTTTCTCAGCCAGCCAGCCCGGTGCGCACGCAACTTCGGCCCCAGGGACTCGACATCTCGAGAATTGCGATGCCTGTCGGCAGGAGGAGGCCGAAAGGCTCGCGGCTGGGGTCGACCTGTCGGATGGAGATTTGCGGTACCAGTCGACTTCGGACGTTGCCACCGATGGATTGAATGACAAGATAGCCGGGCGCGTGTCCCAGCGGCAGGTGCCTAGGACCTCAGCGGAGAATATAGCGACGCAGACATCATCAGCGCATGGCTCGTCACAACCTTCAGAAGAAAGATTCAAGGCGCGCGTGAGCATTGGCGGTATGAGCTGTGCTTCATGTGCGAACAGCATCACCAACGAAGTCAAACAGCTGGACTTCGTGGAGGACATCACCGTCAACCTGCTCACGAATAGTGCCGTGGTGGTCTTTGTCGGTCCGCAGGGGAATGTCGAGAAAATCGTTGGTCAGATCGAAGATATCGGGTTTGAAGCTTCTCTCGATGAGGTTCAGAGCCTTACTGTGGCTCCAAAACACAAAGAAGCCATACCGACTTACGTTGCAGAGGTTGCCATCACTGGCATGACCTGCGGCTCCTGCTCGGGCGCCATCACTCGCGGGCTCGAAGAGCTACCGTTCGTGCTAGAAGTCTCCATCAACCTCTTGACTCACAGTGGACGAGTTGAGTTCCAGGATCGTAAAAACATTGACGCTATTGTGGAAAAGATCGAAGACCTGGGGTACGATGCCTCTGTGAACAGTATCTCTCCCAAGGGCGCATGCCAAGAGAGCGAGATCGGCGAAGAAAGGACGGTTTCCGTTCATGTGGATGGCATGTTCTGTCACCATTGCCCGGAAAAGATCTTCAAAGCAGTTGAGGAGCTGCCCGATGTCAAGGTGCAGGGTGCTCTCTCCGTCAACAACCCGATCCTCACCGTGACCTACACGCCCAAACCACCCTCTCTCACCATCAGAACCATACTGCACACCATCGGGAAATCGCACGAATCGTTCACCGCTACCGTATACCACCCGCCCAGCGTGGAAGATCGATCTCGGGCGATGCAACGGCATGAACGACAGCGCCTACTCACTCGATTCGTCTTTGTTCTGATTGTAGCGATCCCCACGTTTTTGCTTGGCATCGTGTTCATGACGCTCGTCGCATCGGACAACCCGACGCGCAAGTATCTGGAGGAGCCGATGTGGGCTGGGGATGCGTCGCGCCTTGAGTGGGCGCTTTTCATCATGACTACTCCTGTCATGTTCTATGGTGCGGATATCTTTCATGTGCGAGCAATGAAGGAGATCTACTCGCTCTGGCGCCCTGGTAGTCGTGTGCCAATCCTGCGGAGATTCTACCGCTTTGGTAGCATGAACCTTTTGATTTCTGCTGGAACCATAGTGGCGTATGTCTCTTCCTTGGCTGTCCTTATCATGGATGCCTCCATGGGATCTTCGTCCAACACGCATAGTTCTACCTACTTCGACACAGTGGTATTCCTCACCATGTTCATCCTCGCTGGACGCTTCATGGAGGCCTACAGCAAGGCCAAGACGGGCGATGCAGTCACATCACTCGGAAAGCTACAACCAAGCGAAGCTGTGCTCAAATCAGACCAATCTACTGGGGACGGCGCAGAAGCAGGAGCCAAGGTAGACGACAGCAGCTACCAGCGGGTTAGCGTTGACATGCTGGAAATTGGCGATGTGGTCAGCATCCCCCACGGTGCCTCACCTCCAGCGGACGGAGTGGTAGTCGGAAATGGCTCTTATCAATTTGACGAGAGTTCCTTGACCGGAGAATCGAAGCCCGTGCACAAGTCCACGGGCGACTCTGTGTATACTGGCTCCGTCAATGTGGGACAACCCGTGGATGTCAGGGTCACTGCACTTGGCAGCTCTTCCATGCTGGACCAGATCATCGCGGTGGTGCGAGAAGGTCAGAGCCGGCGAGCGCCGCTGGAGAGAGTGGCAGACCTTTTGACTTCCCACTTCGTCCCGACTATCACCCTCATCGCCATCCTGACCTTCGTCATCTGGCTCTCGCTTGGACTATCTGGCACGCTCCCCGCAGATTACCTCGACGTCAGCCGCGGAGGGTGGACCTTCTGGAGTCTGGAATTCGCGATCGCCGTCTTCGTCGTCGCCTGCCCCTGTGGCCTTGCGCTGGCTGCTCCGACAGCGCTCTTCGTCGGCGGCGGCTTGGCAGCCCGCCAGGGAATCCTCGTCAAAGGCGGCGGCGAAGCCTTCCAAGAAGCGAGTCGCCTCGACGCCATCGTCTTCGACAAAACCGGCACTTTGACTGAAGGCGGCAGTTTACGGGTGACTGACCACGAAGAGCTCATCACCGACGACCCAGACCTCATGTCCATCGCCTGGACCGTCACCCGCAAGCTCGAAGAGAGCAGCAACCACCCCATCGCGCAGGCCATCGCAGCCTTCTGCCGCGAGCAATCCAACCTCGCCTGCAGCGTGGACGAAATCGAGGAACGCAGCGGCCAAGGCATGGTCGGCACCTTCACCATCACCACCACTAACCATAACAAGACGGAACACAAACAGTACGAAGCGGCCATCGGCAACCAACGCCTCCTCGACGCCCTCACAGCCACTCAGCCCGACGACAAAGCAGACCACAACACCCTCACCCACAAGCTCACCACCCACCAATCCGCCGGCAAATCCACCGCCATCCTCCTCCTTCGACGCATCACCCAGCCCACCACCACCAACAACAACAGCAACAACGCAAACCCACCATTCACCCCAGCCCTCCTCTTCGCCATAACCGACACCATCCGCCCCTCGGCCTCCCGCGTCATCAACGCCCTCCAACACCACAAAATCGCCGTCTACATGTGCACCGGCGACAACCCTACCACCGCCTTATCCGTCGCCTCGCAGCTCCACATCCCCGCCTCCCACGTGCGCGCCAACGTCACCCCCGCCGGCAAAGCAGACTTCATCCGCTCCATCCAAACCACCTCCAGCGCCAGCAGTCCCGACAGCAACAACCTGGAAGACGACCTCGAGGCCCAATCCCCCCCACCACGCGGACGCAAGATCGTCGCCTTCGTCGGCGACGGCATCAACGACTCCCCCGCGCTCACCACCGCAGACGTCAGCATCGCCCTCGCCACCGGCTCCGACGTGGCCATCAACTCCGCCAGCTTCATCCTCCTCAGCAACAACCTCGACACGATCCTGCAGCTGGTGCGCCTCAGCCGGCGGGTGTTCCGCCGCGTGAAGTGGAATTTCGCCTGGGCGTTGGTGTACAACTGCTGTTTGGTGCCCGTGGCGGCCGGGGTGTTTTATCCGATCGTGAGCGGGTATAAGGTGGTTGGTGATGATGACGGCCACCAGCAACAGAAAATGGCGACGCATTGGCGGTTGAGTCCTGTGTGGGCCTCGTTGGCGATGGCGTTGAGTAGTATTTCGGTGGTGTGTAGTAGTCTCGCGTTGGCGGTGGAGTGGAAGTTCAGGAGGAGGAAGTGATTTTAGGAACCAGGTAAACATGGCTCTGGGTTATGCATCTCGTTTTGAGTTGCGTCTGTATATTTGATGAATGAAGTTGATGTATGGAATATTTGGAGATTTTCTCTTGAAGCAAATTTGCTTGATGAGGGGAGCAGTAGGATATAGAACAATCTCAGTAGTATCTGGGGCGTCGTGATCTTGTGACTAGCATCAGAGTTTAATCTTTGTTTGCATACACACCTTGCTAATCAATGCCTTTTGAGAAGGGTACATATCTCTCAAATCTATCTCTACCTGATCTACTCCGTAGTATCCATAACACTCACTCCAGAACTTAACCACCAATACCCCAGCTCCAACCCGCCAAATCAGCTTCAGTGATAACCTGTCCAACATCCCAATACTGAATCAGACCAAATAACCAACCCGCTCTATCCGTCCTCGCCCCACACTTCAGCAATCTTCTTGCTCAACACCTTGGCAACCTTCTTCCGCGTCACAAGATTCTGCATTTGGTCCGACACCAAGCTCTCCCGCTCCTTTTCGCTGAGGGATTCGAATGCTTGGACAAACGCCTGCGGGGTCTGCCACCGACGCTGGATCTCCAAGGCCTTCTCACCAGTCACACCCCGGATGCACATGAGCATTTTCAAGAAGATATCGCGCAGGGTCAGGACGTCGGACTTGGACGTCAACGCTGAGAACGTGGAAAAAGTCACAGCAAAGGTAGTGCTCGGCTTCCCTGCTCGGAAGCGCTGAAGCGTATCGCGATACGACTCCGAGGAGGACAGTTGCCGGCTAGGAATCAAGGCGAGAGTGTGGGAGGGCGTTGCGCCGGATCCTGCACCATACATCTTCCGCAAGAGGTTAGTCATTCGCGCCAAGTAACGGATGGAGTCGTCGAGGTTTTTGGTTCGCTTCACAAAGTAGCCATTGACCACTTGCGTTGAAGTTATAGCCGAGACAACCATTTCATCGTACTTCATCGTGCTGGCTGGGTCTTGACTGAAGGTGAATTCTTCGATGAGGTAAATGACGTTTTTGATCCCGGAGCGGCGAAGACGGAACTTCTGTTCGTGGAACCGGCCATCCTTCATGGACCCGATCAGATCGTCGAGTCGTTTCCGCTCCACAATCCAGTCCAGCATCATCTCGTCGCCTTCCTCCCCGTACCGGGACAGGAAGGTCGGGTCGTGGAACTTCGCTACCCACATGACATCGCCTAGTTCTAGAGCGCGCACCTCTGGTGTGACTCCTTTCTTGCTGAGTTCATTAGCCAGGTAGTCCCTGTCTCTGGAAGACCGCACTTCACGCACGTCCAGGACCAGCTGAACCGTGAAGCTGTTTGGTGGGATTACAATGGGAGTCACCGTTCCTCCCGGAGCAGCATCAAATACATGACGGTCGTACTGCTGGTGAGGTTGTTTCTCAGTCTCGATGCTGGCTTGACGGGTTACCTGTGGTATAGCATTTCTAGGTGCGCGATCAGAAGTGACATTGCCCGCATCTGGTTGAGTCTAAATCCAACGTGTTAGAAAAGCAAGAGGAAATAGCAATCATAGAGACCAAGAAACTCACAGGCTCAGCACGGAAAGGCAGCGTGCTCTGAGTCGGGTCAGACGATACAGCCACCTTGATCCTCTTCGCAACTTCCCATCCTTCTTCAGTCAGGGCGTATTTTTTCAGTGGACGGCCATGATCATAGACAAGCTCTTTCTGAAGGAGAGTCTTCATCGAAGCCCATGCAGTGTGAAACTTGGATGAGTCACTTGGGGCTGTGAACGAGCTATCGCAATGTGACTGGGCTGCCTCAATTAGTTCTGCTTTTGTCATGCCCTGGGTCGCATGTTCGTCCAGTGTCGACAGAGCCAAGATGATCGCGTAAGGACCAGACCGCAGAGTCGGCACATATGGCTTGACTTTTCTAGGTTTTTTGGCTGGTTGTGCCTCTGTTATCCCTTCATCGGAGGTTCGCTTATTCCTGGCTGCTGTATTTTAGAACGAGTCTGTATCCAAAGAAGACGCAGAGGCAGATGACCGACATTTGTGGGGGTGCTCGGGCATGGGGAGGCCATTTTCCTCGCAGTATTCCTTGAGCTTCTCAGTCAAGCGATCGCACAGCTTCGGGCCCAGCCCGTTGAGCTGCTGAGCTTCGGACGGATGCTGAAAGACTAGTGGACAGGCTTTCATGGACTCATAGGCCTTCTTGTACCTATCAAAGCGTCAGTGTGTAACTACACCGACATGGAGATACAAGACGCTACGAACACGATGATGCCTTTGCTGTTGCGCTCTCGGGCTTGGTCGAGCCATTCTTTGATCCACCCCAACAGCAGGGGATTGGCGCAAGTATTGCTCATGATTCGGCAGAGCTAGTAGACCCCCATGGGCATACTCCGTACGGGGGCAGGCGAGTCTCAACAACACACCAATGACAGAGACAGGAAGAGATTGGGTCATGGTACCCACATCTTGTCAACAAGGACTGGGAAGATCTGGTGATGCGAAGTGACGTTGCGGCTTGAGGCCTCGCTTCCACAACGCGCCTGCCGAGCAAGACACGCGTATCGCCTCTTTGAGCGGTTCGCCACTTGTGGCTGATGTGTGATATAATTGCGGCGCAACTGTGGCGGTGCATATCACTTTTGGGTGTGCGCGGGCCATGATTGGCTATGCGGCTGACTATAGCACAATGTACCCGGCCTACCTTACTACTGAGTAATACGACAAGGCCAGTCTCAGTGTTTAATATGTCGCACAAGAGAGGGACCCAAGAGAGAGAAAAAGGCAATTGCCGGTGATAAATGTGGAGTAGACTTAATTACCGTGCATATATGTCAGTGAGATCCCACTAAAATAAACCCCCTGGGCGAGTGGATTACAGGAACACCAGTTCTCCGATCTGCCCGCTTGACTGGTTCATGCGATGACGTCGATTTTACCCACCTCCACCCCCCATCTCCTTCAAAACCCCTTTGACATGCGCCAACTCCCCCATCTTTCCTGTCTACAATGTACTGCATGCATGGTCTTCTCATGACCCCCCCATTTTCAGCATGTCTCTCCACGATCCCACCAACAATGCCCAACAGGTCTCCTATAGCACCAAGAACAGCCGCGAGGGCATTCTAGGCGCCGAACGCACGACTACTACTGCTCACGTATCTGGTCCAACTGATAGCCATATTCTGTCCAAAGTCGATCAGGATGAGAAGGGGCTCGCGCAGAGGGCTGGTGACACTGATAACGTCACGGACGTGGGATGGGACAAACCGCCGGAGCAGATTCACGAGCGCATTGTCTCAGGCTTGTCGAATGAAGACCTGTGGATGCTAATACGCCGATTTAATAAGGTAGCCATCATGGGATCATCTCAGCATAGCTCAAGGTACTGATTTTGACAGCAAATTTACTATGTCAAAGCTATGCCGGAGGCTCCCCTTCAAAGGCTAGACATGAACCGCGCGGAAGACGAGCAGTTTTCACCGGACAAACTGCGAGCAACCCTCGAGCGATTCTATACCACTATTGTTGTGTCCTTGACTGCATTTGTAAAGCATATTGCCAGACTACGTTCGTGGCGGGAGCGCGATCGGACAGCCGGGTTCTGCCTTGTAGGTTGATGTCTCAGGGTTGCCGTGAATATCGGCGACATGGAATGGCTCACAATTATAGGTTTATTTCGCTGCATGGATCCTTGACCTACTCGCGCCCACATTCTTCGCTTTTCTTTTGGTTCTGGTCGTTAGTCCTCAATCCCGGCAATTCTTGTTCCCTCCTGCGCCTATTCCGCTGGTAAGCACGGATACCGGGGGCATACAGAAGCCCAAAGCAGGGGTTCTGGGTTCACATGACAGTATCACGGGGGCTCCGGAGAAGATGAAGGGTGAGGCGGCTGAGAGAGAGGCTTCAAATCTCATCACCAGCGTCGCCAGTGTCGCCGTGGGCAGTGTGGCAGGGAAGCACGATCAGGGGACTCCCGAAGATGCACCTATCGAGTCTTCTGTGCCAGATGCCATGGAAATTGCTACCAGTGCAGCGGACGCACAGACAGCCGCCCACGGAGAGAGAACGGATGAGTCCCACGATAAGACCAAAGAGCCAATGAGGGATTCAGTGTACAACGGTGCGAACCTAGCCATGCGCATCCTTGCGGACATCATCGACACCTGGGAACGATTTGGTAAGTAAGTGCGCCCATCACCTTTGACTGCTTGAAGGTACATCGTAGCTGACACTCGGCAGTGCTCTGTCTCCCACACCCCCGTTCTCCATGATTACCCCATACCTCCGTCTGGCGAGCGTGCTCTCAGTAGGCTTTCTCACATCTCTCGTGGTTTCTGCCCACATGTTCGTCAAGATGAGCACCTTTGGCGTGGGTTTTGCTTTCTTCGGTGACCCCATCATCAGACGCGGAGTGGCGTACTTGAACCGTGAATACCCTCGCTGGGAGAAACTCCTCGAGCTCCAGAAGTATGACCTCATCCATCCATCCAATTACCATATCTGGCTGACAAGGATGTTATAGCTCCCTGCTCAAGGGTATTCCCACCAACGCCCAACTTACCCTAACTCTCCTCCGCATTGGCGAAGCCAACGGCGCTCCTCTTCCCCCTCCTCCATCCCATTCGCTTCACCACACCCCATCCCAACCTGCCCCCGTCCGCAACGAGGATATCAACCTGGACGCAACGGACGAAGAGATCAACGCAGCCATCGCCCCGACCCCGCAATCACTCGACACAAATGACACGCACGACCAACACGACATCCACCCGCACCCGCCAAAGAAGGGATTCGCAAGCCGTATGCTGGGCTTCTTCCGCGGGACAACCGCGACAGGTATTGAGAGCAAGCTGGCAGTCGACCGGGCCAAAGCCGCCGTCGGCTCCAAGCGGGCCAAGGGCCGTGTCGGCGTTCTTCGCAAGAAGGGCCAGATCACCCTGCCCTCGGGCCCCGTGCAATTCGACGGCCGCTACCGTGGCAAGCGCGGGGTGTTGGTCATCGATCAGTCCCAATCCCCGCCGCTGCTGTACTTCACTACCGACCAGTCGGTGCAGGTTAACGACCCCACGCTAGAGCGCCGCTCGAAGAGCTCCGTGCTCTTTTCCATGCCCGTCTCCGACATCCGCGAGATGCGCAAGGTCGGCGGCTTGGGCTGGAAGGGCAAACTGGTGACGGGCTGGGCGGTGGGCAGTAAGGAGGTGGTGGACGGGCTGAACCTGGTTGGCAAGCTGCCGACTCAAAACTACCAGCTCACAGCCATGAAGACGCGTGATCAGCTCTTCAACCGGCTCGTGGCTATTGATGGACAGGTCTGGGCGAGCTACTAGCCCCTCTCCCTCTACGTCTGGGCGTATCAAGTGCTAAGGTGTTTCTCTCTCTTTCCAGATTTGGAAATAAGTATTTCCCCCGGTATCCTGCCCTTCCCTTCCGTTTCGCAGACGAGTAGATGGAGAAATCGCCAGGGATAATTTTCGGGCGGGTTATAATCGAGCAAATTTCTGTGAAAAATCGGTGAAGCACAAGGGGGGGGGTTTTGTTTTTCAGGATTATGATATGCTTCGTTGTGATTTTTATTCGTGATCAATTTGGGCTTGATAGGAACGGAAATTTCAACTTGTATTGGTACATAGGCACTCTAATCACAACATGTCAATTTCTTCTATACACTCATCAGCCCATCATTCATCTCCTGGTGTTTATACTATCCAACTTGCCCGTAGATCCTCGATAGAACATTGCTGGTCTGTAAAATTGCTTGCATCTGACGGTCGACTTAAGTAAGAATTCTATTCTTCGCAGGCTCGCATCAACTCCGAGATTAGAACGCGGGGACTTGGCCCGATAAGTTTTGCTCCCTAAGTTTTAGATGCTGAGCTTCAGCATTGGCTTTCAAATGCGGATTTCGTCGACCAATTGGGTTTGGTGCTGGCTGTGATTACACGTTAGCCTTGTATCGGAGATGATCAAAGAGATCTATGTTACGCATTAGCGAGGGATCTTCCATTCTGTCTTTCTTGAAGGTGTTGAGGTGATATGGTGTTTGAAGTAATTTTGCAGCTTACCCCGCAGTGTCTCCCCACATCCCGTGGGGGGACACAGGGTCTGGATGAGGAAAATGTCAACAAAGGGGAAGATTCTGACTAGTATTTGAGATGTAGTAGTTCTTGACACGGGTGTAGTCATCCAGATCATTAGCACGAGGAGAGTCCGAGTTTATGGATAGTAAGCACTATTCAAGCTTCGAAGCAGTCAAGAAAGAGAGGTGAGGATCTCCCAGGGTCGTCCGCCGTCATCAAGTCGAGCGGAAGCGGGGTTCCCATCCATCGTGTCTTGCGTTCTTCTGCTTCTTCCTTTCTCCCCCCACTTCATTTCCAACTTCTCTCTTCTACAACAGACTCCCTTCCACAGTGCTGGGCTCAGGCTTCATGGTCCAGCAAGATCTCATCTTCGTTAATGCGCTTCACTGACCAACCAAAATACAGAGAACCGCGTTGTGCAGATCTTCTTCGCCCAACAGTCCATGACCACTGGCTGCAAGATGCCGGAGTATCCCCGATCCCACCGGTAGTCGATAGTTCCTAATCAACCAACATTATGAAGCGCTCTTCACATGATGCCAATATCGATGAGGTTCCACCCCAACATAGCCGACGGCCCTCCCTTATTCCCGATGGCCGAACATCTGCCCCCAAGATCTCCAAAGCTCGCGCTTGTGAGTTCCCTGGTTTGCGAGGTGGTGGCTAAGCCCCGCCTATAGATCTTCGCTCTCGGAGCTCTTCTCGGCGACATACTAACCTCAAATACCATACCAGGTGCCGAATGTAAGCGACATAAGATACGTTGCGAATTCAAAGCAGGGGAAGCGAGCTGCACGAAATGCACCCGTAGCGGCATCAAATGCATGGTCAATGACTTTTCCCAGAAATTCGTCGACGATGATGTGATGTGAGCCTTTCTGTTCGCAGTATAGCCCGAGTGATATAAGGCAGTTCCACTAACAGATCGACCCATCCAGGTGGAAGTCGCAAGCGGCAACCACGATCCGACAGCTGCAGGCGGCTGTCTCGCATCTGCTCCGTGAGGGAGGGCTTCCCGGACTCTCATCCTTCTCGGGCGGTGACAACCAGAGTGGTACCAGCCCTGCTGATTCTCACTCTGACCTGCAGCCCTCATTTGCTGGATCGCCCGCAGCCAAGCAGTCGGCCGAGCCCGGTGTCGTGATGGACGTTACACGAGAGCCATCCCAGGAACCTGACCTTCAAGATCGCGAACTAGTACCAGCACCCATGCGGAGTCTGTACGAAGTCACGAAACTGCGCAACCTGCGCAACAACCCTATCGAACAGCCTCGGGTTACACTTCTTGAGGAGGACTTCATTTCTCGCGGACTGATTTCCATCCACGAGGCCGAGGAGCTCTTTGCGTACTTCAGTAGGACCATGAATCAGCTGCTGTGGGGTGGGATTATCCTTGTGCATCGCGATCTCACTTCCGTCCGGCGGGCTTCCACCCTGCTCTGCGCCGCTGTCCTTACGGTTGCAGCACTGCATATTCCCAACCGGACCGAGACGCTGAACCGGTGTTACAGCGAGTATGTGTCGCTGGTGTCGAGTATGTCGCTGACACGGTCTCACACTTTGGATGACATCCGCGCTCTCTGTATTGGTGCCTTTTGGCTGTCAGAGTTGAGTTGGAAGCTGTCCGGTCACGCGGTGCGCATCGCAACCGAACTAGGTCTGCATCAAAGCTACCACAAGATGCTGCGTGGTCACAACGACCAATACGAGCGTGCCCAGCTCTGGTACCTCATGTATGTGTGCGATCATCACTTCAGTATCGCCTACGGCCGTCCACCCGTAATTCATGAAGACGCCGCTATCCGGAACTATGAGACATTTCTACAATCGCCGTTGGTGGTGCCAGGAGATATTCGACTTATGGCACAGGTGGCGCTTTTCATGATCCTGACAGAAGCTTACAGGACTTTTGGCAGTGATGGCGAGCAACCATTTACAGAGAAGGATTTTGGTCAGTTACGCGTGTTCAATGTGGCTATTGACCAATGGCGGCTCCTGTGGCAGCCCCGATCTGGTAAGTACTACTACTTGTTCATAGCCAGATGAATTCTGCTAACGTGTTTGCCGGCACTAGGTGACAGCCCCTATGTCCGGACATATCCGTCCAAGGGAGTGGTCCTTCACTACCACTTTGCCAAATTCCAGCTGAATTCGCTGTCCTTGCGGGCCTTATCTCCAATCAACACTCCAGTATTTTCGATGGACCGCAAAGAGTCCGCGAACACGGCGATCGCTTCTGCCATGGCATGCCTCAATATGGTTCTAGAGGAACCCGACATCCGAGATGCGATAGTCGGGGTCCCTATATTCACGCACACGATGGTCACATTCTCCGCCGTATTCCTCCTGAAGGTCGCTATCAACTGGAACTCAGCCTACCTCAGTCTCGATGGCCGCCAAGTCCGTCGGCTAGTGGAGCGGGTAATCGAGCTTCTCAATTGTGTCTCCGCGGGCGAGAGACATCTGACCAGGCATATCGCCCGTGGACTTGGCAAGATGCTGGAGCGGTTTGATACGTGGGACTCGTGGCATGCGAGCAGCACGTCTGTGGCCGACCCTGCGGCCACCGATGCACACGGCGGCGATGTACCGGGCGGCGCGAATGCCATGGCCCAGGGGTTTCCGCCGCCGGATCTGATTTATGACATGGTTGGCACGTACGGGTTTGGACTGGATGAGAACTTTTTGGATCCTAGCATGGCGAGTTTCGAATTTCTGGCGCAGTAGGCGAGCTGTACATAGGCCTTAGGCTTCTCATGGTGAGAGTCATCCAGCTGTAAGAGGTTCTCTCAGTAGACCCAAAGGGATACCAAGGCGCCCTGAGGTAGAATATTTTAGCCCGTCCTGCATGCGTAGCTCAGATCCTGCGTTGGCCTTGGGAGACCGCTGCTAATGCTCCAGAGACGACACCCCTGTTTACCCTGTTTGTGCATAAAGAATTCCTGAGGCAACGGACCCCCGAGGAAAACAAACACCGAATCTCTCCAGAAAGTATTTCCTTCAACTTAACATCCAAACTCATCTCATAATTCGTTTGAAGAACACAGAATGTGAGGGACTACGAACCGAGATCTCACACCAAATACTCCTACTCAACGATGCACTTTATCACTGCTAGTTGCATCGAGACGGTCCCACACAGATATCATCAAACCATCCATCAACCATCCCATCTTTGGCTTGTACTGTACAATGTTCTCAATACTACGGACGGTACACCCAAGTGCCATCGCCCCTCGCACGGTTGAACACCACCGCCTGATTGGCTTCACCAGTGCCACCATTCGCTGCCAGTAAATCAATCGCTGGGATTACGATAGACTAGATCCCTGAAGCTCCTCCACATTGGTTCCAGCACGAGGCACGGATGGGCCCCGCCGGGACGCGGAATCGTAACAATATCCAGTGCTTTCCGTATGTGAGTATAGCAAGGGTGCTGTAAGGTCCCCTGATCTAGTTGCTTATAGATGTGAAACTCTTCCTCATTAGTTTCGCCATACTGACCGTGTAAGAACAAGCAAAAGCTAATGGTTTTTAAAGGGCTGGGAAAGTGACGAGGGCAATGAGTCTCAAATGTGATGATTGACAAAGGTGATAAAGGCAAGATAGATACTACTAGGTAAGTATACGACTCGGTAATTTGCGAATTATAATCGTCCTTGTACCACATTAGATTGCGCTTTACCCTTTGCAGCCGATTAGTTGTAATTAAGCACAGCGAAAGACCCATAATTCCTACATACTAATCAGATATTCAGTTCGGGGAGTTTACTCCGTACTATGGCTTCCCGCTAGGGTTGGGAAGTCTGTGCTGTGCGCCCTGTTCAGCAGTCCGCATGGCGTTAGATTGGCCTTGGCAAGTGGACAGTATGGTAAGAAGATACTTGGTAGGTAACTTCTGTACTCTGTACTGTACTAGTTAACTAGTTTATGAGTGTAACGAGGCTGACATCATGAGTCTTTGTCCACGTCCAGGGGCGCTTCCGCCCACTCACCCCGAAGTTTCCGTACCTGTTGAAAGTTCAAAACCGCCCCTGGATGGCGCTGCATGCCCCAGAGTGTCTGTGCGCCTCCGCGTTGCTCGGTACCGTCACCCCACTTACCATACACCCGCCACCCGCTTTCTTCTGCTTCTAGCCTTTCCCTCTCTGCTTATTTGTGATTCATTGGATTCTTCGAGAACCTCAATGTTTTCCTGTCAGTTCTCGCTCATGAGAAAATATCAAATCTGTCTCAGACACAAGCATCTACTTGTATCAGGAGTTGTGACCACCTTATGGCAAGCGGAGATGCAATTGAGCGTAACCGCCCCAGATCCGATGAGAATGATAATCGTCATGTCATCACTGCGGAGTACCTTTGGGGCTACGCGCACGGCCTCGGCACGGTTAATCCAACGCCCCATGCAAGAGGAACACTGAGTCTCTGAGCAGTGCAGGAGCAGCGCAGCGCGCGCAGTAGGAGCAGCAGAAGTAGTTCAGCAGCTTGGGGGCTGACAAAAGTAACAGGCTGACTGAATGCCCCGTCCGGGTCAATCTCCCCCTTCCCTTGGATTATGGCGATGTCCGATGTCTGTCTGCGTAGGCCGTAGGTTCCCTTCCTTACCGGCCGTGCTCCCCCCCTCTCTCTCCCTCACTCTGTGCTTCTCTTCCCTCTTATACTTCCCTCACACCCCCAGCTTCCCTACTCTTCCTCCCTCCCCTCTTTCTCTCTCTCTCTCTCTCTCTCTCTCACACCTCCCTACCTGACACACACACACACACGCACACACACCCTCTTTCCCTCTCTCTTCCACTTACACTCTCTGGAATTGAAATTCCATTGCCTTCCACTCTCATATCCAGCCAGCCATCCAAACCCTCCGGAAATTCCCTATTGCGCAATTGACTTATCCTTACCTCCCCTCTTCATCTATCCGCTCAACACCATGTCCACCCGCAAGAGAAAGCAAGAAGCCGAAGAAGAGGAGGAGCTCCAATCGCTCCCTGAAGACAGCGAAGAAGAAGAGGAGTGAGTTTCTCTCTGCAGTTTAGATGGTTTCTCAGTTTGCACTCCGGTTGATTTTCTTTCCTTTCCTGTTTTTTTGCTTTCTGGTGCAGCGCGCGCATATGCATGTCTCCCTTCTCAACTCTTTTCTTCCGTACTTGATTCAACATTCATCGCATCAACATTCATCGCAACAAGTTGCAACATCTTTACGGGTCAATTACTAACAAGGCTGGATGTGAGAAGATACGAAGACTCTGAGGTAGACCAGAGCGATCTCGGTAGTGGGGGCGAGGAGGAAGAAGAAGAAGGAGAGGAAGAGGAGGAACCCGAGGAGGAGGCTGAAGAGCCACAAGAGGAAGAAGGTATGTTTATCTGTCTACTTATGATAGATTTATCACTTGTTGAGTCGCGTTATTTATCGACTTTGCGCTAATCTCTCCCCGTCACCAGCCCCTGCGCCTAAGAAACGAAAGACCGCGCCCGCGCCTGCAGATGCGGATGAGGGCGAAGCTGCGCAGAACGGCGAGGAAGACGATGCCGCAAACGGAGCTGGCGAGGAGGAGGAGGAGGTGGATGATAATGAGCTCGACGAGGAGGAGCTCGCTGACGATGATCTGGAAGACGAAGAGGTGGAGGACAATGACGACGATGACGCTGCCGCTGCTGCTGAGACGGCCAAGACGAGTGGACCCGCCAAGGCGGCGGCAAAGGCCAAGGGAGGTGTTGTTCCCAAGGAACCGGACGTAGATGTTGAGGGCGATGATGAGTGAATTTTTTTTTTCGGTTTGTTGCCTTTCGGATCTACACTATGAATGCCCAGGGCTATCGAGGGATTTGTGTCCGCTCGAGGATTTTTGTTGGCAGGTTGGGTTAGGTCTTTAGGGGAATATCTCGCGGTAATTTATCAGATGAGCTTTCGGTATTGAACTAATCGCGCAACGCGATGTAAGTTTTGTCTTTTTATCTAATCTCGAGTTATGGTTCGTTATGATGTCCTAGTCTGAGTCAATCAGGGGTTCGCCTGCTAAGCTGCAAGTTACGAATTAAATTATTGCGATGGCCAAGTAGGTTATGTTTGTTGTGACGATCGTAGTAAACAGACTGTGAAATTCTTACTGGTCGTGGGATTATCGCAATGCATCGCGGATAAGCCTTCATAGCGAGAGAAGACTCCAGCAAAGGTCGGCTTTACCTTTGAAGAAGCCCTCGATGGCTGCCAGGGACACTATTTCTAGAACTTCCGCGACAACGAATCACTTCTTATTCGGTGCGACGTAAGGTTGAATTCACCCCTCAGCCAGGTACTCCACAGTATCCAGCATACCTCAAGTCTTTCAAGTAACAGCATTGCCTACAGTCTCAGCTTTTCACAGAAGTGAGTATTGTCCTCAGCTTAGGTGAGGAATGAATAGATAATACTCTGAAAAATATGACTGATTCTTCTTCGAGATGAGTGCCATACCGTATGAAAACAAGATTAGTGCATAACACGACATCTCCAGACTACCTCAATACTGATACTTTTCATCGATCATACACCAGTTGCGCGTGTTGCTCGCTCATGTGATTTGGTTGGAAGACGGAAGGAGAGTCATAGTCCGGTGCTTCACTACGGCAGAGTAGTTTGATTTTGCCTTCGGTTGCATCTTTGCTGCTTACTCCGACGCCGACCTCCCCCCCCCCCCCAACCACACCACCTTTCCCTCAGGTTGGTTCTTTGTCCCCGCGAATAATCACCCGTGCGCAAAACCCCCCCTGCAAACCCCTTGCGTTGGTCTACCTCCCCACAGCAAATCCCATAATTAATTAACCATCGCTCCCACTGCTCCGGAATGTCGCGCACAGTTGACAGTACTGATGCGTGAGATCCAGAACGGGTTGCGGCAGGTTCGTGGCCTGCACGATGCTCCGGACCTTGACGGCGCCTTCATCCTCGATAAGTTTGCGGATGAGGAAGAGGAGTTCCGGGGAAAACTTTGTTGTTAGATGGTCCATGTAAGTAAGGATTTTTGCAGAGACACAATTTTGCGACAAGGGGAACGTACCTCGGAATACCACCGATACTGCCACGCGATCAGACGGATCAGCGAACCCAACATCCCCCGGGTATCGTTCTTCTTCTCGTACAGCTTCAAGACTCCGCGCATCGCCTTAGGCGCGAACCGGATGGCCAGGCAGTGCTGGTAGGCCTCGATCGCTTCGTCAAAGTGGTGCAGCCGCTCGGCGAGTTCGCCCAGGATCTCCCACTCCGTCGCGGATTTCTTGTACTCAATGGCCTGTTGGCGGTACTGCGCCATCTCGGTGCGCCAGATCGTGTAGATGCGGAGGTCCTCGTAGAGGACCATGAAGAGGTTGTCAAGCCAGCGCTCGCAGAGGCGTTTGTTGCGGAACTGCGTGTAGGCGGAGTGGCTCGGGTCCGGCTGGAAGGGTGGATGGCGTGTTGAGTTATTACTCGAAGAAGAAGAAGAAGGACAAGAAAAAGAAGGGGAGGAATTGGGGGGAAATGGGGGAACTTACGTCTTCGTTTCCAGACTTGATGACTTCGGATGCCATTGATTGCTCGGGCTTTTCGATCGAACTCTCAGGCTCTTCGTCATTGAGGCCGTTGGGGGAGTCTCCCTCTTCCCTCTCGGCCCCGTCAGTGTTCGCTGTGTTGCCGTGGGTGTTGTCATCATCATCCTGCCCGTCGCCCCCGTTGAATTCCGCCGAAGTGCGGGTATTGGAGCGCGTGTGCTTGGAGGTAGAGTGCTGGCGCTCAACGCGATATTCCTCCTCCATAACGAACACTTCGCTGCGGATTTTGAGCAGCTGGTCCCAGCCAATAGCTGCCGCGACCTTGGTCAGAAGGTTGTAGGCTTTCAGGAAGGTCCCTTGGTAGCCGGCCGCGTGGAGACGGCGCAAAGAGGGATGAACGTAGTCGGCGGGATCGCCTTGTCGCGGTTGCCCTTCGTCGATCTCCTCTAGCATGCTCTCAGCGAGAATAGGCAGCATGATGCGCGTCGGTTGAGGCATGCGTGGGGTGTCTTTATCTTGGTATGTAAACATGGGGCACGAGTTCAGAGTCAAGAGCGCCAGATCCCACTGCTCCAGTCCGACATATACTTCAGCCAGCCGGGCCCAGGTGCTGAATTCACTAGGCGCAGCTGTGACCGCCCGCTTCGCGCACTCCAAGGCCATCTCCCCCTCACCTTTGCTCTGGCAGAACGCCGCTTGGCAGTCAAGGAGGGCGTAGTCCATCGGTACATCCTGCAGCGCGTCAAACATTAACCGAACCGCTTGCACCTCCTCATCAGCCATTATCATAACCTTGGCTAACAGTGAAGATACTTCGACGTCTCGTGTGCGGAGCTTTTCAAAGAGGTTGATTCCCGAAGTGTAGCGGCCCGTGGTCTGGATATACTTCAGAAGACCCGAGGTGAGATGATTGCTGACCGTGTTGGGTACTTGCGTCTCCGGGTCGGAACTCAGCTGTCGGCCTAAGCGACGTTGTCAGCTCTGTTCGGCGCAGAGCGCCAGCGGAGGCATACCTAGGAAGAACAGTCTCTCCGCTGCATCCAGAAATTTGTGCTCCATCTCAGTATTCGTCACGGGATTGAACCGCCGCACCCCCACAATCTTGCGAATGGCATCGCCGCTGCCATCATCCGCATAGGTGTATGCTCTCAGAATCGCGCAGAGGAAGGTTTCCAGCCACAAGGCCTCCGTCGCAACGCGCTTGTCGCCCCGCTCGTCGATGCAGTAACTTTCCAAACTTCCGGGTATCTTCACTTCCACGCGCATATCGAGATGGGAGAAAGCATTGTAGCAGCTGTGTATGTATTAGTACACCTGATCGGGGGGTGAACGCTTCAGACGGTAGTCGAACCAGTAGATTCCCGAAACGACTTTGTGTGTCTTGTCCAGCGGGGAGAATGTGAGAGTGTTGACATAGGCGGCCAAGCTAGCGGAGGATGAAGCGTCGACACCCGTGACATGGTGGTAGACTCCGGTCTAGGGATTGCGTCGCCGTGGGGTCAGCACTAGGTATTCGTGCGCAATCCGACCCGAACAGTGCCGTGAACGTACCTGACGATGGGAACTGGTCTTGGGCTGTTTGACCAAATAAACCAAGTCGGGCGGACCTAATTCTCGAAGATTCTGAAGGGATTCCGTGCGTGCATCGACAGCGGCGTAGATGTCCTCCTCCTCATAGATCCTGGACCCATTCAGGGGGTTGTCAGTAAGAGGTCACCACCGGTGGGCCCAATTGACCATTAGATAGCGAGGCCGCAAGAACACGTAAACGGAGGGGGAGGGGGAAGGAGGAATGAATGCCTTACTCGGGCACTGCGGGCGCAACCATGGCGCAAGCACTTATCTGGAGGGGACAAGCAAGATGAGGAAGATATCGGGTCCTGGAAGCGATACGACCTTTGTCCAGAATCAAACGAGAGACCAGAGAGATAGCGAGGCGCAGCGGGAGAACAAGCGGTGCTCCGAGTCGTCGTCACGGATCATCAATAGGGAAGGATGCCTGAATGCCTGAATGCCTGAATCTCAAGGCCTCAAGCAGCTACTCGTCCAGATACCGCTTTTCCTTTTCTGGATGGCGTGTCACTCGCTCCTCGCCCGCGGGCGACGCTCTAGACCCGCGACCCGCCCAGTGCAACCACCTTCTCCCTTCATCTTCATATCTACAACAGGGTTCTTAATACTCTGGACACCCTCTCCCGGCTCTGATCGTGCCGTCTGTGGTCTAAAGTCAAGTATTGCAATGCGGTCGGTCAGACTCAAGGCCTCTACCGCGATCCGGGAGCTTTGTGCACCCTGAAAATCACATCGACATCATGTCGACCTGGGCGGCGCTCAATATTGAGCCGGATGAGCTGATCGAGGAAGAGGTTGATGATACGAAGGAAATTCAGATCGAAGAAGCACTCAAACTCTACCAGAATGCTTTAAAGCTTCACTCCCAAGGGCCGCAGTTCTACGCCCAGGCCGCAGAAGCATATGATGCCCTGCTGGATTCGGAGATATTCAAGTATCCCGAATCCATCTCCGACTACAAGCGCGCTAACGTACAGGACTCCGATCTATCGGTCGATCTTGCTGGAGGAGCTGGTGCTGCAGAGGCACTTGCCGAGTTTGACATCAATGACTCCACTTCGAGCACTTTGATGCAGACGATTTACCTGGCTTACAAGAACCATGGTCAGTTCTTGTTGGACACGTTACGTGCAGCCCTGGAGGGGCTGGCAACCGACGTGCAAGGTGCGGAGGAGCTACCCGCCCAAATCACCCAACAGGCCAGCACGGCCCTAGCATCGTTCGCGGAGGCGCTGGAGCGCGATGATTCCGATCTCAACCTCTGGAGGCAGAGCGCAAGACTCTGTAGCACGCTACAGAGCTACCGCCTCACGCGGTACTGCTTGGAAAGCGTCCTGGCTGATGACGAGAACCGTCTGGAGGTCCGCACCGAACAGCTAGGCTTGGAGGAGACGTTTGCTGAAGAGCGTCTGCGCGAAACTCTGTTGTCCGTGCACGACCGACTATCTGTCTCACAGGTCCCTCTTAAGAAGCCGAAAAAGTCTCTTCTGAGATTCCTCAGGAAACAAGCCGATCCCTTCCCTTACCTTCCGGCACTGCCACAGCAACTCCAGGATATGCAACCATCGCGGTCACCTCTTCCTCTGCAGAGCTCGCCTCATGAGGTCAGGCCTGTCGGCCCTACGTGGACAGCGCTAGGAAAAGCTATCCTCCAGTCACTCATTGACGACGAATCCGGTGTTTCTGAGATCAGACCTGGATCGTCGGTGCATATCTCGCTTCCAGCGCTCAGCCCCGAGTCGAAGAGTACCAGAGAAGTTGCAACTCCCGTGTACCACCCGCCAGCACACAAGGTGACCTCTGAGGGGCAACCGCCTGTTCCTGCACCTACTGAACCTGAGCAGGCTACGGATGAGCCGCTCCGCGTGAAATCAGAAGGCCCTGACGACCATTCCTCGATTGATCAACGTGCGGAAAAGCAGCTTATGGAATCACTAGAGACACAATCGGTGGAGCCTCCCAATCAGGCCAATCAGCCAGAAAGCGTTAACATGGATGACGCTAGTGCAAGACCTCCGCCTGCCGGTCGCAAGCGATCTTCTGCATTCTTCCAGCCTGACGATGTCGAGAATCTGAGGGCGAAGAGCAGGAGAACACGGCTTCGAGAGTCAACCGCGCATGCTGACAGTTCTTCGCAGGCAGTGGATCCGGCTGCGGAATTCGCCAAATTCTACGAAGATCGCCTCGAAGGATATGTGCACGCTGATGACTCGATACAGTCTGCTGTAGGCGCTTTATTGGCCAAGCTCGGGGTCGAAGACCTCAGTGACATTGATGAGCTCAGAAAAGCAGTGCGGTCGATTGGTGACCGGAAAAATTCGGTTGATTCCTCAACTGAAGATTCCCACGACGGTCAACATCTGGTCCGAGACCTGCTAGACACAATCCGAAACTGGGATGAAGTAAGATCCCAAGTCACCTACCAACCCGACAGTCTGTCTACGCTTCAAGATATCCGAGGACTAGGAAACTCCGGGCTGGCTATATTCTTGGACCATTCGAGGACGTCGGCTAGGAAGCTAGGGATAAAACAGGCTCTTGCCGATGATGAGAAACTCTACAGGCTCACTAGGACGATCAATGATGATTTCGTGCATATTCGCGATGCTGCCCTTGCCTGGCTCAAAGCTCTCCTGATGCCAAAATTCGCATTGCATGCGACGGATCATAATGTGCCACAAAACTGGCCGGCTATGGAGTCCGCATACACATCCTTACAGTGGCCAGACTCGCTGAAAGAGACTGTGGTGCAACTCATACTGAACCAGGATGAGTTCATTTACAGAAACATGTGCGAGCAGGTCGAAAGCCTAGAGTATGAGATTCTCACCCGCCAAGCTGACTCTACCTTTTCTTACACCGCTGCTCATTTCTCTGTCCTTGAAATGATTCAAACACTCTTTGAACTTCACCTTGACATATATGCGTCAATTAATAATCCTAATAGTGAGGTGGACGGAAGAACGAGGCTTCAGCAGCGCGATCGCCTGGGAAGGTGGAGCCTTCTCGCACGCACTGCTCTGACACACTTCTTTGACCACAGCTCCTCAAACACTAGCTGCCAGCAAATCTATGCTCTTCGCCACATCTGGGCTTCGACTTTTCACTCCAACATGGCTAGCGACGTGCAAAGGGAGCATGTATTGCTCTGCCTTCAAGACCTGAAATACCTTTTCAACGGTCTGGAAAATCCAGTAATTGGCCTTGTGAACAATGCCATCATGCCTGATCTATCTTCTGAAGCCGTCGATCAAGAGATTTCTAAGCTTAAGTCGATGGACTTTTTCATGAAGATATTCAATCCCAACTCTGAGGATCCAGTGGATCTCATTGAGACCATTGAACCTATTCTCGAGCCTGCTTCTGTCCAGTTTGAAGGGGTTGACGAGGAGAACGAGCCAACTCATGAACCCACCGCTCAAATTACTGAGATGGGCTCATTCCTGGATCGCGGCGACGCCACGCTGAGACTCTTCCTTTGGCGAAGACTGCAAGACGCCTATAAGAAGATCGACTACCCACCCAAAGTTATTTCCTGCTACTTGCGCAGTATTGAAATCATAATGAAAGAGCTTCAAATCTCATCGCAAACCGACGAACCTAGTGAGCACCGTCAAATCACCCTGCTCCGGTGGCTGAAATCACTCGACAGCATTTTGAACAAGACCGTAACAGCTGTGCTACTCGACACTGACAAAGCATATGAGTGTTTTGACACGGATCATCTGATAGCTTCGGTAGCTGCAGTGGCCTCTCTGACCCGACTCCTTTATGGATTCTCTATGTACGAGGATCTACTTCGCGTCGGTGTGGTCACAGGCCCAGAAGTTCGCGGGGCACTGTCGAAGTCTCTTGAAAGCTTCAAGGATAGATTGCGCGAGATGCAGGTCCGCTGCTGGATCTTGCAATATACACTGGTAAAAGAAGCCATGATCCAAGAAAAAGAGGAGTTCGGCTCCCCTACGGAAGATCAAGTGAACTACTTGCGAGCAGTACATCAATGCTTGGGCATCCGCTATATGTGCAAATTGTCTCAGAAGCAATTCCTGAAACTCATGAGGTCGGAGCTCTTTGCTATAGGGATTAATGACGACACTGAGTGGGACATATGCCAGCTCCTCTACGATATTAATGGCATCAAGTGTTCGCCGCTGTATGGCGAGTTAGATGATCACAAATGCCCAACGGAAAAGCTGGATCGTACCACGGCTATCACCATGGTCAACTTGGTTATGAAGCAGGCTCAGCGATTGAGCATCAAAGATCTGTCTAAATCGGAGCTGAAATCCACTATTGAGAAGATGCAGCAGGCTATTGGTACTACGAAGTCGTCGCCTCCGCTGTCGTACAATAAGCGCATCACAAATGCATACCTAAAGTCGCCGATCAATCCTTTGGCTCTGTTCAGATCAATGCAAGGAGTAGCGAGTTTATCCTTGATCCCAGTGCTCACTGAAAGTGCTATCATCGCTCGGAATGGCTGGTACTTCCTCTTGGGATATGCGGCTTTGACAAGGTTCCGCTCACAGAAGCGCTTGAATCCGATCCCAACAAATGACCTTGACGATGCCGTGATGTGCTTCAGACAGGACATCGAGCATGGAACGGCTCGATGGGAGACTTGGTACCGGCTGGCGCAGACATATGACTCCAAGTTGGAGGAAGATATCACTTGGTCTGCTGACAGGATCAACAATAACCGAGCAGAGCTGGTGACATGGCAACGGTATGCTATTCATTGCTATGCAATGGCCATTTCGACGGCCATGAGTAATTCGGAGCCCACCCCTGAGACTCGCGAGATGCTAGCGGACCTGTTTACAGACTTCGGGATTCGCCTATACTCATCTTCGAGGGAGCCACTCTCTATGGGAGCATTTAGCCTAGCAGATTTCACGCGGCACTTCAGCAACGAGGAGAGTCAGAGCATGTATGAAGGCCGACCATTCAAGGAGATGAAACTATACTCCGTGTGGAATCTAGCCAGCTACCTTCTCAAGCGGGCTTTGATAGATAAGCCCAAGAATTGGATGTATGTGACAACGCTCGATTATGTTTGCAAAAGACTGACCACATACAGGACGCATTACATGCTAAGCAAATGTCTCTGGAAGATGTATAGCTGTGATGACTCCGTCAGGGGGCCTTTCAAACAGCTCGATATCGACACTTTGCTAGATTCTTTGCTTGACGCGATTGATGCTCTCCCGCAACGTAGGGATTCGCGCTCGGAACCGATATTTGAACCTCACTACAAGCTGGTGACGGTGGTGCACAAGTTGGTTCGACGAGGAGCTTTAGAGGTATAGACAACCCTTGGCCAACACGCGCTTGTCAGACGCTTACATCTCCATCTAGCCCGCCGATGCCTGCAAAACTCTTTTCGCTACGCCCTGGGCTCGCAAGGTGAAACCACCCGAAGACAGGGCTTCATGGAAGCCCTACATTTTGGAAGTGCTTCACAATCTAAAGAATGCGGATAAATCCAACTGGCACCATCGTATGGCATACAGAGTATGTGACGCTGGTACCAATTCTGAGACCTTGTAATATAGCTAATCTCTTCCCAGGCTGCCCGAATCATCTACGAAGACGATCAAGAATCCATTGATGCTGCCTCTATGGCCAAAAATGAGCTCACGCAGCAGATCTTTACCAAGACCATGACGATCCAGGTCTGGCGGCCAGAAAATGAGCGTCCCGGGCGACACTTTGTCTATACCACGCGCTATGCCTACTTTTTCGTCGCTTTGCTAGATCAGCTCGATGACCGCGCCAACTTGGACCAACTCCTCCGCCGTGTACGCAAAAAGCAAGGCGACTTTGTCAACCACGCCAAACTGTGGGAAGATATGTGTCTTACCTACGCGGGCGTGATCCGGCGTGCGGCACACATTAGCGAAGGCCACGAGGAGAGTGTGTTCAAGCCTATCGGCTGGGAGGAGTTCGTTGCCAACACGGCGCGCCTAGAGGGCCTGACAGACCTTGCTCCAGGGAGCGACTCCCTCCTCGAACTCATTCGCGACGCGATAGAACTCAAAAAACTCAACAACAACCTCATGAAGGTCGCGCTTCTGGAGGACCTGATCGCCGACGTTTACTCGCGCCTTTACCAGATCAACATGCCGCAGGTCCTCGAACAGGCCAACGAAGAGAACAAAGAGAAGCTGAAGGTGGACAGCCTCCCCGGCGCCGGTGGCACGATCAACAGCGACGGCGCCGCCGACAACACCCCGACGCCGCCCACCTCGGCGCCGGCCTCGGAAGCCCCCGCCCCGCGCGGCCGCACCAAGGGCATCGCAAGGCGCGACATCCAAAAGCGCTCCGAAGCCATCGTTCATCGGAAAGTCCCACCCCGGCTGCCACCCACCAGCAACGCCGCTGCCGCTGCCACCGCCGCCGCCACCGCCAACGCTACCTCTTCCACCTCTGCGGCTCCCACCGCAACAGGAGCCAGCGGCAGCAGAAAGACCCCTACGGGTGCGGACCCCACCTCCACTGCGCTCGACACCCCCTCGCATCTCTCCGACTCAACCGCTACAGCCACCGGGCCAGATGCCAAGATTCATAGAACCGGCACCACCAACAGCAGCAGACTACTTCTGGCCGAGGAATTTGCCCCCGGTCAGCAGAGCGATATTCCCGCTAGTTTGCATGATAGTGCCGACGACGAGAGCGAGCTCAGCGAGATGGACGATGAGAAGCTGTCGAAGTTGACGACGGAGCGCAAGCTTTTGTTTCCGAACTTGCGCGAGGCGTCGATGGACCCGGAGTCGGAGTTGGAGGGTCTGGCGAGCGGTGCAGACGGCGAGGACGTCGAGTTGGGCGATGCGGATGGCGAGGAGGATGAAGAGGAAGAGGAGGGTGAACGAGAAGGCGAAGAGGGCGATACGATGGTCGAGGATGCGGAAGATGAGGGCGCTGATGGTGAAGGCGAGGGGGAGGGCGAAGGGGAGGAGGTCGAAGAAGGCGACGACGGGGATGTAGACATGGAAGGTGATGAGGAGGAAGAAGTGGAAGAGGAAGAGGAAGTCGCAGAGGAAGAAGAGGTGGACGAGGAAGAGGAAGGAGAAGAAGAAGAAGAAGAAGAAGAAGAGGTTGGTGGGGAAGACGATGACGAAGGCGCCGATGTCGAAGGCGACGAAGACGAGGAAGAAGAACCCCTAGAGGGGAATGAGACCGTTGATGAAGCTGAAGCTGAGCCTTCTCAGCTCGAGGTTGCGGGCACGGACGACGACGATGAGGATGAGAACATGACTGAGCAGGAACCCTAGTCTTCATCCCTGCTTCTTATCTTCTTTCCGGGTCTTTTGTTTCTCTATTCCACATCGCATTAGCTTCGATTCCCAATTTGTGTCATTATCTCTAAGCACAGGCTCACCAGAATGCCTGTCTATTTAAGGAGAAACAAGCAATGGCCAGCATTACAGAGGCGTCAGCCACTTGAGTCACACGGAATTCTCAACGTATCGTATTGTTGTACTTGTTGATACTAGCGATATTATTATTCACATAATCTTCTGGTCAAAGTCCCAGTAAACGCCAACATCTCAGACGGATATCATAAACCCACAAGCCGGGAAAAACGACCTAACTCGTACACAAATAAACAAAAGAGCAAACCTCACCAAGGCACCGAAAAGCAGGCAATCAAATCAGACCATGAGAGTATACATACAAGGGGGGGATTACAATCTTCTCAAATTGGAACAAATGAAAAGCAAGGCTTAGTAAATATCCTCCTCAGGTGCCAGATCCCATTTTCGGGTAGCCATCTTCCGATGTTTCTTGCCCGGGGACGAGGGAGGCTGTGCAGCTGGAGAGAACATACTTTCCGCCAGCTTCAGCTGGTCCATGCGCTTGAGGGCATTCTCAATGTCGCTTTCGCGACCCAGGATATTGAAATTCTGGGAGGGTTCGAGCGCTGTGGTAGTGGGGGGCTTGGCTCTGGTTTTCTTGGTGGGCGAGCGGCAGGTGAGCTCCCGTTCCAGCGCGGCGATCTTCTTGCGCAGCTGGTCGTTTTCAAATTCGAGTTCTTCCATGCGCTCGTTTGTAGCGATGCTGGGATCTTCATAGACTGGAAGAGAATCAGTATCGACAGTCTTCCAAGGGAAGTGAAGAGGAAGGAACTCACTTTGGAAGCCACGGGAAAACAGCTCAAGCTTCTTATCCAAATGTTCCTCATTATGCCCCGTCTGGATAGAGTTAGAGTCACGAATCTGAGTACAACACAAGGAAAAACTCACCTGCTCATCCCAAGCGTTCTGCCATCGGCGTCTCTCTTCTTCCATCCTCTCGTCCATCTCGTTCCAACATTCTTCACGCACCTCTTGTTCGATGGTGAGGCACATTTCTTCGCTTGCCTTGAGTCGCATGGTCAAGTCTGTCCTCATAATCTCCTCTTCCGCGAGCCTCACCGAGAGGTTCTCATTTTCGGCTCTAAGTCGCTCAATCTCAGCAGCTGCCTTCTCCAATTCTTCGGCAGCGACAGCGTCCGTCGAATCGCGTCCCCCAGTAGACCCATGACGTGAGCCTAAGGTGCTGGATAAGATGGATTCCGTGGCCGAAGGAGCTCGGGGCACGGCAACCTCGCGGGCCAAAGCCGAGTAGCGCAGGATCTGCGAAGTCGCATTGTAGTCTCCCCAAGGGTTGGCTGTCACAATCATGATGGCTTTCTGCGGGTGGCGGAATTGGCCAAACGCCTGGCTGGGCGACGGAAAAGAGTTGGAGAAGAGTAGCTCCGTGAGCTTGCACTGTCTGAATGGGACCATCGTAGCCTATTTATGTCAGCAAGTTCATGGGGAAAACAACCATGTTTCTGTGTGTAGCATACCTTGTTGCCTTCCTGCATATCGCTTTGCATCTGTAGACATTGCCCGAGATACATCAAGCTTTCGTTAATCTTTCCAGCCTCTGCAAGAGTCGACCCCGCCGTCTTCGCGGTTCTTGCGCGCTCAGATCCTGGTTCTTGCTTAGCATATCTTTAGCTGTCAAAATGAAAGCGCCACATACCCGCTAGATCTGCCACTGTGAGTGTGTTGCCCATCCATGTCTCCTCGCCGGTCCTTTTGTTGCGCATTCTTCTCTTGACCTCAAGACAGAAAAACCCGTGACTCCGAGAACTGACGCTGTTCGCTCCTGTGCCTGCGACCTTGCGCTCAGTAAGTCCAATCTCTAGAATCGACAAAGCTTCTTCGTAAGTGCTGCATGCAATCTTGCGCAGTCCTGCAACGACCTTACGATCAGGCGATGCCTCCGTCGATTTGAAGAACAGCGGCCTGCGGCGGTCTTTCACCCCTCCTCCCGGGCGGGTCATTGTGCTTCCCTGACCAGGGACGATGGCCGGTGAAAGAAGGTCAAAGATGCGGTCATTATACACTTCGTACATTGATACGAGAACAACGTATTCCGAGTGCGGGTTCAGTTCCACCGTGAGATGACTCACATCGGGCGAGCGGGGAAGGGCAATAGCCCGTACGGGCATTTGACGACGGGGGAAAATGAGCGCTGGCATGGGATCCTTTGATGCGAGAGAGGGAGAGTTAGCACAACATGTCTTGTAGCGGTTCCAGCGGCCTGTTGGGGTTGTCAAATGGGATCCTGGTTGCTTCCGATCCGGTGTCTTGCTCAGGTCCCGGATATAGAGGGGATTTGGCAAACCAGTAGTGGGGAGACCTCCAAGGGGGAGCTTCGAGTTTGTACGCAGGCCATACGCAGCGGGCGATTGGCAGCTTGTAGGGACCCACGCTCGAAAGCTTGGAGTAGGTTGCAGAATAGGCTGGGGGAAAGGGCTCCGTACCACCATGGGAGTCTGGGCTCTTCCGGCACTCATCGGAGTCTGGGTTCTGGGACTCCTTGCACGATCGAGCGGCTCGCCATACACAGCCTCGAGGAACGTTTGCGCGCTGAAGATCTGGGCTTCGGAGGCATCGGCTGCAGCGACGGAGGATAAGAGGAGCGGGCTGATAAAGTTGTCGAGGGGTCTGATTGTCGACGCGAGGGAGCGGAAGATCACATCCAGGCTCATCTGGGTGATACCTCGCTGTGTCTTGGAGCCGAGAATGGTATGACTCTGCGGAGCGCACCATTAGCATCGCAGCCTACCCCGAGGAATGGACGACCAAACCTTTCCACTACCTGTGACGCCTAATGTTGCGACGAGGCCATCGCGTCCTTCTGCCAAGACGCCCTTTATCAGACTCTCTAGTCCGGTACCCTCGAAGACGCCCAGCTGCGAAGCGGACTCGTCAAACACTTTTGTGAAGCCGAATTTCTCAACGGCACGCTTCCTGGAGTCAGTGGGGGGATGCAGAGTGATATTTGTGGGCGAATGCTCATGAAGATGCTCTGTGGGATAATTCTCATCTGGAGATTCGATGGTCAAGCAACGCTCAGCCTGTTCTTCTTCATGCTGTGACATAGGAGGTCGCAGGCGAAGGTACACCTGGAACAGGGAGGCGGGGGCTGGTTTTGTCGAAGTCATATTCGCTGGTGGTGGTTCGTATACGCCTGCTCACACCAAAAGTACAAAGTACAAAAGTACCAAGCTCGAGACATCAAAGTTGAAGCTTGTCAGGAAGATGACGATTTGGCCAAAGTCACGTTATGGAAGTGTTGACGGCCTTGTCCCGATCGGGATGGATTGGTCGTCCCGACAACGCCTGCCGCATTGGGAAAAATCCGGGGTTGAGCCATCGTCCTTCCTCTGACTGGCTCAATGCTACAAAATGAGTACTGGACCTTAGTTATGTGTTGACTAGACGCTATCACTCGTAGACTCTTCACTTGGTAAGAAGTATGGTGAGTATCCGATCATTTGGATCAAAGCTCATAATGAGACTTTCATTTGTCTGCTGTTACAGCTATATCGTGGATTAGGAGGCATGGACTGGCAGAATTTTTAAGGGGATGATGATGAGTATAAGTATTGATGGGGACTCCTAAGTCCATCGGACAATACAAGGCTTGTTTGATCGATGATTGCTATTTGTTACTGTTCCGGTTTCCACACACGCCTTGTCGCTCTTTCACCTCGGACAGCTATGAATCTGTGGAAATAGGTAATTATCAATTGTAGACTGGGCCTACATGAGACATACATACTATGCATAGCTCCCTATAGCAACGGGTGCGTGCTCGGTAAGCAAGCAGTGAGTGTTCTTAACTACTAACTGTATTCTTGAGCGCTCAAAGCGGCGGCACCTGCGTTAATTTAGGCAAGTGGACAGGAATTCCACTGCAGCAAGACACAACAATCAACTATACACTATTATATAACATTTTCGTATTCTTGGTCCCTCGCAATAAGTTTGACGATGTACGCCTTTATTATTGCTGCACAGGCCTGTGAGCCTGCCATGACAGACCCCCTGCAAGGCTGAAATTCCTGTAGCCAATCCCCAGTGGCATAGCCTCGCTCGTATTCGCTTGTTGTCCGGGAGCTGCCAAGCCAAAGTCTCGAGATGTGTCTGGCACTCAGGGTCTATCAGGGTCCATCCATCATCAGCAGACACAAAGAGCTGGAATCAATCTTGTTAACACCCTCCCAGATGAAGTCATGAGAAAGGCTTTGTGCATGCCCTGTCGACACCGTCGGTGTGCACGATGGAGGGAGGCTGATCGCCGGGCTCATCGAGGATCCTCTTCTTGACAATCGGGCAACAACTTGTATCACTTACAACTCAGCCTCCAAGCTGGTCATTTAAAGTTGAATGTCTAAGTCAGAGGCACTTTCTAGCGCCTCTCATAGGGCCAGGGGGCTGGTTACCGAATGAGGGTTGCTCGTTTTCGCTAATCGCGCGCTACCGGACCTGGCCTAGTAATATATCTTCTGAACTCCTGGAGGAGACAACTTGCGGTGCTTCGCAGGATATCTGGCATACTCTTCGTGTTTTTGATACTATCTGAACCACAATCAACTAACATCTATCTGTCTACTTTCCCTACTTCATAGATCGCGATGTTTGAAAGAAGATCGCCGTACCGTATGTACTACTATGCCTGGGGTCAGATGTGGGTGCGTGGGTGTGGGATCTGTCCGTACTAATGCCGAGCAGAGGAGGGCAGTCTGTGGTATTATGCTCCCAACAAAGGCGCTCCCATTACGTTCGCCATCTGGTTTACCATCTCTGGGATCTGGCACATCTGCCAATGCATGTATGCTGGATTGATCTGTACTTTCTCCTCAGACGCCGCGACTGACAACCGCAGCAAGTATAAATCCTGGAAGGTGACTGGGCTTTTGCCCTGGTCGGCACTGCTCTTCACTGGCGGGTTTGTGCTACGTGCTGTTGCCGCCTGGGGCCACTGGGACAGCCTGCCTATCTTTATCGTGAGCACCGTACTTCTGCTTGCTGGCCCGTGAGTGACTTCTCGCTGGGGGAATGACGTTCCATGACTGACAGATCTCGAGGCCGGTCTATGAAGCAGCGAATTACCTCATCCTCGGGCGAATCCTCTACTACATCCCGTACCACTCTCCGATCCATCCCGGACGAGTCTTCACCACATTCCTTAACATGAGCATGATGATCGAGGTGCTTACCGGTAACGGCGGTGCCTTGGTAGCCAACGTCGAGAACCCTCCGCGCAAGCAAGACATTGGCAAGGGACTGCTCAAAGCGTCGCTGATCTTGCAACTCGTGCTGATGGCCGCGTTTGTGACGCTGGCTTCTAAGTTCCACTACAACTGTTATCGCGGAGGGGTCTTGAACCGCAAGGTGAAGCACGCTCTGTGTACCCTGTACATCAGCTGCGGGCTAATCACTGTGCGGACGATCTATCGGACGGTGGAGTACTTCACGGCGGCCAGCCTGAATGTGTCCAACATCCAGGACATCAGCCCTGTCCTCAAGGACGAGTGGTTCTTCTGGGTGTTCGAGGCGGCTGTGATGTATATCAATACGACGATGCTGAATATCTGCCATCCCATGCAGTGGCTGCCCCGGTCCAACAAGATCTATCTGGCGAGAGACGGGGTCACGGAGCTGGAAGGGCCGGGCTATAAGGACACTCGCCCTTTTCTGCTTACTCTTGTCGACCCATTTGATGTGGTTGGTCTGTGCAAGAAGCGAGGCAGACAGGAGAGGTTCTGGGAGGCCTAGGCAGGGGAGAGTGTCAAGAACACCCATGCCAAAGGGATTGCTGCTGTTTAATGGGTGATTGACTTGAGCGAATAAACATTCCGGTGTTTCTAGTTGTTCTCATCTTCGACATACTCGAATATTAGGTGACCTAGGAGGCCAGGTGATCCAGAGTAAAGAGAATAGGTTGTTTGAGTAGTGGTGAAGTGAAGTCCAGTAGCAAAAGCAGTGGTTGGCTGACGTTTTCCACTGCGGCGGATCTTCCGCCCCGCCTGCCCCGCCCCGCCATCTCAGGAAAGGAGCTTCCAGCTCCAGCTGCAGCTCCCATCGAGTCATCGATTCAGTCCAGTTCAACCCAGCCCAACCCACTGTCTCCCTTCACTTTATCCCGCCAGTATCGTGCTGCGTTTTGGATTTGTGTGTGACTCGGCACTGCTCCCCTGCTCTCTTCGTCAACGGCTGTCCCTTTGACCACTTCTACCCCGCTTCCCATCCATTCTCGTCTGCATCATCACCCCTCACCACCACAGCCACAAACACAAAACACAAACACCGATAGCCATCATGGGCAGCCAAAAGCGGATAGCCAAGGTGCATACTCCCCTCTGCGTCACTCCTCAGACCACATAACTAACAACAGTCCCCCTTAACCAGGAGCTGGCCGAACTCACCGAGTCCGCGCCCGAGGGCATCACCGTCAAGCTCGCCGACGAATCCAACCTCTACATCTGGAATGTTTACATGGATGGACCCGAGAACTCGCCTTACCAGGTACGCACCCTACCTCTTCTTCCAACCTTCACCCAACTCCACCAAGTCCCCTCAAACCCCAATTTATAAAGAAAAAAGGCGGTTGAACATGACCCGTAATGATGAAGGGTATAGACGCCTCTTTTGGGGGACCATCCAGTCAAGGAGAACGAAGGGTACCCAGTTCACTAGTTACTGAATGTAGTTAAGCGGAGCTTAGGTAGGGATAAAATCGATCAGTCAGGGTGAATGTCGGACTGTGTGGGTGTAGGTGTGCAGAGGGGTGGAGACAGGGGGGGTGGAGGGGGATTTCTTTGTTTGCAGATTGCATTTCTGATAATTCATAGTTGCAAATCAACATGGATGCAGAGCTTATGATTTTTCTCATATTCGGTCATTCAAGCTCCTTTCATCACTTTTCCAATATGTTCCTTGGCCTGGAACTAAACCCATTCTGTCTGCCACACACTGGCGGCTGGCCACGTCATCATTGATTTGGTGGCGAGAAAATACCTTAGTAATCTTGATGGGTGTTTTTACCCACTCTTTCTGTCTTTCTTTACCAGCGCGTATCAAATTACATGAGAAATATACTCCGTACCCCGGGGCGATCACACACTACTCCGTAAACGGAATCTCCTATTTGACAATAGAGAGAGGGAGAGAGAGAAAAGAAGGACGAAGTACGTACTGGGTAGTTACAGAGATGAGTGTAGTCGATTGCTTCGATTGATCTACGATCAGAGCCACTCACTGAGCAGCATTCTGCTGTGGCTTCGTCGAATGGGCGCGAACGGTCAGTCATTTCTCAGCGGTCTGAAGGAGTTTCCATGGCTCATTCTCCGAGCCTCAACGGCTTTCGCATGTTCTCTTCCCCGCGAGGCTTATCGGCCTACTGTGCGGAGTCTTGTATAGTTAGTGTTAGTACTCTGTGCCCCCATCATCACCATGTCTCCCAGGTATGTACCTGAAGTAGACTGAGGCCGATCTGCAGAGGTCTGACGAACTCAAAGCGCCTTTTGCCGGTTTCGGTGGCATGCATGGTGGATCTGGCCTGAGGTTTATCCACTGATGCCGTTCCTGATGCATAAATCAATGCAGGGCTGAATAGCTGACTACAGTCACATATATTCAGAGATTATGCATATATGCACGCTGTGGGGTACTGTGGAGGACGTTGATGCCTGGGGATAGCATCCGCTTAATGCCTTTCCATCACTAATCAAGCCAGATAATGTAAGTTGACCTCCTTCACATCACCAGGTTGTCTGTGTCACTCCTCACTGATGAGTGCAGATATATGATAATGAGTCTCTGAGCCTCAATGCGAGTTGAGAATAGCCAGAAGGGCGCCATTCGCGATCGTTGCGTCACATCTGCATGATTGACGTGCTTGAACCATAGAGAAATAAACTGCTCGTCAGTCAACTAACCCGAGTATTGAGGATCAAAGTTCAACGTCTGTTCGACTGCATTGAGTCCGATTCTGTGCGCTGATCTTCTACGGTGTATGCACGCAAGATGTCTCAAGGAACAAACGGTAATTTACTCGGGTGCTAATCGCCGGAGCCGGCATTGCAGGGCTTGCTACCGCAATTTCGCTGATACGCCAAGCATCAACTCTCATCCTTTATACACAGCTATACGACCAAGCCCGTGAGCTCTGAGAGATTGAAGCCAGTATTGCGCTTTCAGTTCGATGTAAGAAATTCTGTTGCACCAAACCTGAACTGGATGACCCAAGGGCTAATCCAGTCCCGGTTCGCTTTCCAGGGCATGCGCACGTGAGAATTTGACATATCAACCCAGAACGTGCGGCAAAGCTTTCTACTCAAGTATAAGTTACGCTTTAGCGGAACGATCTTCATGCGGTCCACCTTTGATGCATCGTTGGTCGAGCAGCAAGTCACCGATCTCCCTGCAGACTCAGTTCACTGGGTAGGACTCGGGCTCGGTCTCGTTGCACGTATCGGCTATAACAATTTGAAGTTAGTGGGGACCAAGAGATCATTCGGTTCGCATCTCGCCTGAATGAGTGTGATTATCATGGGGACAACCCCCATACAGTTGTCTAATAAAGCCATCAGGCAAAGGGCAGTATACAACTGTGGGTGCGTACAGCGATCCGCGCACCACAGAAGAGATCGAAGCATGTGTTGCAAGGAATGAAGAAGGACAGGTGGAGTTCCTCCGGGGCAGATATACTGTAGACTAGCTCTCTTTTACTCTTGAAGGCATTGCTTCAGCCAAGTTGACTTGGTAGAATTGGAACCCTGTTGTCAAAGCATTAACCGAACTGACTCCCTCGACCAAGTTGTATCCCAACTTGCATAGAGACTGTCTTTCGAGCTGGGTTTTGGCCCCTTGAGTGACTTTGAATGGCGATGCTGCTCATCCTACGGAGGGGATTTTGCTGCAGACGGCTCCTTGGCCTTGAATCTTCCCGAATGTCCCTTCATGCTGATTGGCTGCCTCGCGATGATGCCCGGGGTAGAAGAGTCACATTACGACGGGGACAACGTTTCTCATGGGCAGCTTGTGTTTGCATTGAATACAACCTTCCCACGTTGCAAATACCCTCCCTGGCCACTCAATCCACAATAGCAGAACCTCCTCTCAGTGGTTATATTGTTTGAGCTCATCACATTGCGTACAAGCTGAGCTCCGGCACGATAGACAGAGACACTATTCCGTGATATATTAAGGCTCTTCCTGGCAAATCGATCATCAAGAAGAGAAAGAATATGATGTTGATATTAAACCTGTATGCGCGGAACACTAAATAGCCATAGAGGCAATAAGTGAATATCAGGCTTGGCGAGGATTAAATTGCATGGGATCTGCGTGTTGACGGACTCGCAGCGGTGCATTAATCGACTTGTCATTGTCAGTCTTGTCTTTGCAGGGATAACTGCCATGACACATTCTCTTGAGGGGTTCTTCTAAGGCAAAGGATAGGTGCGATAATAGTAATAAGCTGAATTTATCAAGCTTTCCAAGACCGTGCGCGTCCCTTCTTTTTTTTTTTTTTTTTTTTTTTTTTATTCCATTGACATATTGACCACGCCCTCAATCGGGGCAGTGGCTCGCTCCACACATTCGAGAAACATCAGCGAGGTCGCAGACACTACTCGCTAGTAATCCTACTGCATATTCTTGTCTCGAGATCTCCAACAAGCGAGAAGGACTCATGAGTCTTGGTTGCAGCACGTGATAGAAAAGTCAGATTGGGTGCTCCCTTCTCAACCATCCATAAAGCGACAGCTTCTCCAAAGCCACCAAGTCGGCTCACAAGCCGGTAACTCCGGTCTGAACGGAGATTACTGTACACCAGGTGAGGACGGTATTGACTCCAGAGTCGTGGGATCTGCGGGCATTGTGATGACAATATTGCCAATGTGGTTACCAGGCTGCATGGAGTTAAAAGCTTCATGGATGTTCGCCGCCGAGTAGATCTGGGCGAAAGGGTCTGGTGTTATGGCATCAGCATCAATCCAATCAAGACAGCGCCTCAAACCCCTACTCCAATGTCAACCACATAAATACAACTCGCGTTATGACGGGACAAGAAAGGTAACGAGAACAAAAACTGACTTGGTCATTCTCCAAGGGCGCAGGCGAGATATTGACTCAACTTCGAGTCCCGTGAAGATTTGGTTGGCTTCAAAGAGCTCCGTCGACAGTTTTGCCTTGAGTCGGAGATCACGTTTCCCCGGCTCATTTATGGTGCCAGATTCAACTACACAATTTCACGAAGCATGAAGAAGGTCGCCGGCTAGCGAGTTGAGCACCAAGTCCATTCCACGGCCTCCTGTAGCATCCATAAGCTCTCGGGCAAATAAGATATGATGGGATTCCAAGGTATGTGTTCGTGGAACGGTGTGATCACACATGACGTATTGAATCTTCGCTTGGCTTCCCACAGTACAGAAGATCTGCCAATATTAGCTTTCACGGTGGTAACCGCTTCTTTACATGGGCTCACTTGTACGCCTATCATCTGGACAGCTGCGGAGTTGTTTGTCGTAGCAGCCGAAATGTTCGGCGGGCCTTGAAATCGTCCGCTAAAGGCAGATCCCACACGATTGAGAACTTCATACCAATGAAGCGCATCAACCTTGCGAGGGTAATTGGGAAGAGGCCCGCATCTTGCCATGGAGACCGATTCGTTGGCGCCAGATCTGGCTTCTCCGTAGCAAATTCTGGCCCACGCTGTGCCATTGAAAGAACTGAAAGTAAATTGATACCATGTAGGTTTTTTTCATTGGGCTCGGGGTCAAGGGCGTGAGAATGGTGACAACTATATTTTATAATGGTATTATAAGACTGCTGCAGTCGCAAAGGACGCATTGCGCAGAGTTTAAGTCTGGTCTCCCTCCAGCTGGCGCAGGGCTTCCCCAATCATTGCTACGAAGCCGGTTGCGGGCATCACTTTTTGGCCCTCCACTTCATGACCTGCCAACCACGGGACATTCTCCAGGGCGAGAACATTCCTCCAACAATGTCTAGCGCCAGTCTCAGAGACTCGAACCCCAGGAACTCGTGCGGAGGATATTGGCGAAAGCGCCATTCGCGAGCGACGCGTGCTTCATCCCAATGAGAAATATCCGGCTGCCAGGAGTATTGGGGAAGATTGGTCCAGAGCTTTCCAGGAGGACAGATCTGAAGGAGGTCCAACGAGACATTTAGCTGAAAAAGTCGCCCTGCAAGATGGAAAAGACACATCTCGCAGCGTTGCTTTCTTTCAAGCATGCTGGCATCCGTATCCGACAAGACCGCGGAAGACATGGCCCACGGGCCCTTTGAGTGCAGGATGAGAGATCATCGTTGGAAAGAAGATCAGATTGGTCCTGCACACCAAAGCATCATCGCAGTCACAATTCTGTTACCCGATAGCCCCCCGTATGCAAAGTTTCTTTCGCGTTGAGATCGAGCGATTTAGTCGGCTCCAAAGAGTCCTACGTAGCAGCCAATCTCACTACCACGCCATGATACTGATCCTGTATTTCCAGACACTCATAGACGACATCAAGCAGTTACCGTTGCCGGGGATCCAGACGTTCAAGCTCTTTTCAGGTCGTGGCGAAGATGGTCTTGTCAGATTGGCGAATATCAGCATCTTGAAGGAAATAGCCTTTTCTCCACGATCTTGTCCCTGCCTTTTCCTGAGGGCCATAGAAAGCATTAATGTTGAATCAATTGAAAGGCACATCACAAGGCTACTACTCTTTTCTACGAGCATCCTCCAAAACTCAGCGGCATTACGCAGCCTGCCGGGCAGGCGCATTGTCACGCCCACAATGACGACTACCTCTTTCCTCATCGATGAGTCTGCTAACCCAGTATCCTCATTTCACAGACTTCATGGTGGGGGAACAAGGAAGTTACAGTCGTAGGACTTGTCGAGATACTTGGATCGTTTGACAGGAGGTCTTGAGGTTGAACTGTCAGTTTTGTCCTACTCGAACTGGTTAGAAGCTAATCTTTGTAGAATCTCGAGCTTGCTCTAATACCTGGGGTTGAACAAACCACATTCCTCCCATCCGCCTAACTTGCCTGGTCGGCGCAGAAACATGAGCTCACTTGACTCGGGCAATACATAGAAGGTTACTCCACACGGCAGAGACGAGAGGGATACGTCTGACAAGAGGCATACAGGGCTTTGGGTTTGAACGAGAACACGGGTGTATAGCATGCTTGAAAGTGATGTCTGATTCGTGCTACTGCATGCGCACCGGATTGTGCTTATTGGAGGAATGCATCGCCGCCTGGTACTCACCAAGCCTGTCATGAAGAAGAAACGGTCATCAGACAGGCTGATCCTACGCTGCAGCCACCAGTAGCAGCTAGGAAATGATCTTTTTCGATCCAGAAGACGCAAACTGCCCACTGCCCCCTCATGACCGCTACCGGGGTATCGCATACTTTGTGAACAAGGGGTCATTCAGCAAGCGATCCAAGCAACTCCCTTCTACCCCCACCAGAATTTCCATCCCACCATCCGGCAATACTGGGAGCACAACCTGGGCTCCGTTGATGCAGCCCACATGGGGCACACGCACAGCCTCAATTCGGCCGCCCAGCAAAGAGCCCCAGTCCAGCCCGTACAACTTGAAGTTCAACCAGGAGGTCTGTACACAATTGTATCCAGGGGTATCCAGGAAGGCAGTTGGGACCAAGCGGTCGATGTCTTCCAGCCGGTCAACCAGAGTGACGACGTCGTCCGTGAAGTGCTTGTCGGCTCGCAAGATTGCTTTTCGGATCTCGACAGACAGGTCGGCGAGACTCAGCGTGCTCAGCATCTTGCGAATCGGGAGTGAAACGGTGACATACTCCAGAAAACACCCAAGAGTCTCCGGGTGAATTGGAGGGTCCGTTCGCTGTCTCCCGTCGATTGCGATGTTGAAGACTGAAACCGGGTCACCCTCCAATGTGTCCAACGGTGACTGTACTGCCATCACAGTTCGCCAGAGAAGTGCTGAAAGAGCGTCGTTGGTCGATATCCATTGCTGGTCGGATGATTTAGTGGCGTTAACAGGTGATGCCTCGGCTTTCAACGCTGCGAGGGACTCCGGAGAAAAGTAGAAGACCTGGCCACGGTGGTTCAGGGAGGTCATCTTCGGTGGCGCCCCTGGTGGTGTGAAGGGGAGGAGGGTGTACTCAGGATGATCTTCGAGTTGGCCCTTGTTCCGGCCTGAGGGTTTTGTCACTTGCTGACGGTCTTTCCACACGGCGTCGGGAAGGTGAATGGGTTCCTCGATATGCAACCCCTGGGCACGACGACATTCCTCTGCCCAAATCGCCGTCCACGTAGAAAAGGAATTGCCATCTCCTGCCATGTGTAAAATGCACCATGTGAGAATCAATCCTCCGCGAATGAAATTGGCCTGGACAAGAGAAATTGGCATGCGTTCCCCCGCGGAAGGCCAAACCGATCGACGGCAAAATGTATCGGCATCGAAGGCCGCCACAGGAAATGACCTGCGTTTCAACTCGCCGTAGTGGGAAGGATACAATTTTCGCAAATCCTTGATGACAATTTGCGTTGCATCACTCTCGTCGTGTCTTTGGAACTTCATCGCACCTTTCTGCCTCGTGTCGAGATCGGGCACTGCCTCGCAAGCCACGACAGGAATCCGCGCTGCGAGAGCCTCATACCCAGTTTGTAGGGCCGTAGCAACCTCGCTCAAATCATAATCTTCTTGCAGTTGGAAGGGGAATACATAACGCAGATACCCTTTGGGTCCAATAAGCTCCAGGGCCGTAAGCTCAAGGACTGGGTTTTGAGGGGCGATGGATCCCATATTTGCCACGGCAGGTTGATCAGTGAACCTCGAAGGTGATCAAGGATCCCAGATCAATATCAGGGGGACAAGCTCCTGGAGATAAAGGCCGGGCTAATATACCCCTGACATGAGTGGCCCAATGTCGGATTGTGCCATATCTCCAAACAAATCCGGATTATCCATGGACCAGGGAAAAGCCAATTGCTGCCTCTCGGGAGAATGGAGGGGAGGTTTCCCGGTCTCACCCCTGTTCGCATAAGATAGTGCCATTTTCGAAAAAGGGAGCATACTTCACTAAAAGATAGTGCTGTAGACCAGCCCCACCTGCAACGGCGGACCGTTGGCCTTATCGCTTGAGATGATGCTGAACCCCACTGGGGATACTTCCCAGCTGCCAGTCATCTCAGTTCGTGGTCTCACGGCTGATAACCATGTCTTGACACACTGTTGGCACTCAAACTGGAGACTTAACTGGGAGATGTGGACGGGGGAAGTGGTAGGGCGAATGTAGGCGTGCAGTGAGCGCCTCTGACCCCTTTCACGGCATCGGTGTCTATAGTGACAGCAATTAAGACTCATAACCACACTACTTAACCACAACTAGCTAACACTCTTGCCGGTTCACGCACCCGCTCAACGAATGGGCTTGATTCCAAGACATGCACGATCCACTTACTGGTCCTTCGCACTGCTGTCACCCATTCGAGTTCCCGCCAATATCCGACAGGCTCGAACCACAACGTTAGTAGCACTGGCGCATGCTGATCTCAGGCCGTCGGACTCCGAGGAGTCAAATCAGCTTCCTTGGTCCGTGGCAAATTCATAGACATTGGCACCTGTCTTGCGAATCCCACTTAGTTATTAGCCCTAGTCTGTCACACTCCCCGGTGATTGGGAGTACGGAGAAGTGCTTCAGCATTACCTTCTCTCAATCCCCGAACACGATGCCATGGCTGAGGACTCAGCAATTCGTGAGCTCTTTGGACCACCACCGGCCGATATTGACCTCACTGCAAGCGCCGTAGCCGTCAATAATGCGGCTGTTATTGCGATGCTTGCTCTAGCGGCGGTAGCGGTGCTCCTCCGATTCACCGCGCGACTGGTTTTGCGAAATGCTCTCATGGCAGATGACTGGGCCATCGCCGCTGCTCTGGTAGGCTCCGTGCAACTGATATGCCACATACCTGCTGATTGATTATGTCTAGCTCTGCATAAGTGCCACAACTGCGTTGAGTATTGCAGGTAAGCATTAAGTATCGAATGAGTCGGGGTCATTCTGCTGATCTATCGTTCAGGAGGTACTAGCGGCGCTGGGAAGCACATCTGGAGTGTCACTCTCGAAGAACTGATGCACCTGTATCGGGTCAGTCTACACACTCTTCTTCGTTCTCATTCCCGCTCGAGACAGACCCTGTGGTGCTAATAGCTCGGAAAGTAGCTCTTATTTTCATACACCTTCATCTACGCCTCGTCGTGTACCTGTACCCGACTCTCGATTCTCTTCTTCTACCGGAGGGTATTCTCGCCTCTGAAACCACTGTTAAAAGTCGCGTTATTCTTTGGCACCTCCATGACACTGTCCTACCCGATCATTGTCTGGGTGACCATGAGTAACGCATGCAAGCCTCTCCCATACTTTTGGACCCAATTCAGCGGAACAAGCGGGCGCTGCATCGACGTCGACCGATTCTTCCTGGCCGCCGGCATCCTCAACATGCTGAATGACTTCATCGTCTTGGTCATCCCTTTTCCCCGGATCGTGAAGCTGCAAATGAGTGTTGAAAAGAAATTGGCGATCAGTGGGATTATGGCCGTGGGTATTTTGTAAGTCCATCCCCCATGCGAAGACCATCTGTGCATGTCAGCTAAGTTGCTGGCATACTAGTGTTTGTGTTGCCAGCATCATTCGCATTTGGTATCTGTCAGTCTTCATGAGTTCGGTGGATCTGACCTGGCTGATGGGCCCGGTATTTATCTGGTCAAGCATCGAGCCAACGGTGGCGGTCTTCTGTGCCTGCATGCCTCATCTCGCACCCCTTGCCCGGCTTGCTCACCAGTCAATCTCGTCGAGTTCCCATTCTCGAAGATCTAACACGGATTCGGCCGGGCCATCGCGAAATGTTGCAAGTGGAATTAATCTGAAAGGCACTCGGTTCAATCCACAAGGACCAAGGTTTGACTTTGGGTTTGAGCAGCTGAGGAAAACGGCCAACGATGATGAGATCGGCTTGACAAATTATGTCACAACTGGACGTAAAGTGGGCCAAGATTCTTCTCTCAAGTCAGGTTGGGAGGGAGAAGATCATAGTCACGAGATCGCGGTGCAGTCGAGTTTCGTGCAATTCTCCTCCCTCGCTCCTTAACTTAGTCAGTCAGTGCTGAGTCAGCCAGCTCCAGTGCTTGTTCATCACCATTCATCCAATCTTGTCCGAATCGCATATTTGACTAGGTGGAATAGAGAAACCCGGGATTGAGTTTAATGCGTAATTGGTAAGCTATATACCAGCAGCTCATGGGGATGATGTTGGGGCTAGAGAAATACATTCTCCCCGTTTTAAATATATATTCGGACTGTGATCTTCACAGCCCCCCCCCCCCCTTTCGCATGATTTAATGCAATCTACTCCTCATCACCACCGCAAATCGAACGTCATCTACATTTAGCAGCTGTTAAAGTTATAGTGATTTATGCTTAGAATTTACATCGAGAATCTGACGTCGTCATGAACATTGATTAATGACTTTCCTTGAGTCAGACTTTTCAATCAACTCTCCCAAAGTGGGGCGCAACTGATTGATAACAACCCACCGCGGATCAGATTATGTTTGCCCACTTGTCCTTCCCGCTGCTTCCCGCTGTCTTTTCCTCGTTCTTTCTCTCCCCCTTTTCCCACAACTTTCCAACCAACTTACTCAAAATACGCACAACCCCACGACACATGCTTGTCTGCAACAGCTTCACTTCTACACATTAACATGCGTCTCCAGTCTGCTCCGGGGTTGTCCAAAGGCCACCCTGGCATTCTACACCAATATGTACAGTAACTGCTGTCCCATTCTCACGCTCGCTCCCTCTGCTAACAACACCACCGCAATCTCCCAGGCGCATCGATTGGTCGCGTTCGAGTACATTCGCGGTTCTCGTCCTAAACCTCACTCTCTCGTCTTCATAGGCGGTCTCTCCGATGGTTTGCATACGGTCGAATACCTCTCTGACATCATTCTCGCCCTCCAAGACAGCGACTGGTCCGTCGTCACACCACTTCTCTCCTCCTCGTACACTGGCTGGGGCATGAGCTCTCTTGGACAGGACATTGACGAAATTGCTCAGTGTGTTGGGTATATACGCAACCAGAAAATGTCGTTGTATGGACACGGAAAGGTGGTGATCATGGGCCATTCCACGGGCAGCCAGGACGTGATGCATTATATCAGTTGCGCCAACCCGCGACCCTATCACCCCATTGTGGATCGCGGAATCCCTGAAGATCGCTACGCAGGAATCACCAGACCTTCAGTTGATGGAGCAATCATGCAGGCGCCAGTTTCCGACCGGGAGGCGGCTCTGTGGGTGAGCAAGACAGGGACCGAGTTCGACAGTCCGGAGGTGATACAGGAGGTGTACCGGAAGACCATTAAGGAAGCGCAGAAACGAACCTATGAGACTGGCAGTGGCGACGAAACCTTGGTCTATGACACAATCGTACCCTTAGCGACCACGAGTCGCATGTATTACCCCGCGGATACGCCCCTCAGCAGCCGTCGGTTTTTGAGTCTGCTTAGTCCGCAAAGCCCGCACCAACCGGACGAGGACGACCTGTTCAGCTCAGATCTTGCGGATGAACAATTACAAAAGACCTTTGGGATGGTTCGAACCCGCGGGGTTCTGCATCCGAGGGCGAAGTTGATGGTGCTCTATTCTGGGAGGGATCAGTCCGTTCCCCCATGGGTCGACAAGGTCGCCTTATTGCATCGATGGCAGACGATCCTGGGCGAGGGGGCGTGGCATCACAACAGCACAATCATCCCAGGCGCATCGCACGCTCTGAGTGACCCTGATCAGGCGGAGCCCAGACGAATCCTGGTGGAAAGGGTAACAGGATATTTGCAGGACATGGAGAAATTATAGTCATTGGGTCAGCAGTAGGTTTCAGCCCCTCTCAGCTGCAGACCTCATTTCTTTTTTTTTTTGTCTGCGGAGGTTATTGCTTAGCCCGGCAAGCTATGAAGCAAATGAACCAGGTCAAATGAACTGCAACTCTGCCACTTCCGTCAACTGCTCTCACGCAGCACGAATGATGTCGACGTGAGTGGTCATGATCCCTGCACGAAGGGGAGGGGAAATGCAGCTCCCCCCACCACAGACCCCGCTTGAGGTTCGCCACACTTGCTCAGCACTCCTTACAAAAAGGTCTGCCTCGTACAACATGAGCAGTGATGCTTTCATTTGATCTCTCACCGGAGGCATCATGGGTTCCCTTGGAGACGTTCACCGACGCCCGTACCGACCTACTCCGGCGGACATCACCATCAACAATTGCCGTCCACAAGACCCCCACAAGATCCTCTTTCAGAATGTTCACATTCTCGACTCCACCGGTGCAGAGCCATATACGGGCGATGTGCTCATCGAAGGCGAACGCATCGTTGCGGTTGGCCAAGTGGATCGCACCGCCGCCCAGGGCTCACTGATTATCGATGGTGCAGGCACCAAGACCCTGATGTCAGGACTAGCGGATTCGCACACGCACCTGAGCTGGAATAACGCAGCCACTTCAAATGAACTCACTAGTCTTCCGCTTGAAGAACATGTCTTGCATACCGCAAACTCGGCCAGAACCTACCTGGATTGCGGCTACACCATGTGTTTTGGCGCCGCAGCGGCACAGCCCCGCCTCGATATCGCCGTCAAAGCTGCCATCAAATCCGGGTTGATTTCTGGTCCACGGACCCTGGCAAATTGCTCAGAGGTGACCAAGCCCGGTGGTGCGATTGTTCCCAAGATCTCGCGCTATGCCGATGGACCGGAGGAAATGCGCAAAGTAGTCCGAGAATTTGTCCAGCTTGGTGCGGATAATATCAAGTTAAGCATGACTGGAGACAACGTCCATCCCACGATGCCGAGCGAGGAAACATACTTCAATCTGGAAGAGACAGTAGCGGCGGTAGAGGAAGCACATCTTCATGGCAAACGGGTATGCGCCCATGCTCGTAGCGCTGCCTCGGTCACGCAGTGTGTGCGAGCTGGAGTCGACGTCATTTATCATGCAAGCTTCACCGACGAAGAAGGAATGAACCTCCTTGAGCAACACAAAGACTCGGTCTGGGTTGCTCCGGCCATCAATTACCTCTATGCTATGGCGCAGGGTGAGGCCGAGCCTTACGGAATATCGGCGAATATGTCTGAGCAGAAGGGTGTCACGCACGAAGTCGAGGTTGCTTCTCAGAACATGCGCGAGATGCGTCGACGAGGGATTCGAGTCCTCCCTGGCGGGGATTATGGATTTGCCTGGGCGCCCCATGGCACCTATGCGCGAGATTTGAAACATTTTGTGGATTTGTTTGGGTATACGCCGATGGAAAGTGTTTTGGCCGCGACCGCCATGTCAGGCGAGCTCATGGGGTATCCCAATGAGCTTGGAAAAGTGCAACCGGGCTATTATGCGGACGTGATTTTAGTGGATGGCAATCCGCTCGAAGACATCAGCATTTTGCAAGATCGAGACAGGCTGCATTCAGTTGTCATCAATGGTCACATCCACAAGAACCTCAGTTTGGCAGAGGACAAGGTGTCTGCATAAGGACGAGACAAGAATCATTGGGGTTTTCCTGTAGCGGTTGTATGTATTATCATTTATCATGAGGGCCGTTAGGCAAACAGCAAAAAAGACATTCCAAGGCGCAGCTCGCCTGTAGATGAAAATCGCCAGCAGTAATCGAGAAATTGGAAGCTAAGCAGGGCCCGAGATAATTCTCCACCAATCACCGGGCAGAAAAGGGACTCCGTATATACCCCGGCATTTCCCCTCATTTTGAAGCCAGAGCAACGAATGAACCGTTCCACTGCATCGAATCTGAGACAACTGCATCATGTACACCAACCCAATCATCCCAGGGTTCAACCCCGATCCATCCATTGTGCGTGTTGGCGAAGGTTATTTCCTGGTGACTTCTTCGTTCGAATACTTCCCTGGGGCTCCAATCTACCACAGCACCGACCTGATCCAGTGGACTCTGATCGGTCATGCATTGACACGCCCGAGTCAGTTGCAAATCCAGACCCCGGAGCCTGGCGGCGGCATCTGGGCGACCACATTGCGCTATCACCAGGGAACCTTCTACTGTCTCGCTGCTTGCTTCCAGCGCTATCGACCCCAGGAGGACGATCGGGTCTGGCCTCGAGGGTTCTACGTGAAGACAACGAACATCCGGGATTCTGATTCCTGGTCTGATCCAGTCTACTTTGACCAAGTCGGCTTTGATCAAGATGCAAGTCTCCCTGTCAACTCCGATCATTTCTGTCCCACCGGGGGCTTACTGTTCTATAGCTGTTCTGGGACGATGATGGTACCGTCTACCTGTCTTCGACCTATCGCAAGTTGGATCGCACTCCCCATGCCAATCTCAAAGACTTTGCCGTGCATACTGTTCCAGTCAACCTAGAGACCGGAGCATCTCTTGCAGAGCCGCGTTTGATCCGGGAGTCGGCGTCTGGTGTGGCAGAGGGCTCGCACCTCTTCCGGCGTGGGGAGTACTACTATCTCTTTACAGCTGAAGGAGGCACCGAGAGTGGACATTGTGAATGGGTTTCGCGCAGTAAGACGGGTCCACTGGGTCCCTGGGAAGTCGCCCTGACGAACCCTCTCTGGAGGAATGGATTATCGGACGAGGTCCAGAATACTGGCCATGCTGACCTGGTCGAGGACACCAAGGGACAGTGGTGGGTGGTGCTGCTGGGCGTGAGGCCGGTCTGGCGAGGAGGGGCTTGGGAGGAGTCTGTTTTTGGTAGGTCCATGAGCATCTTCCGACAGGAAGGCCTGTCTCCTAACTGTCTATAGGTCGTGAGACCTTCTTGGTGCCGATGGACTGGGAGAACGACTGGCCCGTCATCAATGGTGGGCAGAAGATTCCGCTGGAGTACTCTGGTCCCCAGCTGTATCAGTTCGAGCACCCTGTCGCCTGGCGCGATGACTTTGATCAGCCCTCCTTGCAACTCGGGTGGTACCGGAAGAACACGCCCCTGGTGCACGACTATTCTCTGACGGAGAGGGAAGGCTGTCTGCGTCTATACGGCGGCCCCTACAATCTATCAATTCCCGCATGTCCGACTTTGTTTCTTCGCAAACAGACCCACCGCATCTGCACATGGGAAACTCGGTTGTCTTTCACTTCGGAGCAGAAGCATACTGAGGCCGGCACCGTAGTCTGGTGGAATTACCTGACCTACAGCAGCATTGGCGTCCGTCGATCGGCCACAGGTAGCCGGATGGTGCGCTTCCAGCCCGCCGAAGGAGATGTTCTGGACTTCGCCCTGAAGAGTCAACTGTCGGACATTGTTCTCACTATCGAATGTGGCTCGTCCTATCGATTCGGGTTCTATGAATTCGCCTCTGCAGAAAATAGGCAGACGGTGCAATGGGTCGGTGAAGTGACAAATAGCACAATGACCAGAGCTCCTCCTGTTGGAGCGGCATTTACTGGTATGATGCTTGGTCTGTATGCCTTTGGTGAGCGACAACGGTGTTTAGTACCAGCAGACTTCCATTATGCACTGTGGCGATAGGCTGTTGGGAGACTAAAAGTTGGGCGGAAGAGTGGGCAGTGGTACCATTTCTTCTAGAATAACACTTCTTCTTCTCGCGACGATAATGTAGTTTCTTGAAAGCATGGCATAGATTTTGGTCTAGCCGAACTAAAGTTCATCGATTCGATCTTCCTCAACATCTTGCCATAAGTCTTGAACTTGTTGGGGACTGTTGCTTTCCTCATCGTCATTGTTGGTTGGAGAATTTCCATTCGTTTCGATTATGGCTCATTGATTATCAGAAGCCAGTACTACAATTTCTCCTAAATCCAATGGGTTCAGTCATGTTCATTGGGGCTATTGTGGTAGAAGCGCGCATGACGGTTTGTATGGTGGTCACGTGATCAGAGACCGGGCGGCGAATGGTGCTCGCCAAACGCCGACAGTCACCGATTGCCGGCGTCTCAGTTTGATTCACATCCTCCTCCTCTTATTCTTCTTCCTCTTCAACCACCTTATCACTACGCACATCATGCGCGGAACTCCTCCGGTCAAGGCAGCATGTATGGCCTGGTACGTATCTCATTCCAGCCGGCGAGTGGGTCACTGACACACCACTCTCAGCCGTGCATCCAAAACCCGTTGCGATGGAAAGAATCCATGCAGGCCGGTATGGCTGGATCCACCCCGCCTTCTATTGTCATGTCAAAAAGCAAGACTTGGTGCATCTGACTGTCTTCAGTGTGTGAGCAAAGGTCGCACCTGCTCCTATCAGCCCAGTCGAAGAGGTGGTCCTCGCCGACGCGTTCGAACCGCGCAGCCGGTCTCATTCCCTCAAACTCCGACTGTGGTGGAGTTCGCCCAACCCACCCCATCTCTCACTGAGGACTCGGGCCCCTTGGTCGACGATCCCGGTTTCTGGAACACCTTGGCTCTTCTGTCTCCCTACAAGAGGCTTCAGGATGGGGACAGGAGTCCACATGACCGCTTCGATACACTCCATGCAGGGACGAGCTGTGAGATACAAGGGCCACTTCTGCGGGTTTATGCTTCCGAGCAAGATATGTACGCTCAACATGATCTAGAGAAACCTGTTACAATTGCTGACCATCTGGGCCCACGAGTTCAGATTGAACGCGTATTACATCTTCATTCATCCATACTTGCCGCTGTTGCCCCCTCCCACTGAGCCTCTACGACCGGACATTCCTGCTGTATATCAGCCTTCGCCAGGCGAAGCGGGGGCTGTAGATTACGCTTGTCTATCGTATCGCCCGATGTCTTGCTTGAGCGTGGCGCTCTCCGCGATTCTCGCGCTGATTCCACCTCCACAGGATGAAAACCCCTCCGATCCCTGCTGTGTGTGGTTACGAAGGTCTTACTCCAATCTCTTTGCCCAGTCGGCCTTGGACAGCGCGGAGCGGGACATTTTGGAGCCAGATGGCTTCCGGACCCCTCATCCTCCGTCTGATTATAGCCAGAGATTCCACCCTGACCTTCCCGTCAGATTACAGCCGATCTTAACCTTGATGATTCTGGGGGTATATGATTGCTGTCAGAATGGTAATATCCATCGCATGCGCATGCGTGTCAATCAAGCCATCACGACCGCGATGGATAGCTTGCTCCACCAATTGGATGAAACTGCATCTGAGGCTCAACGTCGCGCATGGTGGATAGCGGTATGTCTGGTCTATGGCTGATGGAGCTGGGGTTAATGCTCACAAGCCTGCAGATGATCCTCGGATATCAATCTGCCGCCGTTAACTCATCGGTCAGTTCATGATGATCGCGTCAGTGGTATGAAATCCAAAAGTTAGCTAATACAGCCCTCCTAGTCCCCTATCATCACTACCTGTGATCCTAGAATCACAACGCCTTACCCGGCTTTTGAGGCGGGGACGGACGGTTTAGAGGTAAGCCTTGCCATAATTAATTCAAAGATCTGTCTAACCCGTCATAGCCGTGGTCATTGATATTGAAAGCTCATGCGGCTCATGACTCCGTGAGCGCCATGGTGCGGCTGATAACTGCGCAGAATGCTCAAGCTCCATCGTCGCCGGATATGAGAGACAAGATCGCACATTTAGATAGGTCAATTCTCTCACTATCGACTGAGTGTGATTCGATCTACCCCTCGACTCAGAGCAATAGTGCCGACGGGCTCGCGAGACAGAGCTTTGCGTTGATTGCCTGCGCCCTCACCCATAGGTATGATCTCTGAAAATGGCCGGCGGAGTAATGTTATGCGAGTCAGTCTGACCATGTGTAGTGCCCGGATCAAACTGCACCGATTCAGAGCCTTTTCGGACATCCCCATCTTTCTCGAAAAGCACTGTGATCTGTCCTCTCTTCGAACGGATGGGAGCTCACCGCAAGAATTCTCCTCCGCCGCAGTGATGGAGATTGAATCGTTCTTCCCTCTCAGTAAGGATGAATCTTCCATGATATGTCTGAAATCCGCACTAGCCGTCTCCCGTGCCTTCAGGGACATACCTTATCCACACTTCCCCCTCTCCAGGTCCCCGGACATGGACAGTTCTGCCAGCGACGCTTCGGGGCCCGGTCGGGAGACATATTACGGCTCATTACCTTATTTCAAATGTGCGGCCATGCAGGCGTCCTACGTGCTGTACATGCTGGTGCATCGTGTGCGGGCCGCTCTTTTGACGAAACGGCTTTCAATCTGTTACCCTTTGTTAAACCACCCCGACGTGGCTACGGAGAAACAGGATGCCCACAGGCTGGTCGAAGAGCTACGCAACGGAGCCCATTCGTTACTCCTGTTCATGAAGCGAGATCTGGTCTACGAAGGCACTGTCGCTATGGTCAATGATCTCGATGCAGCCTATAGCTCGTTGTTTGGGTCCCTTCAGCGGCACAGGTGAATCTGTCAGAGACGACAATTTGCTGGCCGACTTACCGGCAATGCAAAGCATCGCTTCGGAGAACTTCCCTCCACGGCCAGAGGTCCTGAATTCGAATCCGCGCGGGCGCATGTCCTCTATCTCATGTCCAAAGCACACATCTTGACTACGTGTTCGCGATTATGAATGTACTTATTCTACAACAATCAACTCGTGCTCGGGAGATAAGAACGGACAAACACTGACCATGTCCAGGTGGCCACCGGGACCACACTGGATACTCTCTTCGCTGACTATGACAATTTAGCCTGAATGGTTGGCTACTCCATGATCTCGAGGCAGGTTCAGTCTGCTGCCACTCTCTTCCTCCTTCTCGGAAGCGAAAAGCCCGTCTTTACTAGCGAAACGCATCCAAAGAACGAAACTGTCGCCCATTCCCATCGAAATTCGACGGGTCCAGCCACTTGACGAACGGATCTTTCACAATCGGCCACTCCACATCGATGATTGAGAACCAAGCTGTATCGCGATTCTTCCCCTTGACAATCATGTGCTGCCGGAAGAGGCCCTCGGGAGTGAAGCCAAAGCGCGCCGCAGCTCGCTTAGACGCCAAGTTGAGATCATTACATTTCCACTCCAGACGACGAAACCCGAACTCCTCAAAAACCGCCCGTGCAGCCAAGTAAACAGCCTCGGTCGCGGCGGTCGTCCGTTGGAGCAGCGGCGAGAAGACAATCCACCCGATCTCCACGACGCGGTTGGGCAGGTCGATGCGCATGAGACTGAAGTACCCGACGGCCTGGTTGCGGGCGAGGTCGATGACGGCGTAGAAGACGTTGTCTGGAGAGGTGATGAGGCTGGTAAGGCATTCAGAGAATGCTCTTTTATCTGGAAAGGGGCCGGTGGGGAGATAGTCCCAGATAGCGGCGTGTTCTGGCTGGCCGAGATGGTGGTAGAGGTCGTCGATATGCTTCTCAGCCAGGGCTTCGACACGGACCGTACGGCCCGTGAAGGACGTGCGGGCTGGGCGGATGGCAGCACCTGTCTCGAGGGAAGTGATGGAGTGAGCCATGTCGATCTACTTGACCCGTTATTCTCGACTAGGTTCTTTGTCGGGAAATGAGGTGCTTTGACAGATTCATTGAAGAGAATTCTTTCACTGTGAGTCAGACCTGAATGATGATGAGTCAGCATTTGGCCTGTTGCGCTGCTCCAGCGGAATGTTTTCCGAGTATATTCCGCTGTATGGAGGGTATGATTCAGGACGGATGCTGTTCCTGTTTGAAATATTCTTCCTTCTCGCCACCAACAAAAGCAGATCAACGGCTATACTTCAGCACGCCTAACCCCCTCTGTCGGGCACGAGCCCCATCGCCGCTCGTAACCAGGCAACCACGGGGCGATGATGCGGCTGATCGCGAAGACTGTCAATCACGATCCCGAGCGTTGGGGTCACTGACAGCGGTCCTGCTAGCATCAGCTCGTCCTGCATCAGGTATTCTATCGACTGACCGACCTTCTTGGCCATCGAAAGATAATCTCTGCGGTGGCCGAGAGCTGGAAGCGGGCCCACCGCTGCATCGGCGGGGAGCATGGCACTCTCAGGCAACATGCCATCGTAGAGATTGCAGGGGCCTGACCACAAGAGTACCCAGATCGCCCAACAGCCGAATAAGGGTGGACGCCATTGAAAAGTCCGGAAAGCAAACGACAACCGGGAATGGTGAGACTCGGTGAGATTTCACTTCTTGCCTGAGACGGCGAGGCAGAAAAAGCCTTCAAGTAGATGTGCTTTCTCTGAGCAGCCGGCTGCACCCGGACAAACACCCTATCTCGCTCATAGCCGCCACAGGCTCGGGGAGACCGCGTGCATCGAGCACATTCCGGTCGTTGCTGGTCACACTAGTTCCCAATGGTTCAGTGCATACACATCAGAAGTCGAAACAGGGCCCCCTACCGCAATTTTTCGAGCGCGACAGGTGTTGCAGCCCTTGGATTGTCCGGCGACTCCCACCATGCTGGGCGAGTGGGGCGTCCCTTGCCCCGTAAGGCTGCCAATGCTTCCACTCGTACGGTGTGAACGATTCAGGGAGGTGTGGCTTCACCGTCTTCCGTCCTGATCGGGCTTTATCTTGCGCTGCGCTTCGTCAGTTGTAATCAAGGCCAATGATATTTGAGGCGGAGCCAAGAAGATGGGGGGAAATGAATGACTCGACGCTAGTCCGGAAAGGGGGTTGATCTTGCGAGCCCTGAAAACTCCAGATCCACACGTAGTACGGTGTAAACAAATCTCCAACGACTCGTATATAAACAGAAGACAGATGGCCAAACAGTATCGAGGATTAGGAATTCGAGATCCCCATTGCCATGCTTTCAATTATCATACGGGTAATTTGAAGTTCGTGGAATTTCCTGCAGCTCTTCACCGACAGCCTCTCTCATAGTATTCTGGTATAGCCTTCACACAGATCCTCCGGAGATATATAGATTAGCCGCCCTCCCCACCCACTACGTTCAATGACCACTCTAAAGCAAGCATTGCGCAAATTATCTTCTACATCCCAGCAATTGCGGTATCAATATACCATGCCTGTTATTGCCACACGCGACCGCGCATGGCCTGGCTGATCTTGCTCTTTTTCTCTCTCAGTGGGTGGACCCACCTTTCGGTTCGCAACGGCTCGGAGCGCAACCAAGATCTAACGATCTGACTGGGCCCATCAGTTCGAATCACACGGCGGGAATCCTGGTGGTTTTGTTTGAGCACCAGCCCAGGACGGGCATCATGGTAGGATCAATTATTCTGCTCGACACGGGAGTGTTCCCACTGATCGCGGCGACTCTGGGATTGATCCGCATTATCTTGACGAACGAGAAAGAGGTCACTCCCCGAATCCATCGTTGCTTGCTGTTCTCTCGTATGCTGTTCTTCGTGGGACTTGGTCTACAAATTGCCGGTGGGTGTCTCGAAGGCAGCGACAGGGTCCGTGATGTGGCGACCGGGGTGAAACTCGTCAAAGCTGGCCACAGCATGGTGATGGTTTCTGAACGCTGTCTGTTACTCGTGCAGGGCTGGTTCTGGATGCACCTCGCGGAGCTGTCGCAGATGAGCAAGACGGTAAGACCACATTCTCCAGCGCAGATACTTATGTATCGAAGGGTTCTGGTTCATTGTATGGTCCGGTCAACTGACCGCTCCAACTCCCAGCTCCTGCAGGCGATGGCGCTACCCCTACCATTCCTCATTGTGCGCGGTTAGCTACCTCTTCCTTTCGTTGTTCCATGTGTCCGATCTCAGATGGAATGCTCTGGCCGGTCCGATCGCTCCATTTGTTCTCATGGGGTTATCGATGGAGGATGCCGTGGTTTTGATCTATCCTGGCGCAGGATCGATCATTCTGAGCTCAACCAGAATGAAGGGGGAACGGGTTGTTTCTCTGACGAGGGTATCCTTTGGTGGAGCAAGTGAGAGACCTACTGTGGCGAGGCTATTGCAGTGATTCAGATTGATAGCTCAATTGGCTGTCAGCCGAGTTGGTCACCAAGCGCCTGACCCCCGCCTTACCCGTGAAGTAATCGAGTTGAACCCCATCCATGGTGTCCTGTTCCACTCCCTGTGGTTCGAGGTATTGTTCTACTATGGGGCTGCTCCGTTGCCACTGTGGCGTCTGTTGGCTGCATTTGGTCCGGATCTAGAACCCTTCGACGCAGCACTCGGTCAATCAACGAATCCCCCTGATAGCACTGCACACCTCTCCAATGGCTGTATAACAATATAACAATACGAGGGGCCTTGTTTGCGGGTGCCTCCCTCCGCCCCAGACATTCCAAAGCGCATTAACCCTTTTCGGCGACTACGTGGGGGTTTAACCATCGGGCTGTTCGATCACATGACTTGGGAAAGAAATACGGGGGTAGTAGTAGATATACTTCGATCCACGAGAGAAGCTATAGACTGCTATACAGATTGGCATCAGAGACAATAGAGGCAGGATAGAACCCTGATTTTTCCACTCTATCCGATAAGAAATAGCCGCCAGCTATCTAAATTCCAAAAGTCACGTACTGTCACTCACCGTTAGGTAGTAGACAGTTAGAATCCCGAAACTACTTTCTAAAGTAGCCAATCACCGTCTGTCACCCGCAATCAGGCCCCATATAGGGTTGCAGAGCTGGCAGTTTGGATGAGCTGGCTGTGGCGAGCGTGGGAGGACTTCAGGTTGTGCGTTTCTAATATAGTAGCTCAGCCTGTGAAAGGAGGCAACCCCGTACGATCGCGGGTTTACTATTGGATGCAGTCATTCCATAACGCGTGTCGATCGATGACCGCCAAGGGTCCCTCGGCAAAGATTTCCACTCACTCAAATGCAAGGGATAAAGCGCTTTTTCAACGGAGCTGATATCCGGTAATTCGTAAATTACTCAGCTGCCTGTTACTGCCTTTTGTTCGGGATTTGTTCTGCATGAGCACCGGTATCCACCCCGACCAATAGAACAATAGACCAAGACCACACTGTTTTTCCGGCTGAATTGCGGTAGATCCCGGCGGGTTCACGGAGAAAATCTCCTGCTGTGGTTTACCTCGTTTTCGCGCGTGCCTCCACCCTGGGGGGCTTAACAGCCCTGGTTGCTTTTGTCCCCTTGCTTGTTTACTGGTGAACCGCTAGATATGAAAATGGCCCCCCCTGCCCACAACGGCTCATTGTCCCTTGTCCTCTTCCCCCGGCTCTTAGTTACTTCCCTCTTGCTTCTTTTCTTTTTATTTCGATTTCCTTAGTCCCTCTCTCTTCGCTTTGGTCCTGTGCTCAATGCAGCCCCTTGCCCCCGCCCCGTCGTCGTCGCGCGACAGTAGCGCTCGGGGCTTCTTAACACCACCCACCATGTCGCTGCCCCCCCAGCGAAAAGCCTCTATAGCGTGTAGTGAGTGTAAGCGACTCAAGTCCAAGGTATTGTAGTCCACCCGTGCCACACACATGGCAAGCCCTGTGCGACTGAACCCCCAACTTCCTTAGTGTCGAGTCCGCGACGGGGCGACGGTCTGCGATCGATGTACCAAGCAGAAGCTGCCATGCATCTTTGATCTAGATGAAGATGGGAGACGCCGATTGGCCCATAAGCGTAAGATCGAGCGACTGGAGGAGGAGCGCGATCTCCTGCTGCAGGTCGTGCACTCGCTGCGGGACAGCTCCGACACCAAAGCGGCGGAGCTGCTGAATCTGGTGCGGAGCAAAGCCCCCTTGGGCGAGCTCAAGTCCTACCTGGACCAAGATCAACCGGACCTCGTGCAGGCGGCCACGAAGCAGGCCTCCATCCACCGCGCCATGGATATCAACCGTCTGGTCGATATCCCCGTCTACCGCGTTCCCGCGGCGCCCTGGACCGCCGTCACTCAGAGCGACGAGCTGGTCTCGCATCTCGTCTCCCTGTGGTTTACCTGGAGCCATCCATTCTATAACTGGATCGATCGAGACCTCTTCCTGCGCGATGCGCAGTCTGGCCACCTTGACTCGCGGTTCTGCTCTCCATTCTTGTTCAATTGCATTCTCGCCGAGGCCTGTGTAAGGATGACCACTCGGGGGAGTGGAGAGATTGTCCAGCCGCTAATCTCCTTTCCTCGTGGCAGTTTCATTCCGACTATCCGGAAACCTATGCCGATCCCGATGACCCGAATTCCAAGGGGTTGCACTTTTACGGGGAAGCCCGCCGACATTACGATAAGATCGGGGGTCGGCTCGATCTCCCCACCCTCCAAGGGTGCGGGGTGATGTATGTTTGGTAAGCGAGACTCTCTCCCGGCGAAACCAGGTCCCCTTTACTTAAACAAGCATCTTAGTATGGCAGCGATGGGCAAAGACCGTGTGGGCTGGTGGCATCTCGGCCAGATCAACAACATGGCGCAAGAATATGCGAGATCGCAACCGCCACCGTCAACCGAGACGCGAGAAAGTCGGGCAGTGAACCAGACCCTCTGGGGGCTGTACAATCTGACAGCGTACGTTGCGTGCCGTGCACCTCCCCGTCGCCTGGCTCACCACGTACAGGACTAGCTCGATTGCGTACATGAAATTCCTGGCCACGGAGCAGCCAGATCGGCCACTTCCCCCCTGCGACCACGAGGCGGACGACAGTTGGTCCCCTTATCCCCAGCCGCAGGCCTCCCCCCTGCAGTCGCACGTCCCGTGTGTCTTCAACAGTTGGTCTCAGCTTAGCCAGATCAATGCGGAAACCAACAAATCTATCTTTGGGTCCAAGCTGTCACGGAGCGAGCTGCAGCGGTCGCTCACCGAGATACAGGCGAAGATGGACGAGTGGCGGGCGAATTTACCGGCATGTCTGAGTCTGGACGCCTGCACGGTGCCGCACGCGTATTGTCTACAGTCAGTTGCTCCCTTCTTCCCCTGCCAAATCCAACCACAACGACGGCCCCAACCCAGGCCCCATTTCTAAGGCAGCCTCCAGTTTCTTCTACCACAGCCTCATCATCTCCCTCTGGGGCCTTCTGAAAACCGAACCCGAACTCGAATCCGACGAGGATGAACAAGGCGACAGCGCCACCGCCGCATACGCGCGAAAATTGTGCGTGGACTCCGCCCTCGCGATCGTCGGGCTCCTGCGCATCCACCGCACCCGCTGGGGGATCGACTACATCCACCCAACGACCGTTCACTGGGTGAGCATGGCCGCCTTCACCTTACTCGAAGTCCTGGGCGATGCCGACCCCGCCTACAAGACGTCCTTCACCGAACTGTGCGTCTTCGCCCGGGCCCTCTCCCGCAAGTGCACGTTGATGAAGGGGATCCTGCGGATGATCCAGGTTTCGGCCCAAAAAAGTAGCGTGACGCTCCCACCCGAGACCAACGCTCTATTTACAGAATTTGAACAGGCGATGTGGGAATCCAAGGATCGCGAGCGCTTTCGGAGCTTGTATCCGAATCTGGAGGCTTTGTCGAAGACAGGTGGGGATCGGACTCGGCTTGATGATGCCGAATTGGACAGCTTTCTCGAGAAATGGGATATCCTGGAGGTAGTCGAGAGAGAAGAGTCGACGGAGACTGCCAAGACTGCGCAAGATCTCCCCGAGATTGCAAAGACTGAGCATCGCATAGAGGACGATATGACCGATTGAAAGCGCAGTACCATCACATCGCACCTTGCGTAGCAATCAAGTACTATATTTGGTATGCTAGACTAAGAAGGGAGGCTTTACGGAGTGTTCAGGGGGACTGACAGCTGGTGCCCCCGCCCCACCTCCAGGCTGTTGGGTCCGTTATCCTCTTACCACCTCCCTTTGCCGGCCTTGATTCGTGACTGCGGCGGCTCTCTCCACCAAGAGTCATTGAGCAGGGATTGGATGTTTAAATGTCAATAATACCCTGCAATGCAGGGCTGCGTTCCGTCGCATATGCTGACTGATAATTACCCACTGCTGCCTTCTTTGCCGGATTTTCTCAGCCATGCTGTAATTCCTCGCTAAGTGGAGAAGTAGGATCACCGTGTTCTTTAGCCGGGTACTAAATCATCCCCATTCCCCCGCGGCTGTCAGCACTAGCTCACTCCATGATCTGGTCGCGCCTACTTGTGGAGGGGTCAGGCTGGATATTGTCCAATGAACTCCCTCCTGCGAGCGGGAAGATGTGGGCTGTGGTGAGAGAGAGCACCGCACCATGGATTCTCTGCGGCACAGCAACTTGCAGCGAGCTAATTTTAAGGTGGGCTCCAGCCTGTCAGGTAGAGATGCCGATGTCGCACGGATCCACGGGTGGACGGCGGATGAGCCCGCCGTCCATCGGACACACTAATCCTCATTTGGCATTTCCTGTACCGCACAGAATGTTGCAGCCTGAGGCAGCAGGCAGCCATGGCGGAAGCCTTGTCCGCTGCCATCTGCTTTCCCTTTCTCTTTCAGCCTCACCAGGTGGGGTCAGTAGATCCTTTCCAGTGTCGATATCTCACTAACTGAATAGTTATCCAGGGTCCATCTTGGTCAGCATGTGAAGTCATCCCTGGTTAAGAAACTACCGGTAGTATCTACAGTCGGATCGACCAGACCCCCGCTCCCTACCGCTGCCTTGGCGATTCTGCCACATGGGCTACACCCATTTGCCATACGCATCAGCAAACCGCTTCTCGCCACAAAATCCATTTGTCAGACTGACAAAGAAAACTGAAAATGACGAGGAAATTCAGTTGGGTCGCACCTCGTATCGCAGGTCAGCTTACGGCGGACGAGCCCCGTTGGGCTCCCCGCGTCTCCTGCAGACCGTGTTATACATAATATTATAAGCGTGCCCTGCATCCCCGTTAATGTTCTATATCCCCAGCATACGACGGATCATCCACTGGGTGTCACGATGCCAGCTTCACGGCCCACAGGCACCGAGCCCCGGCTCCCAGCTCCTCTCGGGGGCCCGCACAAGCTGTTCGATGGCTCCTTCGTCATTGAGTTCCTGCAGATACCCGCTGACTTAGACGCTACGGTCTTGATGCGCGCCACTTACCTCGGCGGCCACGAGTTGACCACCTTGGGCAAAAAACATCCTCAAGTGAGCCTGGGACTCCTGCGTATCCGCCCCAGAGCATGGCTGATCCCGACTCTAGGCACCTCCGTTGCACATCCACTTCTACCAAGCCGAGTCCTTCATCGTAGAATCCGGCGCTGCAGGCACTACCACCACATACGAAACCATCGACACCATTCATACCACGGACGGAGCCTACACGCAGACTGCCGGCCGTGCGACCGCGGTGCCTACTCGCTCACCAGCGGGAGTCACAGTCATTCCACCATACGTCCCCCACACGTTCTGGCCGTCAGTCGCTGGCCCCCGTACTTCCCTGCCCCGAGAAAAAACTAATGCGAAGCACAGTGTATCACCCGAGCACCCTTTCTGGGCCACCACGGCAGGCCAGGACTACGAGCGCACCCTCCCGTCTGGCCGACACACCGACACCACATTGTTGATCTGGGGTCATCCAAAGACCAACACCGGCCCGCCCACAGGCACCCTTACCAGCGACTTTCCCCCCGACATGGACGCCGCGTTCTTCCTGGCCCTGCTTTCAGTCGTCGACGCGGTGCACGGGCAACGGCTCTCGATGAGCCCCAGTGTAGGAGCAGCGCTGATGACCACGCAGACGGCCAGCGGGGCCGCCATGATCCTGGCGCCCCGGGCGTGGTGGCTGGGCCCATTGCGCTGGGCGATTCCGTGGGCCCTGCAAGTGGCGCTGGAGTGGACGAGGAAACTCGTGGATCGGCGAAGTGTAGTGCACTTGGTGGAAGAGGCCATCGCGCGGGAAGTCGTGCGGAAGCGGTAGTGGGAGGTGTGTACAGTAGTGATGTATAGCCGAATCACCAATCTCATGTTTCTTCTTCTTGTATCGACAGCACCAGCTGCCCGGGAATCGGAAGTATGAGGATCTCTGTCGTGTCCCGGATGCGCAGCGCTGTGGTTGACAAGGCGTACAGGGTCAAACACACTAGGCCCGCCCGCGCAGAGAATACTATTATTGTTCATTCTGGATCGGAGAAGCAGCTACGGGATTTCTTCTCGCCGATGGTGATGAGAAGACCTCACCGCAACGACATTAATCTCCCAACTTCAGTCCTCTAGGGCAGGCATCACACCGCAAGGGTATCCATCCCGGTCATCAGAGCGGGGCACCCATGGGGCAGAGCGACGAGATTAATAAGGCTGCAGACTCCTCCACTGTGCCCTACAGGTGGCATTGGCCGCACTCCACACGCTCACGGCACGCTGTGTAATAGGAGGCTGCTGAGAGGTCCTGCGTGTGATCAGAAGTGTCGATACCGCACTTTCATTCGAAGATGCTGAAACCGCTGGCCCCACTCTGTGTCTCCACTGACTCGTATAGTTAATTTACTTCGGCCTCAAACTGAAGATCGCTGTGGAGAGCAGAGAGTTACTCAGGCCTCCTTCAACACGCCATTTGCCCGATGGCCCGGCCAGACGGATCAACGTTTGAACCGAGACTGTGAAGATGGAGGGTGAGAGAGATGACGATCTCTCCTCTCCCCACCGTCGACTAGTCCTGCCACTAGTCTGAGCAACATCTACTTAACCCTTATCTCTACATGGCATGGTCGCTGGTGATAAGATCGCCATCCCGGAGGCGAAAAGGCCCGTATAAAATCTCCCCCCGCCTGTCGCCTCAAGCGTCCGGATTACTTTTTCCCTGGTGCTGATAGTCCCTGTTGTGCTCGTCGTACCATGGCTTGCATTGCATGTAAGGACACTACCTGACTCCATCCCCCATGTATATTCTATCCGGCCTCATCGGCCTCCTCGGCCTCTCTCTTCTGCTGAAAGTCCTCCTCTCCCCACGGAAACCCTCTGCCCCTTTGCCCCCAGGTCCCTTGCCACTGCCACTGGTGGGCAACCTTCGCGACCTCCCCGCGCCTGACAGCCCCGATTGGCTGCATTGGCTCAAACATAAGGATGTCTACGGTACAGTACGCCGAGGATCTGGCGACTCCGGCGCGCCGAATGCTGAGCCTCGCATACAGGGCCCATCAGCACGGTCACCGTGCTCGGACAGAGACTGATCATCCTCAACGATGCCAAACTGGCCCTCGAGTTACTGGAAAAGCGATCCGCCGTCCACTCCGATCGTCCCAAGATGCCGTTTGCCGAACTGTGCGTCCCCCATCTCCCCCGGGCCATGCCCCCCCCCCTCCCGGCAAACTGACGACTTGCTAGTGCCGGCTGGGGCGATGGCCTGGTGATTCTCCCGTACGCCAGCAAATTCAAAGCCTACCGCAAGCACCTGCACCGCGAGATCGGGTCCAAAGCAAGTATTGCTCGATTCCACGCGTTGCAGGAGGTGGAAACGCGTCGCTTTCTCTTCCGCCTGATTAACACGCCCGAGGAGCTGGTCGGTCATATCCGCAAGTGCGTATCAGCCTCCCCCCTCCCTGGCCGATCTCCATCGCATACTGACCCCTCCAGGCTTGCGGGAGCGGTGATCCTGAAGATCGCCTACGGGTACGCCGTCGACCCCTTCCAGCGGGATCCGCTGGTAGACTTGGCCGATGAGGCGGTCGAGCAGTTCTCGCTGGCGGTGCGCCCGGGGACGTGGATGGTGGATGTGCTGCCCTTCCGTACGTGATGCTCGCACAACCATTTGACTGGCAACGGTTCCCCCGAGACTGACTCCATCGTCTTAGTCCGTTATCTTCCCGCCTGGTTCCCCGGCGCCGGCTTCCAGCGCACCGCGCAGCGCTTCCGGAAGCAAAGCGAGGCTGTGGCCGACATTCCCTTTGCATTCGTGCACCACCAGATGTCGCAGCCAGGCTACGAGTCGTCCTATCTATCGAGCCTGCTCGAAAACAAAGTCCTCCCACCCGGAACCCCTGAAGAGACCGTCATCAAATGGTCCGCCGCCACGCTCTACTCGGCCGGTGCCGATACCGTAAGCCCCAGCCTTCACTTCTTCAGCCTCCCCCTGCTTTCCGAACCGCTGAATGCTAATAACGGGTCAGACCGTCTCCACAACGACCACCTTCTTCCTCGCCATGGCCTTGTACCCCGATGTCCAACGCAAAGCCCAGGAGGAGATCGACCGGGTGATCGGTCCGGGTCGACTGCCCGTGGACGCCGACCGGGCCAACCTGCCCTACATCGAGGCCATTGTCAAAGAAGCCCTGCGCTGGCACCCCGTCGGACCCATGGGTATCCCCCACCGCTCCATGGAGGACGATCTCTGCGAAGGCTACCTCATCCCGAAGGGGTCGATTCTCCTGCCCAACATCTGGTGCGCATTTATTCCCCCTTGCCCCTTGGCAGAAGCACCCCTCCCTCCCTCCCTCTCCTCTGCCCGAAACCCTAAACCCAGCTAAATCGCCCAAAACAGGGCCTTCTGCCACGACCCCACCGAATACAAAGACCCCATGAGCTTCAACCCCGACCGATTCCTTGGCCCCGCCCCGGAGCGCGACCCGCATTCCCTCGCTTTCGGATTCGGACGGCGCGTGTGTCCGGGCCGCACCCTCGCGGACGCCAACATCTTCCTGACGGTGGCACAGACGCTGGCGTCGTGTCGGATCGAGAAGGCCATCCGCAACGGACAGGAGGTCGAGGTGCGTGCCGAGTTCTTGCCGGGGACGATTAGCCATCCGGCGCCGTTTGAGGTGCATGTCACCCCGCGCACGGCGGCGTGGGAGCGGTTGATCCGGGCGGTGGAGACCGAGTCTCCGTGGGAGACGAGCCATGCGGAGTGGTTGCGGCGGGCGGTGTTCAAGTCGGTCGATTCGTAGAGGAACGCGAGCGCCAGTGTGACATGATATGAGACTCCAGTAATGGAAAGGATGAGAAAATGAACTGCTCCATCCTTGGGCAAGTTTGCCGGTTGAGTCTCTCACTCGACTGTAGGGCCGCGCTTGTCAAAGGGTGGAACCACGGCAAACATGGCAGGCAGCATACGAGTTCTGAGTATCAAGGCCCGGCTCGTTTCCATACGTGAGATGAACTGAAGACTATTTTGCATGTTTGGGGCCGTTGAGTGAAGTCCTGTTCGGGACCTCTTCGAAGGGCCACACCTGCTCTATCGAAGCCACATGACCGATGAGGTCGAGTAAAACTTCAATGGCGGTCTTTTCGGACTTGTTTTCATAGCCCCAACCCAGAACCTGGCCATAGTCCACAATGGGAGCTCGGCCACTGGGGGAGAGGCTCCTCGGCTTCCCGCCAGCCGAGCTCTCCCTTTCGTGGTCCATCTCGTAGTCGAAGTCGAAGTAGTAGTCCTTGATGTATAGCACAGGGAGAAAGTTTAACACGGCCCCAAGACTTTCAAGACAGAGTACACCACCAGGTCAGCACCCTTAAGCGTGGGTCAGAAGTCCCATTTTGCCACCTGGCAGAAGATTTTCAGCAGTCGTTAGGCATCATAGCAGAGACCCTGTAAGCCAATCGATGGCGGAAACTGAGCCACCGTACACTTCAGCGAGATTCGGTGCCAAGCCCAGTGCAGATTCCGAAGGTGGTGTCAGGCCCATTCCGCTGGTACTGAGGCCGGTCTCGGGTTCGTCAGACATGAATGAATTTGGTATCCACTGTACTGGCTTGGGCTGTAGGATGCTGCCTTGTGCGTGGCTCGAAATAGACGCCGAAGCTTGCTCCATCTTCTTTTGCTGCCGCACTAGGGCAGTACGCTCCATCAGCCGTGACAATGGTTTCTGAAGCATGTCGTTCGTTTCCACGTCTTGATGCAGCCATTGACTATACATCTGAGTCACTGCTTCCCACGCATGATCTGTCTCGGGTGTAATAGGACGGTTGCACAGCTCGGGAAGCAGGTACGCCACGACGTGTCGGTGCTTGTAGCTTTTGCTGAGCCACGCCCACTGCAGGATCCTCCCATCGGTGTGGAGCAGGTTTGCAAACTTGACCGTCTCTACGGCCATCCGGAAAATATGGTCGGTTGTGCTGGTGGGCGCTGAGGCAGTGGTGAGGCGGGTCACCAACCATGCTTTGGACAGCGTCAGCCGGGCGATGACCGCGGTGATCCATTGTATCGGGCTGTCCAGGTCCAGTGGCTGAAGGTACTTGGTTTCCAGGTAGGCCTCTAGTTCAGTCAACCGATGCTGCCTTTGCTCCGACGACATCGCACCGATGCTAGGGTCGTAGGACATGCTCGGCCAATACATGTGGGTCATCATCTCACATTGAATGATGCACAGTGTGATATCGCTGAAGCCCAGGCTGGGAAGTGGCATCGCGGTCACGCCCGGCGTCAGTACTTCGATGTCTATATTGGAGGGGATCTTCGTATCGAACATCTCCGGTCGGATCTGGGTCTCTGTGCCCTCATCTTCTGAGCAGAGCATGTCGAGAAGGCAAATATGCCACCATAGTCGGCGACGCATCTCAACCTCATACGGACTCAAGCCTAACGGCTGGCCATCACGGTGCAGCCCCTGGCGCTGGGCGACACGCACTACAATTGCACTTTCCGCCCAGATTCGTCTCGAGTCACTACATCGACGGAGACAGAGAAGAAACAAGGTAGCCGCCTGCAAGACACGCATATCCTGGGTACTGACTAAGTTGGCTCGTGCCAGCGCATGCTCCACGGAAAGTCGGTAGCTCTCAATGCAAGTGTCATGGGGCTCATCGAGGAGCGCGGTGCACTGTTGCGGTGTCATGCTCACCACGGCCGCGAAACAAACCGCGGAGACCAAGGCTCCTTTCTCGGGCTGCAGAGCATTGCTGTCTTGTGCAGCATCGAGAATGACGGATCCCATTGAGCGAAGATGTAGGAGGGCAATCATAGGGGCCACATTGGTCTGATAGACTTCCCACAGTGCCGGTAATTGGGATACTGGTAAGGATATGGTCGTACTGCCTGGGCTATGCCCCCCGGCAGCGCGATTCGACCCCAGGATCCCAATCGAAGAGACTGGGATGGGGTCGTACTGGGAGTGCAAAAGTCGAGGATCAATCGGTTCCTCCTCAGATGATTCATCGCACACCTCCTGCAGTTCTCGAATCTGGGGGATATCAGTGAACCTGACACGCTCTATGCGACAGACTCGCCTACCTTGTCGCCAAGAATGATGGAGGCCTCGTCCCCGACGTATCGGGTTCGTTCTCCCTGCGCTACCAGCCGGCCTCGCGTAGTTGCAGTCGTGTCCTTCCCAACGCTTCGGGACTCGGCTTCAGTACCAGGCTGCTCCTTTGGCCTCGTCTGCGACCGCAGCCGCTCAACCTCGGCCTCCAAATCCTTGAGGTGCGCCAGAATCTCGGCAACCGGTGGCCGTCGCAATTTCCGAGGCGCCCGTTTCTCCCCGGGATGAATGCATTCCAGCCCGGCCTTGAGACATCGACCACAGGGACTCTTCTTGTCGCATCCCACTTTTCTCTGGTTGCACCGAATGCAGCTCCGTTTCGATCCGGTGAACTTCTGTTCGGCCCCGGGCGCCATCGTTACATGAAGCAAACCTCACTTGAGCGAAGTAGACCACGAGCCGGACTCGAAAGGTCGTTTTGTGTGAATCCGCATGAGTGGTGGCAGACAAAGTTGAAGATGAAGAGGGATGAAGTTATGTTCGGCTGGCGGAGCACAGATTCGCTGACTCATCCGGCATCCACCCGCGCCACCGTCTGCATAAGTTGTGCACATAACCGACATGTTCGCCGCGACGCTCCACCGAGCTGTACACGAGTCAGTGCGACCGCAGATTGACTTGGATGGAGGCTGAGCGTTTCGCGTGACTGCGAGAGTCTCGAAGGATGGTGTTGAGTGTGTCTGATGCTTGTGGCGAGTGGGTTTGTAGTCTAATGCAGACAAGATTGAACGTGAAATAATCAATTGTTCCTACCCACCGCTTCCGAGTTACAAGGCCAATTCTTGTCCGACACAGACTGAAAATAAGCAGAGCTTGGAAATCAACAGTTGGCTTAGAGATAGGAAAGGTGCCTCCATGATGTGATGTCGGGGTGCGTTTCAAGGCCGAAATGAATAAGCTTATCCCCTCGGTTGGTCTCGGCAGAAGTAAGCCCCACAGAAGCATTCTCAGCCAGCAATTTTCTCTGGGTGATTAGACTTGGGTTTATCCTTTTGACAAGCCTGTGAGAGACGTCATAATCGTGTGAGGAAGTATTCTAGACCATGACAGTATGTGTGCTTATCCGCCTCTCTGGCTTCTGAGGCTGGCTTATCGTGGCTATAACTAATTTGCTCAACGATGTCCTCACATAACGGGCGGTGCAGGGAAGCGGACACTCTTGGGACATGAGAACCTCTCGCGGGCGTCATTATTCACCGAGTTGCTTGACTTTCGAAAAAAACCCTGTTCAGGCCCACTGCATTTGTAAAAGTCCTGCTCGTATGCAAGAGGTCTGTTCTCGCATCTCTGAGAACAATGAAACAGACAGACCCCAGACCCAATCCAGAACATCCATCAATCCCTTGATCCTTTGCCTGTCAGACAACGGCTCCTGGACCCTTGCTACAGGGATTACATCCCATGCTGAGGGGGCGGTGCGGAGGATCGTCGCCCCAAGATTGAATCCCCGATCATCCTCAACGATCATTCGTTCTCCACGCCATTCGGCCCCAAACCAACGCTATTTACAGCCGAAGAGGTGTTTCAAAAACAAGAACGCCCAATCATGGTCAACTGTGCAGAGACAACGACACACGTGTGCGGTTGGATTCTTTGCGCGGACAAAGAACCGTCAATGAGCCCTAATCCGTCCCGCGCAACAACAATAGTTACTCAAACACTCTGCATCCCCACTGCCCACCCCCAGCTCATCCTGCAACAATCCTCACCAGATCCTCAAAGCAACAGCCATGATCTCCCTCACAACCTCCGTCACATCCCTGCTCTGCCTCCCCGGCGCCCTCGCCGCCACCGACTACCTGACCAACGCCCAAGCAGCCGTCACGACCCTGCAGGAATGGTACAACCCGAACACCGGGCTGTGGGACACGACCGGCTGGTGGAACAGCGCCAACTGCCTGACCGTGCTGGCCGACCTCACGGCGCTGGACGCGAGCCAGCGCGACCAGAACGCCGCCATCTTCGCCAACACCTACACCCGCGCGCAGGGGTCCACCGCTGCACGGTCCCTAGCCATGGCTTCCCGCGGAGACCCGCACCACCACCGTCGCATCACGCGTCGAAGCTACCCGGGCTTTCTCAACAACTACTACGACGACGAGGGGTGGTGGGCGCTCGCGTGGATCCAAGTCTACGACCTCACGCACGACGCCAGGTACCTCACCACCGCGGCCGAGATCTTCAGCGACATGACGAGCGTGTGGAACGCGAGCTGCGGCGGCCTGTGGTGGGACAAGCTGCACACGCAGATCGGGGCGATCGAAAACGAGCTGTTCATCAGCGTGGCGGCGCATCTGGGCCGACGGCGCCCGGCCTAGACAGGGTACTACCAAGACTGGGCGTTGACGGCGTGGCGCTGGTTCGCATGCAGCAGCGGACTGATCAACGACCACCACACCATCAACAACGGCCTCGACCTGGCCAGGTGCACCAACGACGGGGGCACGGTGTGGAGCTACAACCAGGGGGTGATTCTGGGGGCGCTGGTGGAAATGGCCCAGCTGTTCAGGGACCCGTCGTACCTATCCATCGCGCAGGAGATCGCGACGGCGGCCACGGGGGCGCTGAGTAACGCGGATGGGGTGCTGACGAAGCCCTGCGAGCCGGGTTGCACGGGCGATGCGCCGCAGTTCAAGGGGGTCTTCATGCGAAATCTGCAGGTGCTCTATCAGGCGACGTCCAGCGAGCCGATTCGCAGCTTCTTGCAGCGCAACGCAGATGCGATCTGGGAGAAGGCCCGGGGTGATGGCAACGCGCTGGGAGGGAGCTGGGAGGGGCCCTTTGCGAGCGCCGATGCTTCGACGCAGAGTTCGGCTTGTAAAGCTTTGATTGCCGCGGCGGCGGTCAGTCAGTGCGTCTGAAATCTTTGTCAATGTGGTGGTCAGGCAGTGCGTCTAAAGTCTTTGTCGATCTGGTGATGGTTTATGCCTGGATGATGCATCACGACTGGCATCGAATTACTAATTATGCATGCACAAGTCCGCATTTCTCGCATACACTTATTGCCTTCCATGCAATACTCGGAGAATCGAATCAATTCACCGCGCTAATGTCTCAAATAAACTAATTGATGAGATCGAATAATCGATTGTTCCCTGACTCAACCGTGGAAAGTGGTGATACTCTACCATACTCCGTATGTCCCCAGTGCCCCCATTTGTGTCGAGGAAGCGGCGGAAAAGTGAAAAAAGAAAAACAGGCTCAATCAAGCTTTGCCACGCGGTGCAGCGATAAGACCGACCCATCACTGCACACTCCAGCCCTGACCGTAATTCCCGATCATTGGCGGCGATAATTCCAGCATACACAGCCCAGACTGACCCACTCTTCGGCACCGATAAGAATCCCGATAATGTATCCGTAATCCTGGCGCCAGAAAAAAAAAAAAGTGGAATCAAATCTTGGTGGTGCTGGAAACTTTGCAGCAGAAATTGATAGACCCTTTGGTGCCCACAAGCAGCAATCCAATCCACCACCACAATGCCTGTATTACAACCTCCCATCCCCCAACCCCCCGCTCCCGCTGCCACGAACTCCCCCTCATGGATCCACCCCAATCTCACGCAAGGGGTAGTGCCCGTCAAGGGCCGGCAACTGCGGGCGAGCAAACCCATCTGTCAGGGGGAGGTGCTGCTGGTGGATACGCCCTACGCGGTGATCCCCGCCGTCGACGACCCCAGCACGACCGATGCCCTGCTGTGCAGTAACCCGTCGTGCAGTCGGCGCATGGCCCGCAGTGCGGAGCGCCTCGCGTGTCCCCAGGGCTGCCAGGCGGATGTGAAGTGGTGCAGCGTCGCGTGTCAGACGGCGGACCACCCACGACATGACTTCGAGTGTACTTGGCTGCAGCGGTTCGCGGACCCCATCCGCACGAAATGGGGTGAGTATGAGTTCAGCATGTTGTGGTTGATTGTGCGCATCCTGGCGGCGCGCCAGATGGAATTGGCGCGGGCGTCCACGGACCAGACGCTCGACAAAACACTTGGCTTCGCGCAGGGCTGGCCGGCCATGCAGGCCTTCTGTGGGACGGAGGACTCGTGGTCGCATGCCCAGGTGCGAGGCTGGACGGCGCTGGTCAAGAAGTATCTCCGCAGCGGGTCGGCACTGCCGCATTCCCTGCCAGACACAGCCGTGCTGAGGCTCATCTGCCAGGAGGAAGCCAATTCCTTTGGCTTATATCCGCGCGAGACGGGGCTGTTCCCCGTGCCGGCCGATGCCCTCGACCGGGGCGAGCAGTTTGGCGCGGCGGTGTATCCTTGTGCGGCCATTGCGAATCATTCCTGCGCGCCCAATGTGAGTAACCCGGAGGTGCCGGAGGACAAGGTCTGGTCTCGGAGTGCTGACTTCGAAACCAGATGACGCATAAGCCCGATCAACACGGTCGTATGGTCTTCACTGCGGGCAGGGACATTGCCGCGGGCGAAGAATGTTGTATCTCCTATTTCGATTTGACCCAGTTCACAGACCTCCAGACGAGACGCGACCGTTTACAGACGCTCTTTCGATTTATCTGTCGGTGTCCGCGGTGCGAGAGTGAGGAGCCTCCGGTCGAGGAGGCGGAATGGGTGGCGATGCCGTTCGGAGAGGATGAATAGATGGATTGGGGGGGGGAACTGAAACACAGGCTGGTCCTGTTGCTGATCATGAGGGAACGGTTTGTCGGGAAACATTACACATTACAATAGAATCAGCTAGAGACGATGAGTGAAGTCATACCCAGACTACTGCTGCACGCCACCCCTCCATCCCTGATCATAGGCTGAACCCCGCTATTGCACCCCACCATCGCGCGTAGAGAACATGAACATCAGATATAACCACCGCGACAGCCACGAGAGCCATAATCTCGTAGGCTCTAACACTCCATCGAGCACGATGCAAGAACCCTCTCGTCCCGAGTCAGACCCGACCAAAATTCCCCATGCGGTGGTGGAAGAGGCCCCCGCGCTGTCGGCGGGGTCGCAGCATCTGCACCGCAAGCTGCGAGGCAGAGAAGTGCAGCTTCTCGCGGTTGGTGGCGCCATTGGGACGTGTATGTTCTCCAAACCAATGCTCTCTCTCAGTGATACTCACGAGAACAGCCTTGTTCGTGCAGATGGGCGCGGTGCTGCCCAAAGGGGGACCGGCCGAACTGCTTCTAGGGTTTGTGGCATATGGCACGATCATCCTCGCAGTGAACCAATGTTTCGGTCCGATCATGTCTCGCGAGGTCAGGAAGTGTGACTGATATGCGTTCACAGCTGAAATGGTGTGCTATCTGCCCATCTCATCGCCCTTCGTGCAGCTGGCGGGTCACTGGGTCGACGATGCCCTAGGCTTTGCCATGGGATGGAACTTCTTCCTCACGATGGGTGAGCGGCACGCTCGCGGTGACTGGCAGCTACTAATCATCGGGAATAGCGCTTGGGATTCCGTACGAGATTGTCGCCCTCAATGTCCTCCTCACGTACTGGACTGATCGCATCCCCGTCGCCGCGGTCGTGGTGGTTGTTCTGATCATTTACGGGTACCATGACTATTTTCACCCGTCCTCCAGAGACCGTGCTAATTCCGCAGTATCCTTAACACTTTGACAGTGCGATATTTTGGAGTGGCGGAGTTCTACCTTTCAATCTGCAAAATCGTGCTAATGGTGGGCTTAATCTGCTACACCTTCGTTACAATGGTTGGAGGAAATCCTCACCACGATGCCTACGGCTTCCGCTACTGGGAGGATCCAGTACGTCCGTCCCCTTGACCGCAGCAAACCCATCACTCATTCGTCCACAGGGGGCATTCGTCTCCTACCTCGCCCCAGGCAACACCGGTCGCTTCTGTGGGGTCTTAGCCTGCATGATTCAAGCGTCATTCACGTATATACCAAGCCCTTTCCAGCCCACCTCGCCACATCTACTGTAATAACCAACGCACTAACCAACCCAGCATGGTCGGACCCGAATACATCTCCATGACGGCAGCCGAGGCGGAGCGGCCACGAGTCATCATGCGTCGGGCCTTTTCCTCCTTCGTGTGGCGTCTCATGGTCTTCTTCCTCGCGGGGGCGCTGTGCATGGGGATCGTCCTCCCATCTAACGACCCAACCCTCGCCGCCACCCTTGCCGGCACTCGCCCAGGGAGCGGCACGGGGGCAGCGTAAGCCCTATTTATCTACATATCCCTCCCACCTCATCATCCCCAAACTGACAGTACACCGATAGATCCCCCTACGTAATCTCCATGATGAACCTCTCCATTCCGATCCTCCCACACATCGTCAACCTCCTCATCCTCACCTCCGTCCTCTCCGCCGGCAATAACCTCGTCTACTCCGCCTCCCGCACCCTCCACGCCCTCGCCCTCACCCACAAAGCCCCTGCCCTCCTCGCCCACTGCACCTCCCGCGGCCTCCCCATCTACGCCATCGCCCTGACCCTCGCCTTCAGCAGCCTCGCCTTCCTCCAGGTCCAGCACACCTCCGCCACCGTCCTGAACTGGCTCGTCAGCGTCATCACCGCCAGTTACCTGCTCAACTACCTGGGGACGAGCATCACCTACCTGCATTTCTACACGGCGGTAAACGCGCAGGGGGTGGCGCGGGGGACGTTGCCGTACCGCGGATGGTGGCAGCCGTGGGCGGGGTGGTTTGCGGTGGTTGGGACGGGGGTGATGGTGTTGGTGTTGGGGTGGGAGGTGTTCATGCCGGGACAGTGGAGCGTGCAGACGTTCGTGTTGGATTATGCGATGATCGCGGTGTTTGTGGTGCTCGGGGTGGGGTGGAAGCTGGTGACTGGGTCGAGGTGGGTGAGGCCGCGGGAGGCGGATTTAGGGGTCGGGGGGTTGCGGATGGAGGTGGATGAATATGAGCGTGTGGCTGTGAGTGGGTTGGAGGTCTCACGGAGAAGAAGGGGTTGGTTTGAGTAAGGGGAGTGGTTGATGCTGGAATGTGATAGTGTTGCGAGGTGGAGAAGAAGCACAACTATAACCATGATGTTTGGATATGAACCACGGGGAATCTACGCAGAAATGAGCATGTTTCTGCAGAATTGCTCTAGCTGCATGATCTCTGGCTTCTGCACTGGAGATGCTGGCTAGATCGCGATCAATAACCATCTCAAACCAAGAACGATACAGCTTGTCAATGTCGCATTCACGACAAAGGGTTGTCTAAGCGTTGCTACAAAAGATAGTCCACTAGTACCGGCTCCTCCGGGGAGAGAAGAAATTGTGGCAGACGTCCAAGGCACGTATATGAGAGTGAGTATCTTCTAATCGCGCTCTGTACTGTAGGGGACAAATTTCGGGCTACCAAAGCACTTCTCGAGGTGATGAGCGGTTCATACCGGCCCGGTTGACATTGTAGGGAATCTGCCAGGCCGTCCGTGCAGTGAAAACAATCACCACCGGTTCCGGCGGAAGTTGAGGATTCTCGGGTCTGGGATGAAGTGGGAACCGGAAGATGCAGCGGACCACACCAAACGTACCAAACGGAACCGAAGACCCTGTCAAGCCCTATCCCCGACTCGGATCCGGCCACAACCACTTCATCGGGCACTTGGCGTGCAGACTAAGGGTCACTCCCTGCCCGGGAAGATGATACAACCGGCTTGGCTGGAACTTGAGGTCTCAACGAGGCTCCACATCTCTGAACCTGGAGAAGCTGCCCTTCACTTCCCCATGGGACGAAGTCTCTGGGGTAGAAATAGGGCCCCACGGCCACTTGGACTGTACCCCAGACCATCTTCTACTTCATTGCCATTATGACCGAAATCTAGCTTCTCTGGTTGATAGTGCTCGGCTACCATAGTTTGGCACCATGTCGATTAGCGAGACCGCTGGATTCACCGACAAGGCCGCCTTAAACCCGCACCGCACAGGCGGTGGCTGCTCGTGAATATGAACAGCAGGGCTGGTTGGAGAGAAGGCTGAAGCTGAAGACTGTCACTGCTCGATACCCCTTCAAGCCCCCTTACTCTATGCAACATGTGCCTTCTCTGGTTCATGATGTTCATGACTTTGGGTATATACCTGCCTTGTTTATGAATTGGCGCCCCTTTTCCTTGTTCTATTCTGTGATGATTGCAACGGTTTTACCCTGTGATAGATCTTTCTCTTTCTGTCTTTCGACAAGAGTTGTAATGACAAATATCTGGCTTGGCTTGATCTTTGGTAATTGCTTATCAAATCAAAACTACCGTTTTCACTTTATAGAAGCATCATTGGTCTAGTGGTAGAATTCATCGTTGCCATCGATGAGGCCCGTGTTCGATTCACGGATGATGCAATCCACTTCTTTTTTGTCCAACCGCTTGGTTCTCCCCCTCCATCCCTCTTTGCCCATTCTAGAATATTTCAAATCTTGATTGACTTGCTGGCCACCCTTCATACTCATAACAACGTAGTAGTCACCACATCAATCCTGTAAACGACGTGCTTTTGTCAAGTGTGGGAACCGGCCAATTGCGGTCTCATATATCCGAATTGCAGCATTAAGTACTGCTCACAGTATATCACCTCAACCAGGAATCAAACTGCCACTACCGGTCACTAGGCCTGAGCTCACGCTTGACCAGATACATACTCTCCGGCCACCAAGTCTCGCCCATCTCCGCCAACCGCCCCCGCGGATTTCGCGTCTTCATGACCGACAAGACCTGCCCGATCTCCCACTGCCCGATCTCCCCCAGCCACCAGACCCCATCCAACAACTTCACCAACACCAGCCAATGAGCGAAGATATCCATCGCCAGGACATACGGGGCAGAGAGCAACCCCGCCTCCGCCACCGCTGCATCCTGCCCGATTCCATCTGCAGCCAGGGCATCCAGCACCGACTGCACCAGACCCAGATACTCACTCGGCGCTTGATTCAGGATCGACATGATTATGCGACGGAGGATCTGCGGGGCGCCCATCGAGGTGACGCTGACCATGTACTGCGCCACCCAAGGGGAGACCCGGGCGCATCGGTGTAATGCTAACGCCGGGCTGCGAGGGCTCTCAACCGTCCCACCGTTCGCTTTCGACGTCAACGCCGCAGTTGCGCATTGTTCAAGGATGGAGACGGTCTGCAGGGATGCCTGGCACTGCGCCCGAATCCCAGCCCCAGCCCCAGCCGCACAATCCGATGGTCGCAGCGGGGCGACGGTCGTCTCCGCCCGTCTGCGTAGACGCTCCAACGCCTGACGGTACGTCGACGCGACGATAGGGAGAAAGAGCCGCTTCGTGTGGCTCGGAGGGACCGGCCTGCGGGGCGAAGATGGCCAGGGTGGTGGGCGGAGGGATCGGGATCGGCCGGTCGGCCGCCGGACTGCGGAGCGAACGGTGCGCTTCATCCTCCGCAGCCTGCACAATATCATTAAGCACGGCGGTAGAAGCCGTATGTGCGGCTCGGGTAAACGAGATCCACTGGGAGTGCTGCGGCAGCAGCTCCGTCGGCAGGCGCTGGCCACGCTGCTGGGCGTGTCGCCAGGTGCACGCGGAGGGAGTGGCTCGCAGAAGCGTACAGGACCATGAGGGCGGCATTGGCGAGGACTTGGTCGTAGAAATCCTGGTTCTGCATCGCGGCTTGGATGTGGCGGAGGGAGGCCCGGTGGTGGCGCTCGGCCAGGGCCAGTAAACCGCGGATGTGCACGAGGCTCGGCTGGTCGAGCGGGGTGGGGGCTTGTTTGGCCAGATCGTGGGATTGGCAGGCGGCCGCCAGGGCTAGGAGGGATGACATGACCGCCGGGCATTTGAAGGCGAGGTTTGGGACGCCGACGGCCAGGGCGTAGCGGTCCAGCTCGTCGAAGGGGATGGTCTGGCTGGTGTGGGTGAGGTAGTGGCCTAAGAGGCTGAGCTCCGTGGCGTCGAGAGGGCCGGGAAGGTATCCCTCGTCCGGACTCGAACTTGAATGTGAAGTGATGGGTTCATCAATGTAGGGCGTCGGGTCTGATAAGCGAGAGCGACAATGTGAGCCGGAGACTGGCGACTCAGGCCCGGAGATGACATGCCGGTCGGAGACGGGCGAATGGGCCGACTCGGGCTCTTCTGACAGATGGCCATCGCGGAGAGGGAACGGATATCGACACCGGTAAGAGCGCTTGGTGCATCTGGAGCAACCGGGTCTGAATTCATCACACTCGAAGAAGACGATCAGCACGGGGTGGTAGAGGCTTAGGGTTAGCGAGGGACGGTTTATTCACCTTCTTCCGCTGCTGCTTACACCTCAGGCATCCATTGCGGGATTTCTCGTGGGTCCTCCGCAACCTGTATCCACTGCGCTGAAGTACTTGAAGGGTTGATTCACTCGGCATCAGGACTGACAGCATTCTTGAATGCCCAAATGAATTGTCAGTCGATGGGGAGATTTGGGGCGTATTAGTAACTGCAACGCGGTGAGGCTGAGCCCAAAGAGGCTGAAGTGAGCCAAGATACGCCCAGTCAATCTCGCCCCGGAAACAGTTAAGAGTCGCTCGTGTTGTTCGTCAGCGAGAGGCTCTGCTCAACTTCAAACAAACGGGATTCCAATTACTCGTTGGGCAGGCATGAATGATCCTGCCGTCTGGGCTCCATGATTTGAAACATGACATGGCATGATACATCACATTACTACTAATTCATTTACCGACATCGGGTTCGTATCAGAGGAATGTTTCCCGTCGTTCATTATGCATTTCTCCGCCTCATCTAAATCATATGCAGCACGCACTCAATGAGGACTATCCTCATTCGAATCAAAGTGCTCCCGCGCCCAAGGACTCCTCAGCCGAATTGCCCGACCCTTGTAAAAGAAGATAAACGGAATCGGGACGAGCAGGAGAGCGATAAATCCCAGCAAGCTTGACGCCCACTCATAATCCAACTTGTTATACATCTGCGTCGCAAACAGGGGGAATCCAGCTCCAACAATGTTACGCACCAGGATGACGCCCGCGAGCGCCGAGGCCGAGTACGTCTGGTAGCTGTCGACCACATAGTTGAGGATACTCAGGATGACGATATACAGTCCCGCCCCAAAGAAGACCGAGGCGATGATCGGCACAATCCAGTGGACCGAAGAATAGCTGGTCCAGCCGAACCAAAAAAGACTGATGGGAATGAGCAGCGCCCCCAGACGGGCCATCCACATGCGGGCCTCCGGGACACTGAGACCATCGTGCGCAGCAACAGCCCGGCGGTAGTAGCGTTCTTGCAGTGGATGGGCGGCAAAGGCGATGAAGGGGCCGATCGCGATCCCCAAAAAGCAAAGACCTTGCTGGCCCACATTGAATCCGTGGCCATGAGGAGCACCGAACACGAGAGGAAAGGCTTCGTTGAACAAATAGACAAGACCATAGAGGAAACCATTGAAGATGGCGGAGAAGAGGGTGATGGGTTCGGTGAACAAGAACCGGATGGGCCGGGTCAACGTGATGCCCAGCAACTGGTGCAGGCCCTTGCGATTGTCACCATGAATGTCATCCAGAGTTTCAGCCGATCGCAGGCCTTCTGTCTCCATCTGACGCCTAATCTTGGCGGTCTTGCGCTGCAGTCGAATGGAATGGCGAGTCTCGGGAATGGTGAAAACCAGAACAATCCAGAACCCACCACTGATCGCCATCATAATCCAGAAGATCCAGCGCCAGCCCAGGTCAAGACCGATGTAACCGCTCACAACCAGGGCCAGCGGGGGACCGGCGGTACTGCTGAGACCATACACCGCCATCGGCCAGCCACTGTGGTCACGTTCCCACAAATCACTAATGGTACCTCCGGTATTGGTCAAGGGGGCGCCGCCCGCCAAACCGGCTATCAAGCGACACACAAGAAGAGTACCAATATTTGGGGCTAGGGCCAAGGGCAGCTGGAAGATAAACAAGATGAACCAGGAGACGATGTAGATCGGCTGGCGGCCGAAGTACTCCGACAAGGGGGCCAGTAGGACAGGGCCCACGGCATAACCCAGCACGTAGAGCGACAGACACAAAGTGGTGACCTCGCTCGAAACATGGAAATGATCGGCAATCTGCGTCGCCCCCGACGAGAAAGAACCACAACACCAGGTGGTAATAACATTGAGCATGCTCACAAAGACCGTGATGTACCACTTGCGCCAGAAACCCCAGCAGCGCGGATTGTCGGGATCATGATGGTCAAAGGTGATGCGCAACGGCAGCGCAGCGTTCGGCTGCTGGCGGGCACGGAGTAGTGCCTCCTCCGCCGTCACCACCACGGGCAGCGATTCATGCTGCTCCGTCTTCTCCAAGTCCTTGTGGTTTGGGGTCGCAGTCATGTTGACAAGATGGACCAGGAGAGAAGTGCGAGAAAGAAACGAAATTCAGGAACCGATGATTTGACATCCGGGAGGGGAAGGTTTTATCTTAAACAGTTCTGGGTGCCGGTGACGTTCTGATGGATCTGCTGGCGCTTGGTCGAATTTTCCGCCGGTGAAGTGATGTTCGAGTGGCCAATGAATGGCCGGAGTGGGTCAGCAAAAGTTTCTCCAACATGAAAGAATGGATGCATTAGATGGATGAAATATAGGCATGGGGAAACCTCGTGATCCATCCCCACCTACTTCATCATTGGGGATTGGACAATTATGGGTGGTGACCCCAAGAAGGAGGGGGAGGGGGAGGCCAAAGAGTTCAAGGATGCAGACGGAAAACAAGCCTCGGACAAGCTTTCTTCCCACCGGGTGGCGTCAGAGACTCAGAGCAGGCTTGGGTGCATTTAGCCTGAGTCCCAGGAAGGAACAGAGCCAGCAGCTGATTGGATCAGAGACATGGGGCATCTTCGTGCAGCTGAGTCATCCCCGCACCCCGGGGGGAAGTGCAGATCACGTGGCATCGGGTTCCGCTTCCCCAAGGCAGGATTGCCGACCGGTGGTCCAGAATGGAATCATCGGTGAGCCGCGCTTCGGCAGTCGGCCTGCACTGAAAGTCTGAGATAACCAGTGTGAGACGGGCGAGTGACTTCAACCTGATAAGTCGACCATTCTGTTACGCAATGAAATCATTCCCCCCACGACCCACGCATCTTCTCCTCTCGCTTCCACTCCCCGCGCACTCCCCCAGGCGGCCAAGCCCATCTCCAGGCCTCTTTGGTCTGCGAGTCAGCATGGCTCATCGTCATCGCCTTCCCGTCTGTTCCGAACTGATTGAAGCTCTGCCCTGCTCCGATCACGGCCACGGCCTTCTTCTCGGGCCGATCCCTCGTTTCCATGCCTGTTTTGGGCCCATGATTGAGTGGCCGAAATGACAAGCGATCATCACAGAATCACAGTTGAGCATCATCCTTTCCGGTCGGACCTCTTCCCAGCTCATTCTCCCCGTATGAAAACTGCCACCCTTCTTGCCACTCCACCGAGGCGAGCAATGTCTGTCCACCGCTCTCTGGAAACACAGGACGGATACACACTCAGGTACCGTGTCGCCCTGCGGCCAGGCATCGTGCAGCTGGAAATGATACATCGGTGGTTGTCCTAGGAGCGACATCGCTCAAGTACCACTGCTGTGAGATGAGTGGTGTGACAGCACTAAGCCATGCACCCATGGCTAACAAAACTGAGGTCGAAAATGTCCGTGTTTCACCATCGCCCTCCTGGGCCCCTATTGTGTTGGTCGGTCGCAACTTGGCGGCTAAATCTCCAGAACACAATATCGCGTAGCACTCCACCAGGCGTCTTTATCGTCGTTCTTCTGTCATTCGGGTTTCCTTAGCCCATATGTTCGCGCACTGATAGTTCGCGTGTAGGCTCGAGAGAGCATTGTGAAAAATTGATCCCCACGGACCGTACTGCATCAACACTTTGTGGTCGCACTGGTCGTAAGACACATAGACACAGATCTGTAGCAAACCGCAAAATACGTTAGACATCACTCAGGGCGACACAGACCTTCGCGGAGTAATTACCAGACCATGGCATCCATTGTCAGACATACCTCATCCAGAGCAACATATGCCCACCGGGGAAGAGGTCCGTAGGCCCGAGATATCGCTCAGTTAGGACTATAAAGCCTCAATCTCTCCATCGAAATCTCCGACCACAATCTCATCAATATCAGCACCACAGATACAATCCAGATTCTCAGCAAAATGCGCTTCCCTCTCACCACCGCTTCGGTTCTTTCCTTCCTGGCTTTGACCACGGCTCGGGTCATCAAGCGTGATATTCCCACCATCATTCAGGACCTGACCCAGATCAATACCGACATTGGCTCCCTCAGCGCTGCCGTCTACAGCTACGGGGGAGGGCTGCCCGCTGCCCTTGAGATCCAGACTCAGGAAGCGGCCGTGGAGCATTCACTCGACCAGGCGGCTGCCGACGTCAATGGCACTGCTGTTTTCACTGTTTCTGAGAGTAACCGTGTGACTGAGGCTCTGACTCAGTTGGATCCGGTCATGCGCAGCTCTATTGCCGCTTTGGTTTTGAAGGTCAGTCAGTCTCATTTTATCCCAACACCAAGCCCGTTCGTCACTTACCGCATTCGTTGAGAGGGTCTTCTCACCGTGGCTCTGATTCTGACTGCAATACAGCGATCCCTCTTCATCACCGCCGGCGTGGGAAGCACCATCCGGACCAACCTCCATGCGCCTCGGGTCAAGACCGATGCTCTGTCTGTGGCTCTGCAGTCTAAGGCGGTCGGAGCCGACAAGGAGACCATCCGTCAGGGAACTGGTGATGTCGACGATGCGTACGATAATGCCATCGTTGCCTACGACATGCAGATGTGAAGGCTCTGGTCACATAACCAATCTTCGTCATCCGACACGTCGAGTTGAGATGAGATGGGGGGGACTGCTTAGCTCGTTTGAGACTTAGGCTTGAGGTGAATAGCGGATAATCACTGTCAGGGAAAATGGTTGTGCATGTCTTACGTACATGTACGAAAGTGAATGAAATTGCCTTGACTATTGTGGTATTTCCGTTGGTAATCTGAGGCAATTGTTTTGTCAAACGATTCAGCATTTGTAATCACCGAGTCTTTCTATTTGGGCCTTAACTTCCGGATCACATATCAAGCTCTAGGACCAAGCCGGCGATGGTCCCTGGTGAATTTGACCCCAGAATTTGCAATGAACTGCGAACGGAGGCGGGTAAGCTGGACCTTCACTAGAGACAACCAGACTGATGAGTGTTCTCACCTGATCTCAATGGGAAACTGTTTGCTGGTGTCAGAATGTCTTGCCATTCTGACAACACATCGAAAAGGATTACTCCAGCAGTCACGATGGTCTGTGGTTGTCACTGTTCGCCTGTCGTTACCATCATGACCACACCATCAAGATTTTGTGGCTGGACCAACCCCCGGCGCAAGCCGAGTAGTGCCCTGTCACAATGCTTACCCCAGCACCCAGCATCCACCAGGTTTTTGATGACCTAAGTGCAGCAAATGCAATTCAGGTGTCGTGCTCCAGTCACAGTCACAATCCGGTAAGCAAAGGGCGACTAGTCCTCATGGGACGGGGAAACCGTGTTTGTTAGATTCGTAGAAATAAGCAGTAGCACGTCATCAAAGCCTTGCCTTGAGGATAACTCCGTTCGCATTAGGCTGGTATATATAATAGAACAAAAGCGCCCGGACAATATCTGGGGCCATTACTCAGTAGTCATCATTAGGTATGCCTCATACAGCAATCTTTGTGGAATAAAAATACCACGCCAAGACCGATCTCTTGGGCGCTTTGTAATCTGGATTCAGCCCGTAGGCTGGGTCGAGCAGCCTGTGTTGATGCGGATTCGGGAGTCCCGCTGCTGATATCACGAACTCAGCTTACCCCCAAACTCAGATCACCTGGGTCGTGCGATGGGTGAGGGCCCGGCTGCCTGATAACGGAGTTATGGAGCGCACCGTTCCGATGCAATTGCATACTTCTCTTCAGTGAATTACCCAGCACCCGATCAGAATCACTTCGATCTGGAAACGAGGCCATTTTGGCGGAATCGGTCGCGGGTATCAAAATTGAGGGGAACAGACCCAAGCATTCAACATGGTTGTATATGAACCGGGAATGTGGGCGGTAGACTCTCTGTTTCTGATGCATATATCCGGCGTCAATGAGCGTTCGTCGCAGGAAGTATGGAGTAAGTAGGGCGCTCAAGTATATCTCGGGGTAGTAACCGAAGATTTCCCTACCTAATACTCGGTTAGTGAATGAATGTACAAGCAAAGGATTTTCTGATACTGACTATTGCCCGTCACTCATGGCCCAGTCGTTGAGGTATACGCTGGCATTGCGCGTCCGACCCGAGGTGTTCCGACGCGTTATGAGCAGCTCAACGTCTTTTGACGTCTACCACGTGGGCGGATGAAGGATATCGCAGCCGATCTAAAAATGAGGGAGCAGAGGGACCACGGAATGTGCATGACTAGCCGGAGAAGGTGAGGCGAGCTGGCACACAGGTACGATAGAGAATCTCATTGTAGATGGAGGCACAACAACGAACGTGATAACTCTATCTAAAAGAGTAATATCCCGAACGTAGTGGCTTGGATGAGCGTCGTCGCGATAGAATTGATGGTGATGATGCCGACGAGGTACTTACTGTACGAGGAGTATGTTGTGGGTGGACGGATGGCGGGGAGATTCCAACTGCCGATGGCGTTTGGCGCGAGGTGGTTCGGTCGGCGATGCGCTCGTGTTGTCGATCGCCTTGCGTTGCTCTTTCAAGAATTCAACAAGACGTGATTCTTAGAGTCTCAGTGGTGAGCCTTTCCAGGATCAGGTGGTTCTCATGCCAGCATTGTCTGTTCATGGTGAGGAGATGAAAAAGAACAGTAAGGTGAGAAGCGGGGAGGGAGATTCGGTTACAACTTGTTGTGGTGGAAATATATTCCTGGGCATTCCATCTCCACAGGAAATCGTAAGACAAACAGGCAGCGTGTTTGCACCCAACAAGTATCATAAACCCTGGTCTCTATCTTTCAAACTCAGTGAAGATCGATCTAGGCAATGAATGGTACGGCTAATGCAGAATCACCAATCTATAGCTAAGTATAGCTCTACACACAATAATGACACTGCTGGTATTTTGAAGCCGGATCTGAAAGCTGGCATAATCCGGGAGTTTGAAGGACTTCGAGACAGACTAGAATGGATATAACCAATTGATCAATCATAGCTACTATTGACTATGGTGGTTATCCCTACGGTCGCAAACGTGTCTACAAGATGAAGTAGATGCATCCGACCGATACCTCAGGGGGGACAAACACTGCCCCCACCAATACGAAAGGCAGGGCGAGAACGAGTGGCAGCTGGGGTCCGCCAATGCGCAGCCACCTGTTCGCCCCTCCCGGCGATCTCCGTTCTCAACATTGGACAGAGGATATAAATCGGAGTGAGATTTACTTGGTGTGTCGGCCAGTACATCCGGATCGACTGTTAAAGATGATCGTGCTAAGGTGTAACAAATAGGCTAACGGTGTCATGGCAGCTTGCCGTGGCACTACTGCACTATCAGTCCCTGTCAGTCCCTGCAGAAGAAATGGCAGGGAAGAGACTGGGGGGAAGCAGTCTCCAAGCCAGAAAAGGGGCAGTTCCTCGTATGGGAGAACTCCATATGGCAACCTTGAAGCATCAGGCAGACGAAAGCAATTGAGGAAGTGAGACACCCTCAGGCAGACAAAGAAATTCCCAGCGAGCACAAAGACTTGGGGATGCTCCACTTGCCAAGCGATAATTGGGTGGAAGACAACCCAAACGGGCATGAGGTCACCTGCTCATCGATTTCGCTGACTGTCAGATTGCCTAATGGGGTCTAGTGAGGATGAACGGGACCCTGAGTTGATTTTGGTTTTTGCCCGGTGTTTGAGAGAAAAACTTACACATCCTTCAGGGAGAGACTGTACTATATGAAAGTATTGAGTGAATTGTTAGTCAGAGTGCGTGTAGTGAGTGGTACTACCACTACTACTACTACTACTACTACTACTACTACTACTACTACTACTACTACTACTACTACTACTACTACTACTACTACTACTACTACTACTTCGGAGTTAGTAGTACAGTCTTTCATGAGTACAATGATACAATGATACAATGAAACTATGATACCTAGTCTCAGCGGAAAGAGGAATATATTGCCCCTGTCTCACAACCTCGGATTTCCAGACCCTGCAGACTTGGCGGAGCGGCTCAGGGGTTCTAAATTTACCGCGGAGGGCGGGTTCCCCACCAATCAGCATCTCAGGGTCTGCGGGTGTTCAGGGTCCATTTCAGTCATTTTCAATCATTCATTCAGTACTCCGTATAAGGTAGTGTCTGGTGGAGTCTCTCAGTCCATTGTTTTTTCCCACAGTCTTTGGAAAATTAGCCCAGTGGATTGCGGCTCTTTCTGATATTTTTCTCTTTTTTTTTCCTTTTCACTGTTTGTTCCACTGGGGTGCTGCAGCCTGCTCTGCTGCCATCATATTTCACTATGATGCACTTAACTACCCGCAGTCTGTGGCTTTTCTCATCTGTGTACATAATTCCCTTTCCCCCTCCTTTTGGTCATCATCCCACTTTGGAGTTACTTCTTCAATTTCACTCTTACTTCTCCTCTCCTCTCCTCTCCCTCCCCTCTTCCTCTTCCTCTCTCTCGTTCGGCCTTCCATCCCGGTGATCATCCCAGCTGGTCCATGGGGTGAGATGTTGCTTTCGTCTTTTACTTTCACCTGGTGTGCCATGTGATTTGTCTCTATCGTGAACCTTCATCATCATCATCATTCAACAAGATGATTAAAATGAAGTTGGTCAATCTCAACCCAGCTCGTTGCTGCCTGGCAGCTCTGGTGCGATTGCGCGCATCGCCTCTCGAGTTCTTTGATTACTGCTGGGACTTCACTCGCCGCTACTTCTTTGCTCTCACTTTGATCGCCCTGTTTGGTGCGAAACTCTTGCATCTTTACGCCCACATCCACTCCTTACCCCCCTCCAAATTCCTGCTGTGGGGAGTCACCTTCTTCTTCCAAGATGTCGTCCTCGTGCTGCTGGTGCGCATCTTGACCCAGAAACAGCCATGGCGGTCGGTCGCCGCCATCTCGGCCCTGATCGTTGTTCCCTTCAGGTAAGGATCTCTCGCTCCTCCAACAGCCCCGAACGCCACGTCGCTCATCCGGGCGTCATAGTCTGATCATGTCCGGAATGACCGCCGCCAATACCTCCTTCTATGTCTTCACCGGCGCCGAAATCCACTGGCGACAAGCAACCACCTTTCACCACGATGCAGCCGCCATGCGCACCTTGCTGACTGGCCTGACCGGCTTCCTGATTGTGGAGGGCATCTTGCTCACTGTCGCCTGGTTCGCCGCCGCTCCATTGCATCGCGCCCTTGGTGGCATCTTGAGTATCTTGGCACAACCTTTCAGATGCTGTGCGAGCTGTGTGCGAGCCTGGATCCCCAAGACCACCTCTCTGCGCGACCCGGAGCGCTACGACCACGTCTCGGAAGACGACTACCTGGACGACAAGAGCGACGACGGATCGTCTATTTACCTGTTGGAACCCTACGGTGCTGTCGCCCCGCCTCGACACGGGGGTCACTCACTGGCCCGTCGCTTGGCCGTCTGGATTCCCTTCGTGGGCCTGTTCCTGCTGCGGGTAGTCCGTCCGTGGGATCCCGCCTACATGTTTCTGTCTGAAGCGCTCCCCGTGGCTCCGTTCCTCGGACACCATCGGGTCTCCCCAGTGCGGGCTGAAGGGCTGCCGGGGGATTATGGGTGGCTGGAGGGACAGACGGCGTTGGAGCGGCCGCCGCAATGGTCGTGGCTCCCCAAGAAGCCCCTCGCCGGCTTTGAGGACTGGAACCACTCCGACAAGTTCCATCCCCCCCCGCTCCACTATGATCCCAACCGGGATCCCCTGCATATTTCCAACCTGCGCAGCCCGCTCCTGGATCCCCTGCACGACGCTCTTTCCGGCGGCAACGTCAATATCAAACACGTTATCCTCTTGAAGCTCGAAAGCACCCGCGGCGACGTCTTCCCGCTGAAGAATGGTACGTTCATGTGGGACCGCATCGCTGAGAGCTACCCCGACCAGAACATCCCCAAGGACGTACGGAAGCGGATCGCGAACCTCACTCGAACGGCGGAGTGGCTGACGGGGTTTGACGCTGGATTCAAGCACGACATGGTCAAGGACTATGGGCGTCGGTCGTACGGCGGTCTTAGCGCCAGCAATGCCTTCACCACGGGCACCTACACCCTGAAGAGCTTGGTGGGGACCCTGTGCGGTGTGACCCCGCTGGTAGCAGACTTCAACCGTGAGTACGAGAACCACATCTATCAGCCGTGCATGCCACATGTACTGGCCGCCTTAAACCAATTGCCCGACGTGCGGGCCAACAACACCTCCACCGACTACCGCACCTGGCCATGGCACTCCGTCTGGATGCAGTCCGTCACGGATAGCTATGACAACCAGGATAAGCTGACCCCGAAACTGGGCTACTTTGACGTGGTCACCAAGGAGAGCATGGAGAATCCCAAGGCGAAACACTATCCGGTCAAGGAAAAGGAGGTCAACTACTACGGCTACCCGGACAAGGTCCTCGGAGACTACGTGCGAGACGCGATCGACGCGGCGGAGAAGAACCACACCCGTCTGTTCCTCACGCATCTCACCGGCACCACTCATCACCACTGGGGGCTGCCCAACGACACGTATGAGTCGATCGTGGGCTCGACCAGCTCGGGACACAACAACGACCTCAACCGCTATCTTAACACCATCGGTTACATCGACGAATGGCTGGAGGAGATTCTTGGGATCCTCAACGAGAAGACGATCATCAACGAGACGTTGCTCGTGATGGCTGGTGATCAGTATGTTCCCTTTCTCACTCCCAGTATCTGATCTTGTGCTAACGAGTGTAGTGGTCTTTCCCTCCCCAACGACGGCGGGGTCACCCCCTACGACAATCCCCATGTGGGCAGCTTCCACGTCCCGCTTCTCTTCGCCCATCCGCATCTCCCCCAAGTCGAGGTGACCACCCCCGTGATCTCCCAACAAATCCTCCCCACCATCCTGGACCTTTTGATCCAGTCGCACTCGCTCGGTCCGGACAGCAGTCACGCGGCGCAGGATCTTCTGTCCATGTACGAGGGACAGTCGATGATCCGCCCGCAGATCACGGAGAAGGACGGGCGCCAGAACTGGCAGTTCACCGTGATGAACACGGGCGGTTCGTGGCTGGCCGTGCGCTCTGCCGCCCACCCATCCTACCGCCTGGTCATTCCGCTCGTCGACGACGTCGAATGGCGCTTCACCGATCTCGCGCAAGACCCGATCGAGCTGCACCCGGTCAAGGACTTCAACCTGGTCGACCTGGCCAAGACGTTGGAGGCGGATTACAACCCTGAGGTGGTCGACTGGGTGCGGGATGCCGCCCATGTCGCCGAGTGGTGGGTCACGGAGAACTGGATGCGCTACCGCTACCGCGGCCGCGGCAAGGGCAAGGAGAAGAAAAAGGACTAGACGGCGCGTCGTTCGCTTCACATCGTGTTTCGTCCTCACCCACGGCCTCTGAGCTTCTTATCAGTTGATGAGAACTCCTGTACAGTGATCTCATTTTCGCACCTTCTTGTACATATTATCCACATACTTGCTCTTTCTTTAGCATGATGATTTGGTGTGCCTTTCCTCTTGAACGATGATCGGTCGGCATCACATGAATGAATTTATCAGACTGCATATTGTGAAGCGTAGTTGTGTAATCAGTGTTGTTCGATGGTTTTCAAAACTTTTGGGGTGATTGACCTTAGGTGAGTATAGCCGTCAGGGTGAATGATATGTCCGGACCTTTCCTTATCCGGACCTAAATTCCCCATGCAGTTAGATGATAAGACTTGCAGGAACAAGGACGAGGCTGGTGCTTATTTATGAAGGTTTATTTGTCGTACATAAACTTATCGTAGCAACTACTACGTATACTAAAGTTAATAAGGAGACCCAGGCCGAGAATCCTGATCTCGACAGCTTGCATTAGATTACCCACTGAAGAGCTCTTATCCAATAGATAACTACTAATCAGGCCTTTCGCGTTGTGAGTTCAGCCTCTATAAAAGATCTACCACTAGTGTGCTTCCCTAGCCGAAAGACACCTTGGGTTTGCTCAGTGGTTATCAAACTATTTATCTATCTAGTTGATTGGCTATATAACCTAGAGACCTATAGTCAAGTTACTAAACGACTAATTCTTCTATTTATTCACCTTGAAAGAACTAACATTTACCTCTTTATCTACTACTATAGCTGGATGTCTACTCTCTACCTCCCTACCTTTCTTCTGGATGCAAGCCCAACTCCTATTCCCCTTCCCGCAGACGCAGATGACTTATATATGTACTAACCTTGGAAAACCTCCTGATAAGTCTCTCATTAGAACTCACTGATTCAGTATAATTATTCTAAACTGCATTAAAATAATTGTCTTTCTTCTGTTTAACATGTAAGCCCTCTATATCCTCAACAATGACAATAGTAAAGACAACTATCTTCTTGTACTATACTTTAAAGCTAACAGCCAAGTCATCTACTCGGGCCTCTGTATTCAGTGCATAATATATCCACTTCCAGGTAAAGTCCCTGTATCAGTAAAGTATATATATGTACAAGTTAACAATAAAACCCACCAGCTCATCAAATTAGTACTGTGCAATGGTAGTTCAGGCAGTGAGCCAAGTGTTACTACTTCAAGATCTTTTTTACCGAAAAAAGACAATCTTCATCTCTCCGTCTGTCATCACCTCGAACACATTTTTAACCTATCATCCAACCGATCACAGTTATCACCTTGTCTCATCCGTATCCAATCCCACAATGTCCCCACCGTTCGACTTTTGCCCCTACGCAAGACACGATAAAGTAAAGTTGATCCTCACAGATCCGACCCCGCCAGCAGCATCAGACCCATCTAACACCAAAGCAAACACAACTCATGCGCTAGCACAGTGGCTCTACGATTTCGCCTTCAAAGAGACGGAGCCTGAACACCCACTCCGGAGCAAGCTCCCATCCAACTTGCCAACCACCGAGCCAGCTCGCACTCGAGAAATAGCCCACGAGTTCCTGGTAATAAAAGCCCAACTCATCTCAGCATCCCCAGTCTTCCGCAGAATGTTGTGCGGACATTTCTCCGAAGGCCAGGAATTCGACGATCCTCGTGGACTATTATCAGTGCGCGGAGCTGGTCGGGCCGTATGCGAAACTGTGGATGGATTATATCGAGTGGCAAGCGCCCAAGCTCAGCCTCGTCAAGAAGATCTTCCTGGCGTGGATTTGGGACCGGGATATATTGGTGAAAAAGTGCGCGCAGCTCGCTATTGAGCAGGCGACTCGGCCGGTGGATAGAGAGGGTCTACGGATTGCGCAGCCTTTGATCGGTGGGTGTTACTACACTTTTGTTTCCATCATCACATAGAGAGAAGCTAACATCGAATCCAATAGATAGCATCAACCGCTGGCGATCCCGAGCCATCTACCGCGTCCTGAAAACTATACGCAGGGCAAAGAACCCCGAAGTGTGCAAGCTGCGCTTCCGACACGAGTCTGATCCTAGCCTCTATGACCTTTTGCGCAAGAGTATCGACGAGAAGAGTATCCGCGACAACTACAACCCCCGTATCGTGGTGTGTTGGGCTGGGTGGGGGACTGTCTTGTTACTTTCCATCTTGACCTTGCAAAGCTCCAGTCCCAGTCCGCGTCTCAGCCAGCCACCATGGAGGCGTACAGCTTCCACTCCGGCGAGCGGGTCATCTTCGTGATGACTGAATGTTTTATGATCTCTTGTTCACTGTGTCCACAATTTGATCACTGACAATGCTGGTTGCATTGGTCTTGTTGACTACAGTCTGTGGTGTGAAATATGAAGAGACTTTATAAACATGTTGTTGTAGCTGACAGTATCCCACTGCCTCTCAAAGCTCCAGCTTCCAGCCTACACATACTCTCCCACTGTGTCCAAACCAAAATACCACTCATAAACATCACAACCGTGCCTCCCTCTGCAATTTCTTCAACTCCCTCCGCAAGATCTTCCCCGACGGATTCCTCGGAATCGCTTCCACGAAGCGCACTCCCCCCCTCAACTGCTTATAACTCACCACTCGCCCCTTCACCCACGCCTCAATCCTCCTCCCCAGCTCCGCCGTCCCTTCCACCCCGTCTTTCACCACCACATACGCCCGGGGCCATTCCGTCCCCGCCGTGCCACTCGCCACGCCGACGACCGCCACATCGGCCACCACCTCCGCGAACCCGAGAATCACCCCCTCCAGCTCCGCGGGGGCCACCTGAAACCCGTTATACTTGATCAACTCCTTCACGCGGTCGGTGATATACAGATGCCCAGCCGCATCGAGGTACCCCACATCCCCGGTCTTGTAGAAGCGCTGCCGCCGCGTCCCCTCCGCGAAGGAGTCGGTGTTTGCCGTGGGGTTGTTCAGATATCCGCGAAAGACATTCGGACCAGACACCCATAACTCCCCGGGGCGGGTCTTCGTCCCCGGGGGCTGCGCGGACGAGTCTGCCTCGTCGGCCACCTGCACGGGCGCGAAAGTCGCCGTCATATTCGGCATCAACCGGCCCACCGACCCCGGATGCGTGAGGGCTTCCTCGAACGTCTAAGTTTGAGAGCCGGATTAGCTTGCTGCGCAGAAGACGGAAACAAAGCGGCGACTGCCACCGGAGGAGTCACCTGTAAATGCGTACACGGCGCACACTCGCTCAGACCATACGCCTGGCGCACGGGAACCCCCAGCTTCGTTCGCAGGGCGTGGATCAACTCCACCGCCAGCGGGGCCGCCGCGGAGAGGGTCATGCGCAGCGAGGAGAGATCGTACTGGGCGACGCGCGGGTTGGTCACCAGCTCCAGTACGACGGGGGGCACCACGTAGGCGTAGGTGATGCGGTGGCGCTGGATGGTGGTGCAGAAGGGATCGAACTGGAAGCGCGGGAGGACGGCGATGGTCATGCCGATGCAGACGGTGAGGTTGAGGAGGTACGTGATGCCTGGTCTCGCCGTTAGTACGAGGTCTTATGCACCGGTTTGGATGCGATACGGAGGGAGGAGTCCGGTAAGTAGGGCTACGGACCGTATATGTGGAAGAAAGGCAAGACGGCAATTGCGCGGTCGGCGGCGGTCAGATTCCCCCCGTCCAGGGCGAGGTTCTGCGCGAGATTCGCGACGAGATTCCGGTGGGAGAGCATCACCCCCTTCGGCAGCCCCGTGGTTCCGGAGGAGTAGACCAGGAAAGCAAGCTCGTTCGGCGATGCGACCGGGGGACGGTGCGGGCGATCGCGGGCGAGGGAGCAGCGGTGGTGGACGACCAGCGAGGGCGCTTGTGCTTTGTCCAGCACCAACACCCGGTCGCGCGACAGGCCCGTCCGGTCAGCGGCTTCAAGCACCTCAGAGGCGTGGGCCTGCGTCGTGACGACGGCTTGGACGCGTGCGTCGGTGAGCGGATGGCGCAGCTCGTCGGCGCGATAGTGAGGGTTGACGGGACACACCACCCCGCCGGCGGCCAGCGTGCCGTAGATGACTTCGGGGAGGGCAATCGAGTTGGGCGCTACCACCATTAAGATATCGCCCGGTTGCCAGCCCCATTGCGTCTGGAGGGCCTCGCAGAAGGCGAGCGAGCGCTGGCGGAGCTGGCGGAAACTGAGACTCCGCTCGCTCAGGGGGTCCAGGAAGAGGGCTGCGTGGATGATTAGCGGTTGGGACGGAGGTCAGGGAGACTGGGTGGTGTCCTGACGCTTGTCTAACGCATACGGACGGTCGGCTCTCTCGAACAACCACGTCCAGAGGTCAACGTGGGGGATGTCGATGGAGGGAAAGGGAGACGCCATGATGATGTGGATGGGGGATGGATGTGCATGCAGACTCCGAGGCCAGGGGAGGAGACCAGAAATACCAGATCTCATTGAAGTTCACACAAACAAGAAACAAGAAAAGTCAAAGCCTGCGGCACTAAAGGCAAGAGTTACAATACCGGGATCTCGTCATGATGCAGCCACCTCCACCAGTGCCTGTTCCCTGCTGTGATGAGCCGTGATGTGCCGTGAGTGAGTGAGTGGATGCCCTAATTCTGGCTCCACTGCGGACATCTTGGAAGCACATCAGGAACATCGCACCAACCGAAGAGCTTCCCTCCGTCCCCTCCAGTCCCACTGATAGACCTGAAAGGCTGGAAGAACCTCCACCATGTGGTCCGCGATCTGCACTCACTCGATTGGGCGGTTCCGATCGGCACAAGTGGTTCACGATGCTGGGTCGGCACGGGAGGCACAGACCGGTGTCCACCACAGCTGAGCTGCAACCCGGTATACTAAAATATGCGGCAGTGCAGTTCACTGCAGGTTATAGGTTCGCGTCCGGATATTAACGGCAATTTGGGTAAGATCTCGCACCCTCTCCTCCGCTGATCGGCCCTCGTCTGGGTCTGTGAAACAAATGCGATTGTGGTGGCGTGCTGAAATGCAGCCATCCCGTTCCCTGGGACAAATCAGCAGCTGCCGCCAGCAACTGCAAAATCACAAATACGAGCCAGACACATGAAGGGATCGACAAAAGTGCTGCTGTGGCTGCCGAACTCATTCGCGTCCCTTATGCCCGTCAGGACCAGAGGAAACTTTTGGCGGTGGCTGCAAGGAGCAGCGCCTACAGTATAAAGTCGAGAGCTGCTGCTCATCTGCTGCTGCCATTCGACAACCCCTTTGGTTTACCTTTTTCTTTTCTTTTTTCTGCACGCGCGTTCCTGGCCTCAATTCAGCCCCGGTGTTTGGTTCGGGATCTCTTTTGTCTGTCTGTCTGTCTGTCTGTCTGTCTGTCTGTCTGTCCACTGGCTCGACCCATTATGCCTCATCTGCCTGCAGCTCCCACCCATCTGGCCACTGTCCACCGCACCTGGTCGCGGTTACAGGAGCTGCGAGCCAACCCGGTCGTCGAGCTGGATGGGAACCGCCTGGATATTGCCTCGGTGGTTGCTGTGGCCTAGTAGGTGGAATCTCATTCAGTCCATCTTCTCTCTAAACTAACACGGTCTCAGCCATGGGTGTCTCCCCCAGTTGTCGTCAGACCCCGCGGTGATCACAGCCATCACCGACAGTGTGCGGGTCTTGATGGACCATCTCGACCAGGGCTACTGCGTCTACGGTACCCCCTCGTCCCCTGTTGTGCTCTGCTACCACGATTCTAACGCTCCTGCAGGTGTCAACACTGGCTTTGGTGGTAGTGCAGACTCGCGCACCGACCAGGCCTCGGCGCTGCAGGCGGCTCTCCTGCAGCTGACGCAGGCTGGGGTCCTCACCGCGGCGGACACGACCCCCGGAGATGCCCGGGGTTTGGCCTCCCCCGCCACCCTGACGGCGATGCCCAGTGCGTGGGTGCGGGCCTCCATCGTCGTGCGTGCCAACAGCAACGCCCGCGGCCACTCCGCCGTCACGCTGAACGTGCTGGAGGGTCTGCTGGACCTCCTCCGCCACCGCATCACCCCCGTTGTCCCCCTGCGCGGCTCCGTCTCCGCATCCGGCGACCTGATGCCCCTCTCCTACATCGCGGGGGCCGTCGAGGGCTCGCCCGACATCTACGTGCAGGTCGCCCCCGCCGACCCCGCCGGTGGTGCCCCCCAGATCATGTCCGCCCACGACGCATTAGCGGCGGCGGGGATCCCCCGGCGCGTCATGGGCCCCAAGGAAGGGCTGGGCTTGGTCAACGGCACCGCCTGCTCCGCCGCGCTGGCCAGTCTGGCGCTGCACGAATCCCACCACCTCGCCCTCATCACGCAAGCCCTGGCCGCCATGGGGGTGGAAGCCATGCTGGGCACCGCGGAGTCCTTCCACCCCTTCATCTCCGCCACGCGTCCGCACCCGGGTCAAGTGGAATGCGCCCACAATGTCCTCACCTTGCTGCAAGGCTCCCGCCTCGCCGTCGGGGTCCACCGCGAGAAAGACCGCAAACGCGCGGGTCTGATCCAAGACCGCTACGCCTGGCGCAGCGTCCCGCAATGGGTCGGTCCGCAACTCGAGGACCTCCTCCTGGCGGACCGGCAACTCACCATCGAACTCAACTCCTCCTGCGACAACCCGCTGATCGACCCCGCCGCCGCCGAGATCTACTGCGGCGCCAACTTCCAAGCGGCCGCCGTCACCTCCGCGATGGAGAAGACCCGTCTCTCGCTGCAAATGCTGGGCAAGCTCCTGTTCGCGCAGGCGACGGAACTCGTCGACCCCAACTACAACAACGGGCTGCCCACCAACCTGGTGGCGGACGACCCCTCGTGCTCCTTCACCATGAAGGGGGTGGACATCAGTCTGGCGGCCTACATGGCGGAGCTGGCCTGGCTGGCCCACCCGGTCAGCGCCCACGTGCAGACGGCGGAGATGCGCAACCAGGCGGTCAACTCGCTGGCCCTGATCAGCGCCCGGTATACCATGCAGGCGGTCGAGCTGGTCAGTCTGATGAGTGCGGCGTATTTGTATCTGACCTGCCAGGCGCTGGATCTCCGGGCGCTGCATCTGCGCTTCCTGGAGACGCTGCGGCCGCGCCTCGACGCCCTGACCCGGACGGCGTTTGGCGCGGGGGTGGCGCCGGCGACGCTCGAGACGCTCGTCGCGCAGGTCCGCACGATCCTCACCACCGCATGGGGCACGACGACGCGGCTGGCTTTGCCGGACCGCTTCGCGCAGACCGTGCAGGCCGCCGTGCCCGTGATAGTCGACATCACCGCCAGCAGCGGAGCGGAGATCACCCTCGGCGAGATCACCGCCTGGAAAACGCAGGCCATCACCGTGTTCGGCGAGGTGTACGCCTCCACCGCGGCGACCTTCAAGCAGAGCCCGCACACCGCGGAGCTGCTCGGCGTCGGGGCGAAGGCGCTGTACACGCTCGTGCGGGAGCAGCTGCGGGTGCCCTTCCACCAGGGCTTCGTGGAGCACCCAGTGGCCGGGTCGACGGAGCTGGACGGGCGCGAGAAGAAAACGGTGGGCTCGTGGGTGAGTCTCATCTACGAGGCGGTGCGGAGGGGGGATGTGGTGGGACGGTTGTTCGAGCAGGTCATGCCTTGAGTAGAGGAGTGACCTCCTTTCTGATCACATCATTGTGCTTGGTTACTTGGTTCGGGTTGGGTTTGGGTTATGGGTGTTGGATGGAGTTATCGTGCGAATAGATTACATTTGATGGTTGTTTAGACTTCAATACATCGACAGCATGTGCTGCAGTGTATGTCTCCTCAGTCCACCTCCACCACAACCAAGGTATCAGTACCTGATAATAAACTCAATCGACAACCACCAAAGATTAATACACTCTCGATCATCCCCGCGAGGTTATCCTCCGATTGGCAGATCTCATCCCAGCGGACAGGTCAGATGCACCCACCGCTGCATTGACTGCAGATGAGCTGGCTGGCTACCTACTAACACACATAGCATGGAACTACCCCGTCCAAGGGCTGTAGAACACGCGATGTTCACATCCTACGGCAGCAGATCTAAGATCAATCATGTATCATGGTTCACCACCTACCCGCACCGCCAGGGTGATGTACGACAGACAATAGACTGACTAAAGCAACGAAATCAAGGACGATGCGGACAAGGCTTGCAACCACACAATGAGAGCATCGCCAACAACCACAAAGACCCAATCTCCAACGCCCCATTCACCCCAGACCCAAAGACAAGATCCCTTTCTTCTGTCGCCTTTGTGTCTGATGTCTGTACACAATAGCTTTGTATTTCCCAGGCACAGCATGAGGGCAGTAAGTATGTATATAAAGCAAGGATCAAATCGCCTCAGCTCAAACCATGGTACTGTACTGTACTTCACACTTCGATCCACGATCTGCATCTGCATCTGTAGTAGTAGTATTGTTAGACTTGCTGCTAACATTGTCTAGTCATGGGCCATCACTGGTAAGTCTTCCCCTCCTTGATATGTGCTGCAACAATACCTACCCAAGATAATATGTACTAACATCTACACCAGCACAGTCTGCCGTCTTCCCCCCAAACCCTCCTGCTTCACCCGCGGCCACCTCTCCATGTGTCCCGACTGCCAGAATGCCTACACCAGCGCCCGCGAGAGGAGCTGTCCCTACTGCCGGAACGCGAGGGTACAGCGTGCAGCGCGCGAGGGGACGGCTACGGTGTTACATTCCGAAGAGGAAAGTTCTCCTTGCTCGAGAGCAGCTCCTCGTCGTGGCGGTGGTGGTGGTAATGGTGAGAGGGGCAGCGAGTTGGCGAGTTGGCGCTCTCGCTCCCCGGCGAAGAGGCAGAAGAAACCGAAGAAAGGGAGGCATCTGCGGGAGACGAGAAGACTGAGAGAGATTCGGCGGGCGGAGGCGGCTGTGAAAGAGGCGTGGAGGAAGGAGAGGTGAACAGATGAACGGGAGTAGAGCTGTGGATGGTTTCTTGTTGCTTGGGTCCTCTGATGGTTTCTTCTTGAGGGTTACGCTCGTGTAGCATTGGTTACTCCCTGGGCCTATGTCACTTCGAGTTCGATGGAATTGGACTGGCTGGGCACCGTGAGAGGAACCGCTCCCCCGGGAAAAGAAGTCGAGTCGAGGTGGCAATCAGAGTGGATGCGCTCTTGTCCTTGTTGAAATGCAGGATGTAGCTTGGCTCGTCTGTACATACTGATGGTCAAGATAGCTGTGTCGCAATCGAACAGACCTTGTTCCTAAACTCCAATTCCAATAACTCGTAGCGTACAGAGAAATATCAATTATAAATGGGCATCGCCGGACACTTCCCCACCAACTTGTCCGTCTCCACGCTGGGCATAAACTTGGCCGTCTTGCCCGCGCGCTCCGCCCCCTGCGACCGCTTCTCCACCTCCGCAAACGCAAACTTCTGCTCAGGCAACAGATCATAAACCCCCTGCGCGTACCCCGGCGCCACCCGGTACAACTGCGCCAGGTACTTGGCCTGGATCTCCGGGTACTCGACCAGCCGCAGCAGCCGCGCCGTGTTGTCGTGCAGATGCTGGCGCTGCGTCTCGGTCAGGACCCGGTGGTACAGCTCGCGCGGCTGGTCGTACTCCGAGTCCTGGCCCTCGTGGTAGAAGTGCGATTTGCGGCCCACGTTGTTGTCCGCCACCTGGTAGGGGCACTCCGCGGTGTCCGGGCGGAACTTGTTGGCGAAGCTGTTGGGCACGTACTGCGGTTTCAGCCCGTGGTTGGCGTCGACGCGCATCTGGCCGTCAAAGTTGAGCGAGGAGTAGGATTGGGTCATGAAAGGGCAGTTCACTGTGGTGATTATGAGCACAGAACGGTGGAGGTTGTACAATGTGGGGGGGGGGGGGGCCCTACCGGGGACTTGGTGGAGGTTGATGCCGATGCGGTGGTACTGCGCATCCCGGTAGAAGAACATGCGGAACTGCAGCAGCGGGTCCGGGCTGTCCTCGATGCCGGGGACCATGCTACCGGGCGAAAAGGCGGCCTGCTCGACGTCGCGGTGGTAGTTCTCGGGGTTCTTGTTGAGCACGAGTTTCCCAAACTCCATCATCTGCGCGGCGTTAGTCCGGCATTCGGCGATGCGGTGTGGGGTGATATCTCATACTGGGAACTTGTCGCGCGGCCACACTTTGGTCACATCGAACGGGTCGAAGCCCAGCAGGCTCGGATCGGCCTCCTCCGGCTGCATGACCTGGACGTGGGCCGTCCAGGAGATCTTCTCGCCGTTCTCGATGGCTTTCCACAGGTCGCGCTTGGAGTAGTCCGGGTCGGCGCCGCCGTGCTGCTGGGCTTCGTCGGCGGTGAACTGTTTCTGGCCCCCGTCGGCAAGGAAGTGGTATTTGATGTAGACGAAGCGCCCTTCGGCGTTGACCCTGGCGGTGTCAGACGCAGTTGCAGACCTCGTGGTTGCTTGACTTACCACCGGAAGGTGTGACAGCCGTAGCCGTGCTGGTTTCGCCATCCGACTGGAGTACCGTGGTCGCTGAAATACATCATGCCGGCATGGTTCCTGGGAACATGTCAGCATCGTCCGTCTTCCAGGAGGGGATTCCGTACCCCTCGGGCGTGTTCGCCAGCAGATCGAACAACGAGTTGTGGTCCAGCAGGAAATTCTGCGGGTTTCGGTACTGAGAGCGGATCACATCGGGTCCTTGGATCGGGTCGCGACAGAAGAACACGGGCTGGAGGGATTAGCCGGGGCTGGATTCTGAGGACTGAAAGAGGCCATACGAAGTTCAATCCCACAATGTCATAGTTGCCTTCGCCGGTGTAGAATTTGATGGCGAACCCACGGGGGTTTCTGGCGAGATCGGGGAATTCTCTGCCGAGCGTGACGGTGGAGAAACGGACGAAGACGGGGGTTCTGACCCCAGCCGATCGTAGAAAGTTGGCCTGAAGAATGAGATAAAGTGTCTGTTGGGAGGATTTGGAGGAGACAATTTACCTTGGTCAGTGAGGAGACGTCTTTGGTGGTCTCAAAGTATCCGAAGGCGCCGCTGCCACCTGTACATCCATCAATGAATCATGGGTTTCGTGCGGATCAGAGATACTAGTAACTCACAAGGATGCACCATACGCTCCAGGTTCTTGGAGCGATTGAAGTGTTGCTGCTTCTGAATGAGAAAAGTGTCGGAGATGACGGGGATGCCACCAGCGGTCTTGCTGTGGGCGGGATCGGGGAAGGGAATGCCTTCATTGTTGGTGAAGTACGAGGCATCGTCGGCCCGCTTGCCGATGGTTTGGACCCCCGTCAATTTGGCTGCCGTTTGGGCGGGTCCTTCATTGGCGCCCTGGAACAACGAGTCACTCGGAGCCATCGCCCCCAACGCTCCCCCCAGCATCTGCAACGGTCGACTCGTCATTTTTCTCCAAGTTCTGTCTTTCCAGTCACTGAATTACTGTTTAAAAAAAGGTGAGCGTCTTGTCTTTGTCTCTCTGATTTTTACCCAGTTACTGACAACTAACAATCTTCCCCTCCATCGTTCTTATAGAATCCTCCCGCCCATCGCAGCAATCCAATCATAGCGTCTTGATTAAGTACTACGGGGTCAGGATGACGACCACACTTGCATGACCAACCACTGCATCACGTCACGCATATCACATCGACTGTTCCAACCTACAGACTCCTCCACATTACCTCTCAACCCGTCATGACAGGTCAAGTCGCACTTCATTCAAGGTTATCGCGGAAAGTCAATTGCAGCCCGACAACTCTCAGCAGCTGCCGTCTTCCCTCCGTCTCCCCGGAGGCAATCCTTCACGAGATATAAATCGCGATCGGGGTAACTTACTGTCGCTTGAAACGCGACAACTGGAATAGTGCTAGTTATGGAATACTTCTCTATTCCGCCGCTTCATCACCATTGAGAGTCGAGACCACCATCGTAGCCGTTCGTTATCGCGCCTCGGGCCCAGATGATGCGCTAATGATTACATCCACAACTGCAACTCCTACCACATTTCATCATCCCCCCGGATAGAAGAACAACCGGCTTTTGCAAGCTTCCAAGCCTACTAGCCGCTTCTCCCGCTTGCTGCCTGGGTAATGCAACAATCTTTACCCGTGCAGAAGTGGGATGGAATGTAACATCCCCGGTCTCATTGGCGGAGTCGCTCCCGGCCATTCAGATGGGGAGATACGCAATGTAGGTGCACACAGGCTCAGCTGCTCTACATGAGGTGAAGATTAATCCCTCGAGAGCAATCCGTCTACGCCGCAAGTGCAAGTGCAAGGTATACCCAGGCTAGCAAGGGGTTTCCGCTCGTAGCCCCTGGCCTTCCGAGCAGTGTGGCTTGAACTCTATTGTGTGGTCCTATCTTTTGACGACATGTGATTAATTAGCTGTAGTGCTGTGCTACAGAGAAGCTCTACTGGTAGGCCCCTGGGATGCTGATTTTCTAGCCAGTCCCAGACTGCCTCCACTGCAAAATCAGTTAGAGTCGTCTCGATGGCGCTTGATTAGGATGACGGGTCTTTACAAAGTGTGATCACAGCGCCTTATTACTCGCCAAATCAGTATTGAATCGACTGTGTTGGCCCCAGGCCTTCCACTGCGTACCCCGACGGGCACTAAATTTAGACACCGTGAGATCTCGGATCAATAATGCGGCCCGGGCGCGGGCGGGTAAGATAAGCATCAAGCTAGTGATCTCTTGGGAGTTAATAACAACAAACATTCCACTAGTTACAGCCAGCTCACTGCTTACAAACATGAGCCAGAACGTCCTTTGATAAGAATCACCTGAAATCGAGTTTGGTGGTCGAAAATGCCTGGATGTTGGAATGGGCGGACAACGGAACAACCATCAGCCGCAGATCGGATCCTCCTTCCATCCTCCATGCAAGGTACCGTTCCATCCACTCGCCATAACATCACCAAAGGAGCATCGATCGTCATTCATCTTGGGGTCTTGAGTGTGATTCTCCCTTTGCGTTCCGGAGAGGGTATCGCACCTCCAGCTACAGCCCCACACCACCAGCCGTTGATATGTACTCCGTGGTGTCTCATTCCCGAGACTGTTTAACAACAATCTCTGTTATCATCCGACGTCCAAAGATGGCGAGCTTTGATCTACTCGAACAAGCGCTCCATCTGAGGGCAGCACTGATGCATAATATGTAGGATGATTATGATGTGCTCTATGGTTGCATCATCCATTCCATCTGACTCGCACAGCATCACAATCCCATTGTCCGCACTCGGAATGTCCGTGCGACAAGCCATCCGAGTTGATATTTCCGGGGGCCATCGCCCAATCATATTACCTTCAATCCTCAAGCACGCTGTTCACCTTCTAGAGTCCACATCAAGTCGAGACAAGTGTGGTGGGCCAGACCGGGAAACCGCTCGAGGACATTGCAGCCCAAGCTCTCCACCATGCTACGAGAAATTTCCGGTCCCGCGGATTTCATATCCTACTGCTCTGAGCGGGTGATGGGGGGCCTGCCTCTTTGCACTCAATATATCCACCTCCCTAGCGTCTATGTCTCAGATTACAATTGCGATGCTTTCCGCTCGCCGATTGACTCCCGCAGGGGATCGCTCTTGAGAACCATCCTGGAAAATCCCCCATGCATTGGACACACTGCTGTGTCCAATGCAATGCTTAATCATGGAAACACCAAGGTACAGCCGTATTGAACTCATGCAGTCTAACGCAGTCCATCAATATTGATGTTCATGTACGCAGGCGATCTCATAAGAGACTCGACTTGCTAAAAGCAAGTCGAATGAAGGAAAGGAAATCCAGTTCTAGGATAAAATACTCGCGTTCGCCTCGTAGAATATGACAGATGGACATCTCCCACTCCACGACCGAACGGATACATTCCAATCCAGTGTTGTGACCGGGAGCCTGAGCTGGCGACCGCAACAGACCAACACCTTGTCATCGCGCATATCCTTCGCGGCTGACTTTTCCCCATGAATCCCATTGCCCGAGGGCAAATGTCAACCCGAATCAGTATGAAATTCCTATCCCAATTGTACATTGTCAACCACAATCCCACTCTGGCGTCGGTGTAACGGTTCGACAGAGGCCGCGGCCGTGTTTATTAACCTCCACGCTTCCCTCCTTGCACAATTTTCGTGTCTGTCTTCATGCTTGTGGCCGGGTGAGTTTGCAGCTCACACATGATCTTACGTGCTCGAAACGCTAACCTCGCACGGTGCTCATAGATGGCATCGTTGTCCGCCGTGGTTCGACATTGGACACTACTATGCCTCCGCCTAGCGAGCTGCCGGTCGATGAGGAAATATTCGTGCCCGAGACGCTCCTGGCCGCAGCCACCTCCAGCGATGCCTGGTCGCAAAGATCACCACACGACCTCCCCCGCCAACTTCGAAGTGGCATTCCTTCCGATGAGGTCTGCGTGCGCAAACGAAGACAGACCACCCCCAGTTGGCCGTCGCCAGCTGAAACTGATACGCCCTCTCGCGCGGAGGGTCGACCTTTGAGCAATAGCCATGGAAGAAGCGACGAGATCTATCCGTTGTATGAGGATTGCGTGGTGGTAGAGACCTCCCAGGGCCCCCATGCGGTCCCTCATGCTGAGCTCGAGGGCGATGGTCCTACCATCGACGAGCTACCAAGTCAGCTCCCCACCCCACCACCCAAAGCGCGCTGGACCCGACGGTCGCTGGACAGCAGCACTATTCTCAATCGATTCACCGTGCTCGCCCCTTTCCCCTTGCGCCAAACTCTGAACCCCGCGGTCGAAAGAGCTCGCGACAGTAGTCGGGGGACCCTGTATGACAAAGCCAACCTCGTCCAGATCAAACACCAACGGCGATATTGGGTTCGAATCTTGATTGAGTATGGAGCATATACACTGCTGCTCCTATTTGTCTATTTGGTGCTCGTGGGTCAACCTCTATGGGGAGGCGCCATCTACTGGCTGTACTGGGTGATGCGCAACAAGTTCGTTTTCCAAGGTGGATGGGCCATCGTCATCAGCCTGGTGATCTTGTAAGTCGAGCGCTGCCCGAATGCTGTTGATTACTTACACCATGACTGACCTTTCCACAGCTACTCCTTCGCACCACTCTTGACCCTCTTTGAGAAGGACCTTCCCGACCCCGAGTATTACCAAAATCGCAACATCAATCCGGCCGCCCCGGATACCGCCCTCCTGATCCCCTGCTACCGCTCCGCACCAGTCATCGCGAAAACCCTCGAGGCCGCCCTGAAGATCTTTCCCGCATCGCATGTCTATGTCATCGCGAACGGCGATTCGACAAATCCGTTGGACAACACCGAGGAGATTTGCCGACGCTATGGCGTCAATCATATATGGTGTCCGGTCGGCTCCAAAATCATCGCCCTGTTTGTCGGTTGTTATGCGGCCAAGGTCTTTCGCTATGTTCTCCTCACCGACGATGACTGCGTCCTTCCGGCGAATTTCCCTGTTGCCATCTCGCGCCTGACTGATGAGGTACGCTGCGTGGGCTATACTATCAAGGTGACAGGTTCGGAGTCGTCGAAGGGGACATACTGCCAACAAGCCCAAGACTTGGAGTACAAACTGGCTGGGCTACAGCGCACCTTTGCCGGTCGCATTGGCAGCGCCACCTTTCCTCACGGGGCGATCTCTCTGTGGGAGCGGGCGTTTCTCAAGGATACGCTCCAAGATCACCCAGGCTTCTCCATCAGTGAAGACTGGTTTCTGGGCAACAGCTGCCGACGGCTGGGTGGGCGGATTAAGATGTGCAGCATGATCTTTGTGGAAACCGCTGCCCCCCCGGCCTTCCTCTGGGTCGACAAGGAGCAGAGCCGGGGCGGCTTCGGAGAGATGACCGTCTTCAAACAGCGATTCCAGCGCTGGAATTTCTTCATTGTCAACGGCATGCGATACAATCTGGCCTACGTCTTCGGCTCGTGGAAGCTGGGCCGGTGGGAGATGGGCGCGAAGATCTTCGTCCTGCAAGAGGTACGTTGCTGCTCATTTTTCCAGCGGACTCCATTCGACTGACGGACTGATTGACAGGTATATGAAACCGTCCTGAGCATTCTTGCGCCCTTTATTCTGCCAATCTCCATGATTGTGCGCCCGGCTTTCTGCATCGGGCTTCTGGTGGCAACCTTGGGCCTGTATCTGCTGAACGCGGTCATCTTCAATGAGGTTCACCTCCGATTGAAGCAGGAACGTGTGAGCTGGAAAGTCATCGTGGGATACTATGTAAGTTCACTCCCTCGGCTCTTCCGACTCTCTCTCTCTCTGACCAGATCGACTCAGATGCCTTACAAGATGCTCATCGCCGTGATCAACGTGATCAGCTGCTATTGGTCTCTCATCAAGTATGCCAAATATTTTGCGCAGCGTCGACCAAAGCTGATCGAGGATCACAAGGCGGTTGGAATTGTGCTGAAGCTGGAGGAGATCCAACGGCATCAGCAGGGGGGTGGGGGAGGGCTTGGTCGCAGCATGACTGTGCGCACGGTCGGGGTGCGCAGCCGGGCAAGCAGTGCTGGTTGAACCCCTGGGGACGTGCATGCCCTGTAGATTCCAACGCCGAAGGCCAATTTCCCTCGCCTATGAAAGGGTATATCGGAGATTATACCGAGGGTTCAACACCGCCGGCGCCATTCGGTCATTACGGCCAAAAAGCCCCTTGCGGAGGTTATTCTTGGCAGAGTGGTTAGACGGGACCGACCGGCAACTGCCCATTTCCCTACTTATCCCCATTACTCTTTTCTACCTACCTCGTACTCATGCATGAGACAAGCGGCGACATACCGCCGGGGGTTCACGCCGGGTCATTCGGGGAGAGTTCGCGGTTCAACCTCTCGGCGATTTGCCGGGGAAGGGGGGGGGGGGAATCTTCCCACTGCACTGCGGGTCGAGTCGGGCATTCGGCGCCGGCGCCGGGGGTTCAACCTTCGGCGGATTCTTCGGCGTATTTCGGGGGTTCAACTTGAACCTCCGAACCCGAGGGTCCGACATGTGGGTTGAAGCTGCGCTGAGTAATAGCTTTAGGAAAATGATGGCAGAAAGGGTTGATTCTATGCTAGGCACGAGCGTCGAGTCGGGGTCTGATGGGGTGTATGTTCTCAGGCCGAGGTGGAGTGTTCATTCAATCCATAATTTGTTCGAGCGGAGAGGAAGCTCTTTTTGCCGCCGACTGGTTGAACCTGCACCTCCGAATAGCCCGATAGCAACACAGAAGGCCGGAGTGTTTTGCTCAGTCTCCGTACTCCGTACTCGAGCTGCATTCGTTCTGAATTCATTGCAGATCGTGTATACAGCTGTACCTCCCTGGCCAAATCATATACAACTCTCCGCGCTGGTGGAAGCAGCTGACAACCCAAGCAAAGCCAATCATTAGCTGAGCCCTTTTTGTCTACAGAATCCCTCTACCTATGTAGATCTACAAGTATAGTACATAGAGTATAATTTGGAGTCGATTCTTTCCTTTATTCTTAATGTCAACCCTGAAATCTTAGCCGAGTTAACTCTATATATTATATATTCACAGTTAATATATCGAGTTCCGGTGGTTATCTCGGGATGTGGATCACTGAAGAGGATGATTTCCCCTTGCGTGGCCTTGCAGGAGCTTTCAATTCCCCATACCCCAAGGTCAAAGGGTAAAGTAGGAAGGATGGAAGGTAAGATAGGCTGGAAGTGAGCTTTATAGTAGAAGAAGTAACTCTAGGTCAAGACCTATCCTCGCAAGCTTATCTGCTCATGCATCAGTAAAAGAAGTCCCAGATTAGGGTTTGTTATATGTCGACGTAGCGATAATTGCTCCGGTGAATCTAAGTGAGATTCTAAGGAATCAAAAACGCGTTTTCCATGAGCTATCCCTGAGTCATATGAAGGTGTTAGATAGATATTATATATTGATAGTCAACTATCCTTATATAAGATACATGACTTGGGCAATCTTAATGGCCTGAGCATTCGGATAACTATGAATCAGAATCAAGGGCTTCTCTCACCTGGGCTAGAAGCAGCGAGCCAACGTGACACGCAATAATAAAGGTGGGCTTTGGCGTCCGACTCAAAGATTCCCGCTCTGGCTATGTATCAAATACCTAAGTAACTCAACCGACCCTGATCTCGACCGATGTGAAATCTCCTCCGCGTACATTAAGAATAATCCAGTCTCCATCGTCTGGTTCATACAAACAAACTCGGTAATTACCGGGTTTGCTTCATTTCGGTTTTGGTGACCACTGACCACTTTTAAATTCAAATAAGGAATGGTTCTCCGCTTCGGTCTCGCGCGCAGTCTAGAGCCGAGGCCGAGAGTTTATCTTCGAATTACATCGGAGTGGGTCGTACGGTTCCAAGTGTGTAATGGAACCCTGCTTTGCTTGGTCTGTGGGGAGATTAGCCGGGAAGAATAAAATAACACAGGGCTTTCGGATGGCCGATGCCGACATGTGTCGACGGATGACTGTGGAGAAGATTCATCAGGGTAGCATGAGAGTTATCTATAACATCGCATTTTATTCGCAAGCTGCAAATAGGGTTGATTCTTTCACAGACCACAACATTGGCAGGCAGTGGAAAGAATCTGGAAGGATATTTCAACAAATTCAAGAACAAACTCTAGCATGCATCCACCGGAGTCCTATTGTCACAAATATGCATATGGGAGCCGCGAGGGAGTTTGTGGATTATACAAGCATTGCCATAAACGCTGTCTGGGATGCTGCAGGAGAAGCAGACAATATAGCGCAGGGGGTTAAAGGCGGCCAGTCTGCAAAGACGGAATTCCGCCAGTCAAACAGCTGAATTGAATGTCTCCCACGTGACTGTCATAAAAGGGATAACTTCTTCTGTCAAGAGTATCAGACACTGACGAGTAGGTCATCACGTATATATCAACCACCCGAGCAGTCAGTCTCTGGGAGTTCGTTTACCATTGGATCCACAGGGAAAGCAGCCATCTTATCGTACTTCGTCATAGGGCGGTCACTGACGCGGTAAGAAAGGGACGGGACCTGACCCCGCGCCTCGCCACATGAGAAATTCTACTCCCCACTCCATGGGTCCTACTACCAAACACAATTAAATATACAGAACAACTTATGGCCTAATCCAACAAAGATCTCATCCCTCATTGTGCTCGATTCTTGGAATCCGAGAGCTATTGTTCCGTAATAGGAACACCCATCCCCACACCATAATGGACAACTCGGTGTCACTTGGTGGCTCTTCGGCCAGACCGGGGGGCGCCTGCGAGCGGTGTCGGCGACTCAAGGTATAATTACCCTTGTATTTAAAGGATTTCTTCAACGGTCGTCTCCACTGCTAATCCTGGGTGTAGATCAAGTGCGAACGCGGTGGTGATAAACACCCCTGCTTGTCTTGTAGAGAGCGTGACTGCGAGTGCCTTCCAGCAACCAATAAAGCCAGGCACAGGATATCTACAAGGTCAGTGAGCATGTCCCACCTTGTGAAATTCCAGACAACAGTCATGCTCAAGACACAAGAGGTAGATCTAACCATCTCACCTCGATGGAAGCGCGAATCGCACGTATAGAATCGGTGCTCGGTAACCACCCCCTAGACGTGGAGACACAATCAAGAGCGCAATCACTAGCGAATACAATCAAGGAGCAAGCGAGCTTGGACGGAATGAGCTCTCTCAGACTATTCGACGATGATGGCGAGACTCATTTCATAGGTCCGTGGGTATTTTATTGATGACCGACTATTGAAATCAAGCATCTTGGTCTGACTTGTTGTTGCGGGTGCAGGCTCGAGCTCAGGCCTAACAATCTTCTCCCCGGCGGGGCTTGAATGGATTTCCGCTCGCGTTGAGTCCCCCAAGAGGGAGAGATTGATGGCGCTATTTCAATTCTTTCACTCGACCCCCTTTTTATCCGCTGATGTGCCAGGCTCAATGAAATCACGGCCCCGGCAAGAGCCTCCACCAAAGAATCTGGCGGTGGTCTACGTCACTGGTGAGTGAGTGAATGACGAAATTCTCATCCCAGACAGTTTGATTCTCCGATATTGATGGTAGATTCTGCCCGGGACAGCCTACTTTGAGACCATGAGCCTCTGGCTTCCTTATTTCCAACGGCCTGTCGTGGATGCGTACCTTGAACGACAGTACTCTGATGATCCCCCTTCATCCGCCTCATGGTATGCCGCCTTCAATGTCATTTTGTGCTTTGGCTATACCGCTGTGCAGCGATCGCCCCTCTTGATGCAGGATCCGACAAGTGCCACCTGGAACTATTTGAATAATGCCATGAGCGTTCTGCCAGATCTGATGTTCTCGGAAGGAGACATGCTGGGCATCCAAGCGATCATTGGGATGGTGAGCGCTCCAGGCGACAGGTAGATCGTGGTCATCCAACCTCAGTTGACAAATCTCCCTTTAGGCCAGTCTGTATAACTCGATGTTGTCCTTCAAGACCTCTTCGATGCTGCTCTCCATTGCGGTAAGACTTGCACAAGCAAGAGGCTTCCACCGTCGGGATGATACCCAGCCCACCGAAGTAGCAACCGCGCGACAGAATACCTTTTGGATTGCATATATCTTGGATAAAGGGACCAGTATCCGATTCGGGCAACCTCCCATGATAGACGATGATGAAATCGGCATTGACCTGCCCTCAACCGGGGCCGCCAGTGGTCCAGGAAGCCATAGGGGGCTGCCGGAAGCGTCATTCCTGCGCTGGATGGCCGAATTGGCGTTGATACAGAGCAAGTTATGCAAGTGGCTCTTTTCCGCGCGATACCGTACGAAGCCAGCCAACCAGCGATTGCACTGGACGGATGAGCTACACCGTCTGTTAGATGCCTGGAAAGCCGCGCTTCCCGAAAGACTCACTCTGAACTACTATAAGAGTCATAGCAATGATCGTATCGATCCCGTGCTAAACTTGCACATGAACTACTATTACACCGTCATCTGCTTGCATCGAGCCTCCTTAGGGATCTCCCTGGAGCCGGAGCTCGAGAAAGCCCTCAAACAGAACTTCCTGAAGAAGGCCGAGCTGGGTGCCAGGCTTTGTCTTTCGTCGTCACGAGCAACGCTTGACTTGCTCAAGTACGGGAACGGGGCCCTGATTATGCATTGGATGACATCGTGGTACGGGAGCCCAACGGGCCTCCACCCCGCCGTCTTTTTTCTTTCCACAAGAACCGACTGATCGAGTCTAGGTCAATCGCTTTCCATGTCCTCATCGCTGCATTCGTGTTGTTCGTCTACACGATCGACAACCCATCTTCCCCCGAAGCTCGGTCCAATGTGGGCTATCTGCGGCTATTCGCCAAGTCGGTGCACCAATCGCCCTTTGTCGGCATCTCGCCCACTGGAAATGGTCTGGTCGCGCTGGCCGATGTGTTTGTGGACATTGCCATGTCCGCGATCAGCGAGCGTGGTGGTGCACATGCTGCTCCTTGCTCCCCTCCCTCCATCCAAACCCCGGCGGCCACGTTGCCTGTTTCGGTGCCAGACGTTGCCCTTGGTGATGCGGGAATGATTCCCATGGTCCCTGGCGACCTGGAGGTTGACACGGAATCCTTCCCCTCAGTGGAGGTAGCTTCGAATATTTTTGATTGGTTCTTCCAACAGAGTTCTGCATAATAGATGGGGACGTCCTTCCAAATAATACTCCACTTCCTTATCAAACCAACTTGGTAACAAAGACTAAACGAAGCAAAGTGAGGGTAAGGGAGGTCCGACCCTTTTTCTCTCGGGTGATTGTTTCACCCTCACCTCCGGCCACGGCCATTGATTATGGAAACAGAACTTGAAACTGAAAGATTTTAGGGAACAAACTTCCTGAATCGAGACCAGAATACTGCGAGCCCCTCCTTGGCATCGAACCGATCTCGAAAACCTCAATAGTCGAGGTTACTACTATAGTTTGGATGTTCCAATTAAATCTAAGGTACCGGAAGAAGAGCACGGCCCCTCCGGCGGCTAAAACGGATCGGCCGGAGGTCTTCTTGTGACCCGAGAATTACCAGCCCCACTGAAAGTTACGCACGTTCACTTGGCGTAAATTTCGTTATGTCCATAATTGAGCTTGATTGGGTTAGTCATATTGTACAATCATCCAACAAGCTATAGTACCATTCGACGTTTGGAATCGATCTATAGATACATCAATGAAGAGTCCTGAAACACAGAATGACAGACTCAGGTTTTTGTTGCACTATATTATGTGACATGATCTCTAATTACTAATTTATTCGCCCTCGTATTATTCAACATGAATGAAAAGTAGCATGCATGCTTGCTTCCCCCCCCCCCCCCCCCCCCTCTTCACCACCAACTCTACCCAAGTCGAATGGGATGCTTTCTCCGCAACGCTCCCCCATAACGATAAATCAACGCCGGGACCGGGGTCAACCCCAGCGCCAAAAAGCCCAGCAAGGAGTTCCCCCAGCCCAGCCCCAGCGCCTCATACATGGCGGGACCGGCCAGCGGCAAGAAGGCGCCAAACAGACAACGCAAGGCGGTCAGCCCGGCGACTGCGGAGGCAGCATACTGGCCGGAGACGTCGATGAAATAGGTCTGAATGGGGGCAAAGATGCCCATCATGCCAAACCCAAAGGGCAGCAGGCCGATGATGGGGACCACCCAGTGGACCTGCTTGTCGGCGGTCCAGCCGTACCAGAAGAAGCTGATGGGGATGAAGAGGGCAAAGTAGAGGCAAGTGGCGAGGCGCATCTCGGGCTCGAAGACGTCGCCGTTGGCCTTCTTCAGGCGCATGACGTTGCGGTCGGAGGTCTTGGCAACGAGGGTGATGCCGAGGCCGAAGCCCAGCCCGATGCCCAGGTAGGCCAGTCCGCAGAGGTCGACCGGCCAGCCGTAGGTGTCGACGTAGAGGGTGGTGAGGGTGGTGAAGAGCAGGTACAACAGTCCGAAGACGAAGGACATGTACAGGGCGAGGAGGAGGAGGATGGGCGACCCGGCCAGCATGCGCACCGGGCGGGTGACGCTCTGCACCATGAGCGCCCTCGGGCTCGCAGCGGGTCCGCCCGTGGGGAGCTCGTAGACGGAGCGGAGCTCCGGACGCTGGAGCTCCGTCTGCAGGCGTTGGGTCTTCCGACGCAGTAACACCACCGGGTTGGTTTCCTGGCCGGTCACCAGGTTGATGCTGCTGATGACCCCGCATGCGACGAGCAAGACCCAATAGACCCATCGCCACGAGGCGCGCTGCGCGATGAACCCACCGATAATGGGCCCGATGACGGGGCCAAAGAGCGGACCGAGGGTGAATATCGCGTTGGCTTTGCCGCGCTGGTGCAGGGGGAAAAGGTCGGAGATGATCCCACCACCCACCGTCAAGCAGGCCGAACCGCCGATCCCGGCGAGCAGTCGGAATACAATGAGGGCGGCCATATTTGGGGCTAGCGCGCATCCAATCTGCCAGATGGTGAAGAAAAAGTTGGAGCAGTTTAAGACCGGCTGGCGTCCGAAAATCTCACTCAGCGGAGAGAGAATCAGAGGACCGATCTGTGGCCGCTTGGGTCAGCGCTGGGTTTTTTTCTCGAACGCGGATGCATGGGGATACGACCTACCGCGAAGCCTAGCACAAAGATACTAACTGCCAGGGAGCTCAGGATCGAAGAGGTGACCCCGAAGGTCTTGTCCGTGTATCCAATTCCGGGAGCGGGGATCGAGGATGCCAGCGGACTGAGCAAGCAGGCGGTGTCAGATAGCTGGTGGGGGGGGGGTGACAATAGTTATTGGGTTGGAGATGATGGAAAGAGATACCTGAGAAATGTGATGAAGCTGACGAGGCCCAATAAGAACCATTTGCGGCTGCTCTTGAAGTTCCTAGAAGATTGTTGTTAGATGGCTAATCACTAACTGAGCATCTGGCGATTAGCGTACTGAGGATTTTGAGGATCGTCCAAGCTGTCCCAACCCACGAGTCCATTCGCCAAGTCTGATAATCTGTCTTGGCCAGGAGCAATCGGCTTCGGGGTTTTGGCTTCGTCGAACGACAGGTCGACGGATGGCGTTTTGCTGCTCATGGCGGGTACACAATACACAATAATGTAGGTGATACGAAGAAAAATTTCCTGCGCCCCGTGCAGTGGGATTTCTCAAAAGAAATACTGAGATCCCTGATTTCTTCAAGTCCTGTTCAAATTATTGCAGAAGCCGGAGGCATTAGTTTATATTTAGTTTTTTATTACCCCTGGGGTTACTGTATGCATCGGTCGGAGTTGGTGATCTGACCCGGTAATTTCCCGCATCCACAGCCAACCTGGGTTATAAAACCAGGGGTCGATCTCCAAGTTCCCGCTATTGAGCGTAAAGGAGTGGTTTCAAGACTAAGAAATACATAGCGGGCCGAAGGAGTAAGGTTAAGAAAGCGGTATACTAGGCGGTCAGGGCCTCAAGCAGCGGTGGGAGTTATTGCAGATTGGCACGAGTAGCTTGCCGCAAGCGGGCCGAAGGAGTAAGTTACAGTGGTTGCACTGCGGTTTTCTTGTGGTTGCAGATCAGCTATGCTGCTTTTTCGGGTGACATGGAACTCAAACTTGCTTGGTAAGTACTTTGATCATGTGACTTTCCGGCAACCCTGGTATCTATATAAACAGAAACTTTTATTCTAGACTATTGTAATCAGACACCGAACCGGCGCGACACTGAACCAGCGGCTCCCTGAAAAAGCGGCATAGCTGATCTGCAACCACAGAAAACAGACAAGGATTTTGATAAAACCCCTGCTGGTGAAAGTACAGATGAGGAGGACACAATCAAAACTCAAGATGACAAGGCAATGACGAAAGCAGATAAAAACATTCTTTCGTTCTCGACAAGCACAGTGCTAGATAACAGCCGACGCCCCTCTTGAGTAATGATTTAAGTATAGCTGAACTCTCTGCCAGTTGCGCTCGATGGATGTGATGATGATCTTCTCTCCTCGGTTGGCACAAATAGCAAGCTCAAGGAGAGTTGTTAATATTGCCTTAGACTTTTGGGAGTCGCCGATGCGTTGTCTGACCTGGAGTATGCCTTGCTGCTCTCTCTTGTACCTTGCACGCTACAGATGATACTCTGGGTGAGGCTTCTCTCTTAGAAAACGCTGAGATATTTACTGTCCTTCCTACGACTCTTGCTTTTACAGCGGTTGCACTTGACGACTTTGCTTGGTTCCGTCCGTTACTGAACTTCAGGAGAAGAAATAGCCGAGAAACCTTTTCCTCCTATACCCCGGTCAATCACTGAAAGCGCGTCTTTGGAACTTAGGGAAGGTGATTATCTATCTTAATCGCGCCTATGTCAGAGAAGACGTCCAGTCTTAATCTGTTTGGATTAAGCCTTGCTTATTATGAGTAGTCTCTTCCTGCTCGGATTCGACGTAATGGTTAATTCTTCCTTGTCATCTATCTCTCTTGAGTCCGTTGACCAATGGCGAAAACGCCGCACGTTCAGCTTGGCGCTCCGTTCGATTAAAACCACACCTACTCTAATAAGTTGCGCATCTGGTGAGCATAACGTAGCTTTTGGTCTGAATGCACAGTGTTCCTTTTTGAAGACTGGTACATTTTGGCCAAGGCAAATGTCCCTTCAAGGATAGGGCCCCTCAAGAAACTTTTTCGGTAGTTGTTCCAGGATTGGGATGTTGCAAGAAGCTTATCTGCTTCCTGTGTCCATTTATCTGCTTCCTGTGTCCATTTATCTAGGTCGAATTGCTTTGGGCTTAGATCTCGACCAGTCCCGGATATCCACAGAACTTGAAGCAAGAGGTATTGCTTCTCGCTGATTGTGGATGCAGAGGTAAGAGTGGCATCATGGATAGTCAAACCGGAGACGTTGTATTGTGCTGTCCATACCTTCCATTTATCTTCGTCTGAGGGCAGATCCGTACTTAGGGGGTTTTTTGGTGCCATGGTTGTTCGCGATAGAGACCCTGTACATTAAGTCAACAGGGAAGGTAGCGGTTTCTAAGTGCTTTTCTCTTTTATTAAAATGTGCAGTGGAAACGCCAAGTCAGCTGGCCCTGCTAGGACGAGTCATGGAATGAGGGCCGCACGTTAAGCTTTAATACAGCAAGCGCCAAACTCATCCTTTTAAATCGAACCCGTTAGTTCTATATTCTCTTTCGTTGTTGATTTCCAGAGGGTCATTACTCTCCATCATTTCTCTTCATTGTAAGATGGATGAGGCTCTAGTGCAGGAGCGGGTTGCTCGTCGTCGCACGTTGGCTAAAATTGAGAAAATGATCAAGGCAACTCCGAATCATCATGTTGAAGCCCACGACCTGAAGGCGGCCAGTATCCGTCACCTTCCCTTATCCCTTGAAGGGGATACTCAACACTATCCGCTCTTTTTTAGACCATACAAAAGAGAACTGCCTCTACCACAAAAAGAAAAGGAGGAGAAATTGCTGAAATTTAAGCCTGATCCAGATCACATCATGTGGGATACTCGCGATATGGAGATCTTTCTTACTCGCCACTTTCATGAGTGCTGGGAATATGCATCGCTGGAGTACCCTCATAGCCCTCCGCTGTCTGGTATATACCGAGAGTACGTTGTCTCTCAAAGCTGCCTTGTGTTTATGGGTCAGCCTCCTGACTTCTTCATGACAGGATTGGAGATTACAAATTTGGACAACTTCTGGACTGTATAGGGTTCAACTGGTATGCTGTGTCAGTAACCGACTATCCAGCGGGAAACTATCCACACTTCAAAGTTATGTTGGAAAGCGAAGCGATTGGGGATGATCGACTACTGCGCGGAGAAATTATAACTATTACCGACATCATGGCTACTCGCCTGAAGACTAGCTCGCTGCGCCAGCATACAATTGCCCCAGTTAGGACCCCCCATCGATATTATCAAATGATCTACTAACATTTTTATGGTAGATGCTAGTCATGTCTCTTATGGGCCCTCGCCATTGTCGCGTACTGGAGGCTGATTTTGACGGAAATTTTCTCAACATCCGTGCTTCCAGGCTGTACGATTTCACACAAAAGAATACCGATACTGTGCAATGACTGACGCGGTATTGGCTTGGTGATGCGTGTGGCCGGACTCTGGGCGAAACCTCCTTGTTCGGTGGTAAACCCAGTCGAGGCTTCTAAAGCTGGAATGCCACCTGGACCTGCCCAATAGTGGACAAGCGGCTTTTGTAATGTATGATAACGAGACTACTCTGCTTTCCCGAGTGTAGGTTGCACGTGGCACCAAGGCCAGCCTTCAAAACGGAATTCGGGGTGTATTCTGATCGAAATACCACAGTATGCGTAAAAAGGATTAGCCATGTTGTGTGATGTCTATGTTTAGAGTAGAAATAAGCATTGCTACTCTCGTCTCGTTAAGTTGTGCAGCCTTGTCATTAGGTGATCACAGAGAATGTGTCCATCGTTACCTGAGTGATACATTAGAATTAGATTCAGGGAAAGTGCCACTTACGGCCGAGATGCAGTTGAATGTCTTGGCGCTTTCAATTTCCTTGGAGGATTCAGCCATATTAGTCTCGGAATGGCGTTATATTGACCCGAGATAAGAACAGGCGATACTGATAGTGGACCGCGGGTTGACTCACTACCTCTTAAATATCCTAAGTACGCAAAGAGCATTTTGAAGCTTTCTATTTTCCTTACCTCCTTGTGAAGATACTATTTTTATGCTCTGCGAGAATCTTCAGAACCACTCGAGGCAAATCACTAAGAATTCTTTTCATCACAGTTCCCATCACGACTATTTTTAGGCGCTCGAGGCAGACTGAGCCTGATAGGCTCTCCTTAAGACTTAGCGAGACCCTTCAACCTTTCAATATAGTACCTTGGGGAGCGCTCGCAATGTGGTATCTAGGTGTCCCTATCGCCGTCGCGGTAATATTTTCTTCTATTAGCACACCGTTAATTCAACCATACCGATACCAATAATTCCATTCTCTATAGGCTCCTATGATTGTGGTGCAAGACAACGACTATACCGCTGCTATTAAACGGCTCGAGAGCGCAGGATTCAAACAAAGTGTTCCGAATCGCGTACCTCCTCCTGAATTCATGGAGATTCATCCGAACCCACAGCAAGTGCTGGAGGAGATAAATGCGGGCTATGAACGCTTGGATCGGTCTTGTGCAGTGTTTGATTATCCAAATGGCGAACCAACAGAAAAAGGCCTGCAAGTGTATTTGTTTCCCAACATGTTTGCGCACTCTTTCCAGGACGATTTCCCCCGCCCCTTGACTGAAGCAAAAGATGGAGCGCCGAGAAAGCGATTTGAAATTTACGGCAATTTGTGCTACCCTCTGGAACAAACGCTTCTGGAAAGCTTTGTTAAGGCTGCAATCGATGAAGAAACGGAAAAAGGCTTCTCTGCGTGGGGCGAGTTACTGAGGTCCTGGGTATCTATGATGACAGGGTACCTAGAGGTTGACAATGATGCTCTTGATCATTGCCCAGATCAAACTGCAGTGGAATGGTACAGTCACAACTTTGGTCGGATTCATGAGGCCAATTGTGGTCCCATTGATCGACGCGTTACGAAACGTCTAGGCTCGGGGAAAGAGATGCCAGTAGATATGAGAGGAAATCCTGTTTAGTTCTAGTTTGGTAGTGTTTTCGTCATACGGCTACAAATTCATAGTTCATTCTTGTCGGGATATTGTGCACAGAAGCATATGATAGACTACCGGAAATCTAGCGGATTGTGTTCAACTTCAGGGTCCGACCAAATCGTAACTATCTCCGGTTATCGGTGGGGAATGAAATGTTGCTAGCCCCTCCATTCAGAAGCCACGACCTAAGCCTGGCACATCGACAATGGGCAGAGGCAGCATTTTCTGGACTCTCCTAAAGCGCGCAGTTTCTTCATTCAGTTATCAAGCGACCCGAGAGGATAATATTCTAAGACTAAAGACTAACTAGTTGCGAAAAATGGTTCTGCATTTGATTTTTGCTTTCAGAGTTTGAAACAAAGCTGGCCTCTTTTGCAGCAAATTTCGTAGAGCCATCTGACACTCTTTATCCATATTCTAGAGAGATGATTCTCCATTTATGCTACTTATGAAGTCACGGCACATATCTGCAGCCGCCCCGAGAGCAAGGCAGGTTCAGACGCTTAGTAGAGAGGAAGCTTATACGCGTCGAAGTCGTAGATCCAGGTATCATACGAGGCCTGATCAAAGACACACTCCATGGTGGTTCCATTGTTCGACCAGAGCGGGCGCAGCGGCCAGGCACAAATCTCCTGGTGCTCCCCCTCGTTGTCGCCCTGGAGGACGGTCGCGTTCAGCGTCACCGGCACCACCCCGTTCTCCACCCAGTCGATCATGACGGCCAGATTCGTCTGGGGGAAGGGCCCATTAGGCTGTTCGCTGTTCGTCCCACAGTGCGCCATGCCGGGGACCAGATACAAGCGATAAAACTCGCCCAGGGCGGCGGCCCCGGCGTGGAGCGACTTGTTGGGGAACATGATCTTGCGGACCGCCTCGTAGTAATGCACCGAGGAGGCGGTGGGCACACTGGGGTCTTGCTCGCCGTGGAAGTGCAGGACCTTGCCGCCGGACTGCTGCAGGACGCTGAGGTCGGGGTTGTGGGTCATCAGGGTGTCTTCGTACATGGTCCAGCCCATCTGCATCCAGTCGCGGATGGTATCATAGGTGACATTGTCGAGGGAGGTGATGGAGCTCGCCTCCTGCAGATTCAGGAATTTGGCGACGAACTCGCCCCCGTTGCCGTCGATGCTGAGACCCCAGGAGTCGGTCGTCGAGTCATAGGTGGTTTCTGCATCGTCAAAGTCCGCACCGGGCTGGAAGTACAGGTATGCCTGGCGGCCCTGGCTGTCTTTCAGACCGGCGAGGAGGGTCTCTACCAGCTGGACCGCCTCCGCCGTGACGGTGCCGTTCTGCGCCGGGGTCGTGCCCATCGACTGACGCTTGCTGAACCCGAGACCCAGACCGCCGCCGCCCGAGCTGGCGGCGCAGTAATAGGGGGCTCCGATCAGCGAGGTATAGTCAAAGTGCAGCTTACACAGATCCGAGCGGGCAATGACTCCATCGGCGCGTCCATCCAGCGAGTCGCAGGCGGCGATGGTGGCATTGACGATCAGCTCCAACTCGCACGGCGGAGGGTAGTAGTTCATGGTTTGTTCGACCACGTTGGGCACCAGGTGGTTGATCTGCTGGTGGGCGAAGCGGAAAGCCGGTGCGCCCACGATGATGCCGTCGTAGTCGAACCCGTAGCGCTGGGCCTGCGACCAGCCCTCGCGGCCCCCCTCGGAGCAGGATTGGTAGTAGGTGTAGACCTTGTCGTCCCCTGTGTTATACACGTTGCGGGTCAGTTCCCGACCAATGGCCATCATCTCGTGGATGCCCTGGTAGCCGAACATGAAGGTGTTCTGCCAGTCCACGGTGCCGTTGGCAAGGAGGAAGACGTCGTCGAAGGACTGTCCGTTGAAGCCCCCGTCGGTCAGTCCAGAGACCGCGCCGTACATGACACCGCCGGGTAGAGACCCGGAGGTTCCGGATCCCTCGTTGATCTCGTAGGCCTCCCCTCCCGTGGTGAGAAAGCGGTTCTGGAAATCGGCCGGGGCCGGCAGCCAGTAGGTCAGGGCCACGCGGTCATCTCGGCCGACGTGGGTGTAGTTGAAGGTGACTCCGCAGTAACTGATGGTGGCCGCGGGGAAAAAGTTGGAGCTGCTGATGGACACATTGGTGTGGCTGGTGGTTGCCACGGAGCTGGGGATCATGGAAATGCCTTCAAAGGTGCCGTCTGCGGGGAGTGCGGCCTTGATATAGGCATCGGTGCAGATATCCCCCAGGCCAGCGGCATGGGCCGTTCCCAATGCCGCTGCGAAGGTGAACAGAGTCCGCATATTAGTGGGAATCATGATGAAGGAGAATGGGGGAAGAGGCAGTGGGTGGTGACTGACACTGCCAAACTCTCTGGCTTTTATGTATTCATTTATTCATTTATTCGATTATTCAACTGTTCAATTATTCAGAGAAGAAGGTAGGCTTCGAACTAGAAATTGGGAATTTACCGACATCCTGATCCGATAGGGTGTGAACGCGTATGTCGTGACGCACGTAGTCGCAGGTGGATTAGGGCTGGAACACTGCAGATCCTAAACTTGTTGGTGCAGTGCGCAAGGAACGGGCAACTTTAATTAATTGGACTTTGCGTACGCCGTGATCACAGCCGCGCCTGGTACAGGATTTAGTGCGACAGACTTGAGACTTAGACTTAGACTTAGACTTAGTCTTAGTTTTAGACTTAGTCTTAGTTAGACTTACTTAGACTGACTCAGACTTAGGGTAACTCCGTACTGCAACAGACTCGGAGATCACGTGGCTGGTCTTGCAGTCCGTCGGATCTCCTCTTCCCCTCCCCATGAAATGACATGACATGACATGACATGAGTGCTAATTGACTCAGGGTTCCAGACTGACTCAGGGATTCTGAATAGTTCCGTCTCCTTCAGTCATGGGTAGCAAAAAAAATTCCTGAGTCGGTCGGAGCATGACAGCCCGCAAGTACTCTGTTACTAGTAAGTAGCTGGTGCTAAAGCTTTTCAGGGATAATACTTCCGTACGGAATAACGGATCTTAACTAACGGACCCACTAACTAGAGACATACTACGTAGTAGATCGAAAGGTCGGAGGTCGGAGGACGGAGCAGATCGACCCTACTCGGTTGAGAGAAGAAACCATTCGCCAGAACATAGAGTATACTATACTCCCTCAGTACTGGTCGGATATCCCGAATATCTTCTACGGATCGGTATACGCGGCACCACATAAGCTCATTATCTGGGCAGGCACTTGCACCCTAGGCCTCATCTAAGGTTAATTTCCGATCCTGCAGGACCGGCGGAGATCCGTGAGGAAGACTGACAGGTCCAGGAAAAAGCTTGCACCACTCTTATCGGCCTGCTCCGTGGATAGCCAGCCTATTCTCGCGGGTGGTCTGCATCTGCATACGTCAATCAAGGTTTCAGGTAGAAGAGATCTGTAAACCCAGTCCTTGGGGATTCTATAAGAACAAGATCCCAGCGCACCCTGATCTCACCTCCCAGAGCAAAATCATTCTTCTTCTCCTCCTTCTTCTTCTTCTTCTTCCTTCGTTGGCTTTCTGGATTTTGCCATCTCTGCCAACATGCTTCGAAACACTCTGCCCATCTTGTGCGGCTTAGCCTCGGTTTCCACCGCCGCCCTTTACGAGACGGTGGTCGAGACCAAATATGGCGCGGTCCAGGGGTATCCCGCCTTCAACAGTAGCAACACGGGGAACCTGACCAACTGGAAGGACATCACCGTATGGAAGGGCATTCCCTTTGCCGCCACTACCGGGGGGTCCAACCGGTGGAAGGCACCGCAGCCCGCCAGCGCATGGAACGGAACCCTCGACGCGCGCAACTGGGGCAACGTCTGCCCCTCGGCCACCACCGGAAACAACGACTACACCATCGACGAGGACTGCCTGAACCTCAACATCTGGAGTCCCGCCAGCTCCGCCGACGCGAAGCTCCCCGTCGTGATGTGGAGTTATCCCGCCGAGTCAACGGCGGCGGATCCGCTCTTCGACGGCGGCGGCATGGCCGATCAGGGGATTGTCTTCGTCAACTACAACTACCGGACGGGGCCCTTTGGCTGGCTCGCGCACTCGGAACTCTCCGCGGAGTTCGAGGCAGTGACCGGGTCCAACAGCTCGGGCAACTGGGGCATGCTGGATCAGTTTGCCGCCTTGAAGTGGATCCATGCCAACATCGAGGCCTTTGGCGGTGATCCCAACCACATCACCGTCCAGGGTCAGTCGGCGGGCTCGGCGGCGACCCAGCATATCCTGTACAGCGACCTCACCAAGGGTCTGATTGTCGGGGCCATCATTGAGAGCGGCGTGCGCGACCCGCACGACCCCCTCTGCACCAGTCTCGCCGAGGCCTACACGACGCTGGAAGACGCCCTCGAGGACGGCAACACCTATCTGTCCAACCTCGGCGTGTCCAGCATCGCGGAAGCCCGCGAGCTCAGCATGGAGGCCCTCATCAACGGGGCCACGGGCACGACCCGCGAGGATACGATCATGTTCGAAGCCGTCCTGGATTACTACGCCATGCCGGACACCTACCTCAACATCCTGGAGAAGGGCCTCGCCCACGACGTCCCCGTCATCACGGGCAACAACAAAGACGAGAACGGCGCCACCTATGGCCTCGAGCTCTCGCTCGCCGAGTACCTGCAGGACCTCAACGAGACCTACAGCGGGGAATGGGTCGACCGCTTCCTGGAGCTGTACCCGGCCAACGACTCCACCACCGCCGCCGGCGCCTACAACTCCATGTTCACCGACCGCTCCAAGGTGGGCACCTGGTTCTGGACTCAGTTGTGGTATGAGCACAAGAGCAGCCGGGTGTGGAACTACTTCTGGGACCACGCCCCCCCGGGCCAGACCTCGGGCGCCTACCACGAGTCGGAGATCAACTACGTGCTCAACAACCTCTATGCCACCGACCTGCCCTGGACCGCGGAGGACTACGCCATCGCCAAGAAGATGAACGACTACTGGGCCAGCTTCATCAAGACCGGCAACCCCAACACCCTCTCGAAGGGAGCGACGGAGTGGCCCGCGGTGGGCACCGCCCAGGAAGTGCAGCATGTCGGAGATGGCTGGGGCCAGATTCCCATTGCCTGGAGCAAGAAGGTCGAGCTGTTCAAAGAGTGGTTTGCCACTCTCGTGGCCTACTGATGTCCGGGATGGATGGACTTATTCGAGACATTCTCCCTCGGAGTGTGTTGCCGGTTCGTTCTCATGACCGGGTCCGAGCGAGTCTCGAGGGTAGTGTCCGGTTGTGTTTATTTCTTCAGTTTCTCTTCGGTTCTTCCCAGCCACGACAAGGGGACTTTTGGTTCTCTTCTAGATCATTTATTGTACGCTGGTTAATTTTCATTAGTCGATAGCACTAGTCCGGGATAATTAATTTTCCACCAGTAACCTGGGTTTCATCTCGTCACTGACTCATTTTTTCCTCTGTCTCCTGCCGTAAACCATCTTAAAACCTTGACCGTCGCCAAACTTTTGTGGACCTGCTGATGCGTAGCCCCCCTTTTTAACCTAGTATTTCAGAGCTTCAAAAAAAAAAAATAGTTCTACATGACCTTTTCAAAAACAGCAGCACCTCTAGTTAAACGCTCAAGGCAAGCGAACGGGACTTGTAGTAGAGCCCTCCAACAAGGGGGCCCCCCGTAATCGAGGGGATGGGTACGGTGAGCTACAATGCCGTCAGGAACTATCGAGGAAGATCAGGACTGCTTTTAATGAAAACTATAATTATTCCTCTTCGAAAGGGGCCAGAACGATACGGAAGACGGAAATCCTGGCATTTTTTGCCCGGTACAGCGGTCGTCATTGCAAGTCACCTCGAAAAGATATATCAAGGTTGATAAATATAGGAATAAACGACATCACGCATACGACCAGGGTGAGGTCATATCGCATCCTTTTGATTCTAGAACAGGTCTTTTTTGCTTCACTTGGAACGAGATTATCTTGGTTATGAACTCCTTCGATACCTAAATGCTGGTCTACGGTCCGATCCAATGGAGGGGGGAGTAGGGAACAGCACATTGGTGATACAGGCACGGGCGCAAGTAGATAATCGCGCTCATTCAAGCTAACTTATGTTGTTCAAACATTCCCCTCATTCTTCCCACTACGAGCCCTGCGGCCATCAGGAGTTACACGTCCCAAATCGAATCTCCGATTCTGCATATCCCAGCTGGGCCCAATGCCGTGGGAATGATCCTTCCGGGTGCAGTATCTCTCCATTACTGACCAGGTTTGGAGTCGCGTCTGATAGTAGTTCTGAGGATCGCGTTCGATCGTGGGGTTGGCTGATTGGTGTTGGCATAATTGGGAATATATATACTAACAAGTCGAGAAGCACAGCCCCGGCGTGCTATAAACGAGATTCTCAAGATGGGCATGCAAGATATGTTGATGTATCATGTAAAGAACTTATAGCCATGGTCTAGTCTAGTTTAGACGTAACGTCGAGCGTTGACAATTTGTGCAAGTTTGAGTTCAATTGTAAGCTATCTGAATGTAGGTTATAAGAGCGTGGCAGAATAAAGTTCTATGCTCCGACCCCTTAGGTTCTTTTTTTTCCGGTTGGTCGACTTATGTTGGCTACCGAATTTGTATTTCGTTCTTACACACTCCATTGTCTCGTATCAGGAAAAGAACTATGAACTCAAGCTGATTGTACTACGTATAAGTAAACAATAGACCCGTAGTTCGAGAACATCTGATTGCATCTTCATAAAAACAATGCAGGATTACTAAGGTTCACAAGTCGACAATCATCCGATCAAGAGCCAAGCTAATAGCTCAATGAAATAGTGGTTGAGTTTGATGAATTGACATTAGTTGACTGGATGGTTGACTGACTATGAATAGTCTGGACGCATCTCGTGTTCCCGTCTATTCGATCAGCGGGAGGATAAAGTAGAGAGTCGGCGTGAATTAACATAGTCAGCACCAGATGTTGGGCCCAACAATCTCGTCTAGAAGCACAGACAAGGCCAGCCACAACAGATGCCCAGAAAAAAAAAAAAAAAAAAAAAAAAAAAAATCTTAAAGGTGAACCAAAAGTTGTTGCCACATCTGAAACACCGAGGCATGAGCCGCATATGCAGTTCGGATGCCGGCACCGCTGTCCACCGGACCCAAACCTGGAGTCGTTTGCAGTAGAAATGTGTTCGGCGATAAGCAGCAGCAAATCACTTCTCTGGTCGCCATTTTTATCAGCTAATTGTTCGTCATGGAATACAGTCAAAGGGTTCGTTGTCAGGCAGTTTCAACCCAGCTGGCAGCTTTTGATAAAAATGAACAAAATTTCGGAAAGCGGGATCGGAAAACCAACGAGCCGCAGGGGGCTTGCCCAGGGCCGCGCCAATGAGAGAGCAGCGGGAGGCCGGTTATCCTCGGATGGCGGGCAATCCATTACTTAATTTCAACCACGCGCGGCTCCCATTGGTCTTAGGAAAAGCTTTGCTCTCTATAGGGCTTGGCGGAGTGGAGCTTCACGCACCAATAGCAGGGCTCAGCGCAATACTTCCGCTTTGGCCGCAAGCAGCAAGTCAGGGCTGATCTCGGATTCAGGGCAGCCACCACCGACTCCACGTTCGAATTTCCCACGGGAAACTGGGAAACTGGAAACGCCCGATTGCCTGCTTATCTGTCTGTCTCTCATCTTCTTCTCCTCCGTCTCCTCTGTTGTTGTGTTGCGTGGTATTGTGTTGACAGTGCATCGCAGAGACTGTCCGGTTGGTCCCTTGGACTCAGTTTCAAGCTTGCATTCTCGACTTCACCTGCAGCGGAGGAGCGGAAGCTTTATTGTTCGACCCCACCAGCTCGCCAGAAATTTTTGCCGTGCAGCTATCAGCGCGCCACCGTCGACCCTCCGCCCGATCGCGATTGTGATACAGTTGTCACGCTGCTCGTGTTGCTCCTTGATCCCTCTTTCGTGACAGACCCATAAACCGCAGGCAAAAATGGCGACTCCGGCTCAAGGCGAAGAGATCAAGAAGAATGATCTCCCTCCCTACGATCTCGAGGACTTGAAGGCTGTCAAGGAGGACAAGGAGCCGGATGCGTTTGGAGATGAGGCCCACGCCGAGGTCAAGTACAAGACGCTGAAGTGGTGGTATGTATCATCTGCCCCCTCCGCAGTGGACCAAGGAAGCTGACCAGTCTTGCAGGCAATGCGGAATGTGTATGTGACATCACCCGCAAGAGCATTCAGATATGAACTAATGGGAGTAGTCATGATCGCAGAGTCCGTCTCGCTTGGTGTTTTGTCACTACCCGCGACGCTGACTGCGCTGGGCCTGGTGCCGTAAGTGAAGCCGCCCTTTCCTTCCTGGGCCCTACTGACCGACGCAGCGCCATCATTCTCATCATCGGATTGGGTATCCTCGCGCTTTACACCGGCTATGTCATCGGACAGTTCCGCGAACGACACCCCTCCATCCACAACCTGGCCGATGCGGGAGAGATCCTGATGGGTCGGTTTGGCCGTGAGCTCTTTGGTCTGGGGCAGATTCTATTCTCGATCTTCATTATGGGTAGTCACATTGTCACGTTTACGGTGATGATGAACACGATCACCGACCACGGTACCTGCTCGATGGTGTTCAGTGTGGTTGCCTTTGTGATCTGTCTGGTTCTGTCGCTGCCCCGAACGATCAAGAACTTGACCTACATCTCTTGTGCTTGTGAGTCCTCCGAAATGGGAATGTCTAGGAATGGCGCGCTGATTGGAGTAGCTTTCCTGAGTATCTTCACCGCGGTCATGATCACCATGATTGGTGTGGGTGTGCAGTACAAGGGTGGTCAGAACATCAGTGTCACCACCGACACGAACTTGTACCACGCCTTCAACGGTGTTACCCAGATTGTGTTCGCTTACTGCGCCCACGTGGCCTTCTTCGGTCTGATCGCCGAGATGGAGGAGCCCAAGGATTTTCCCAAGGCGTTGTGCCTGCTGCAGGGGTTCGAGATTGCCCTTTACATCACCGCCGCGATTGTCATCTACTACTTTGTGGGCAATGGTGTCGATTCGCCCGCTCTCGGTTCCGCGGGTCCGGTGTTGAAGAAGGTCGCTTATGGTGTTGCGATCCCAACGGTATGGCCTGGGACCTGGTCAAATGGAAGTGCGACGTACTGACATCATCTTTCTAGATTGTCGGCGCGGGTGTGGTCAATGGCCACGTCGGGTTGAAATACATCTACGTGCGCATCTTCCGTCACTCCGACCGCATGGGCAAGCGTGACTTCGTCGCGGTGGGCTCCTGGATCGCCATTGGCGTCAGTTGCTGGGTGATTGCCTGGATCATCGCCGAGGGCATTCCCTCCTTCAGTAACATTGTCAGTCTGATCAGTTCCCTGTTTGCCAGTTGGTTCACCTACGGACTGTCGGGCGTATACTGGTTGCACATGAACTGGGGCCAGTGGTGGTCGTCTCCGCGCAAGATTGCGCTGACCATTCTCAACATCTTCATTTTCTGCATTGGTGCCGTTATTGTGAGTGTCTGGTCCATATCGACTGATGGAAAAGTATACTAACTGATGCTAGTGCGGGTTGGGATTGTATGTCTCGGGCAAGGCCATCCACGACGATGCTTCCAAGTCGAGCTTCTCCTGTGCCAGCAGTGCCATTTAGGAGGAGCACGAAGGAGGGTCGAGTAATGATGGTCTGTATATACCGTTTGTTCATATATTGTTTCGTTGGATGAATCATAGATAGATAGCATTGAGTGTTAGCCTTGTCATGATGACATGCATAATGAATGGCTCTACAACTTATGACAGGACCAATCCAAAGGTGTCGCAGCTGTCTGGCTTAGCTGGGGCGTACACAGTTGTAGAATGACTGGCCACAATGCTGATGGGTCTACGGAGTGTTCATCTCGATCGCATGGCCTGTATTTCTCATCAACCCACTAGCGATTGCATCCAATGAAAATAAGGATTGCTAGGTCCTGTTCTCCTCTGGCGGCCACTGAATCGTCTTCCTCACGCGACAGGGGCGCCCAACTGCCACGGAAAAAGGAGGGGATACCTTTGGTACCGTCCATCTAGCATCATCGCTGCAAAGATACGGCCAACTAAGGGGGGGGTATCCTCAATCTCGAACATCGACCAGAAACACTTACCCATCGCAATGAGGCCAGAATTGACACCGTTGACCGTAAAACCATGCGAATGTCCCAGTGCCTTCGCCCACACCCGCACGAGCCCCCAGCCGAGGAAATGAAGACAATGCGACCTCCGCGAGACAGATGCGGGACCACCGGCTGAGTGAGGAAGATCGGACCCCAAGTATGGCAGTCGAAATGCGTGGCATAGAACACAGGGTTCTTCCATATCTTTACGACTAGAACAGGGAACGGAGTATGGTATCATTCAGTCAGAGTCTTGTGCGCTTAATGTCCATTTCTGGTTTCGGTGATTACTCGTGTAATAGCCCTGAGTATATCCCTCGCCCGCATGCCGTGCTGCTCCATCATCAATCCCCTGCCATTCCAACTTGTCTTGAGTTCGACGCTATTCTCGACTGTCTGGTTGCAGCGCTTAAGCATACTGGGGTCTCTCAGGGGGATGAATCAGAAGGGGTATATTCTGTTGACGAATAACTGTCGCGATTTTGTGCTGAAGTTGTATATGAAGATTATGGCTATAAAACGAGGGTTCCTCCGCCTCACTGTAGCCACACTGCAGCCACGCCTGGCAACTGCACCTGGATCCTGGCTTACGCTCCCCCATGCAATAGAGTCAACATAACCACCCCCGAGTGCACCAGAAATGCCGGACCCAGAAAGAACTGTGATAATGCTTTACCAGTCGTCATCGGAGGACGAGTAATAGTATCGTCTGTCGTCATCATCATCATCATCAACCATCTCATCCATACACTCATTACAAAGCTGGTCAGCAAATTGATTTTGCGCTCTCGGAATCCACTGATACCGCACATCGCCTGAGTCCTTCAACTCGTCCTCGAGATCCATTGCCCTTTCAATGACATCGCGATTGGCGACCTCGGACCCCTTGGCGTTGGTCCATCCGTTGTTGACCCACTTGTAGACCCACTCGTTCATGCACTTGACGGCATAGCTCGAGTCGGAGTAGATGGTCACATCCAACACGGGATTGGTTCGGAGTTGATGATATCTTCCCGGGCCTTTTCCAAGCCTAGGATAATGGCTGTGATCTCGGCTCGTTGGTTGGTGGGTGTGGGATACGACGGTAGGGCCTCTTTCCAGCCAAGTAAGGTGCCAGCCCGGGTCTTCACCGCTGCTGCGGCGGCCCCGATCGAGCCTGGCTGGCCGTTGCCTCTGCAGCCTCCATCAACGTAGATCTCGATAGTGTAGACCATGGTGGTGGTGGGGGTGAGTGAAAGATATTAATTGACGAGATGCGAGCTGAGCCAGAGAATAAGTTGAAGGTCGTCTGTTTGCTGGAACGGGTACACTATCTGTAATATAAAACAAGAGTGGAAGCTCGCCTGTGGCAGGGGTATGGATGTGATGAAGGTAAGAGGTAGCGAGACAGAGCCACTCAGGTGCAATACAAGGGGAAGTGAAACAGTCGTGAAGATGAGGAGGAGTTACATAACTACCTTACCTATCCCTACTTATTTAATCACGTGATATTAAGTGGACCACGGCCCACTGTAAACAGTGAGTGACGGCAGCACCCCTGGATCGTGACTTACTGATTGGTCCGCATCATGCCTTAACTATTTAAGTTAATTTACTGCGTATGCTTAAGTAACGTAGTATCAACAATCATCATCCCATCTCCACCCAGAATATACCTCAAAGAATCATGACCTCCCTCCTCGACAAAGCACTCTTCCACCTCCTCTTCAGTGACAAAAAGAAGAAAGTCACTCAATTCCTACGCACCACCACACCTGGTGAGCG